GTTGGATGGAGAATGCTGGTGAGTGGCCTATGCTCCTTCACGAGGAGTAACAGGCGTAAGTAAGTAATAATTACTTTTCTAGTAATATCCCGTTGAATAACGAAATATTAGTCAAAAACAACATGCAATTTCTTAGCAATAGGTTCAAATGTAACTTCACTTTGTTTTATCAGTTGAACGACAATACTAGACTCCACACACTGAAATATATTCCAAAGTTTAGTACATCAATCTGTAAATAGTTAGACCTACTTGATGATCTTTCAACGAAATGAATAAATATTAGTATACTTTGATATCCTGTCTTACAGTTTTCGAATATAAATTATATTAACTCAAGAAAGCTCGATCACTGGATGATTTGATCGTAATCGTAATGTATTTTATCGAACTATTCAAAAAATTTTGATGGAAGTTTGATATATTATATAATGTAAAGAACCACGTAATTTGCATACATTATATATAAAATGATTATTTTAAAGGTTTCATGAAGCTTATAAGAATATCATGATCAGAACATTAGATCTCTTTTTCATTGATAGAAAATGCAGAGTTTCGGTTATAACATCTAATTTTCTTAGTATATCATCTTCCTAGTCTAATACTGATGTTGAAGTTTCTTCAGATCGAGATTCATATTACTGTTGAGTTGGCTTTCCGAGAACCGCGACGGAGCCTCTGGAGGTCCTAAAGGAGCCGAAGAGTCCTAGCCAATCAGAGCGTGATGGAGCTTTCTAGAATATCAACGTGGCGTGCCACTATTGGTCAGTAGCATAATATGTCTTTTAGCGGATTGGCCAAAATATAATGTTGATTTAACAACTATTAACATCTATAAATACCCGTGTTTTTCTGTACAAAAATGAACCTTTGGAGTAAAGTGTTTTTCCGCTTATTTTGCGCTTTTTTCTCTCGAGTTCAGGTCGCTGCTTAGTTCTAACTTGTGGGTTACCAGAATAGCTTAGGAACCGAATAAAGCGGTCAAATAAACAAGACGTATCAATTATGACCTGTGAATCGTAACCGAATAGCTAGATTATATAGCGACTCACGTGCAAATGGGTTTATTCTCATTTAACTCAGTTAAGCCCTTTTGCTAACTTATTTAGCGGACAGAGTCATCCGTACTATAACAATTTACTGTACCCTTATTATTTTGTGCTTGCATGAAATATATATGCTTGAATATTGATTACTGCCTACGCATTTATTCACTCTGCTAGTCTTACTACTAACCGCTTATTCGATTCGATTACCCCTTTCATTTCACATGGTATATATATGTCCATGTTATTCATATTGAACACTCACTCACTTACTCATTCGCTCACACGCTCTCACCACGCTCTTGCTCTGGCCCCTCGCTCGCTTGCTTGCCTTTCGGCACAACTCTTCTATGCTTATTTAACGCATTTGTATATTTGGATATATGTGTGTGGTCTCGCAATAAACGTAATCAACACTTCGTATTTGCCTTCTGATTATTATACCGTTGGGGCGTTATACAGAACGGTTAGCAAGACGAATTGTATACGAAGTTAAGGATTATATCGGATACCGACCACCACAATTATATAATTGATAAATCTTGATCAATCAACTATATTCAGTACATAACAAGCTTAAAATTATTCAATAAAATTGTAATCATCCTAAAAATTAAAAAAATTCAATTCTTTAAAAAAAATGATCATTCTGTTTGGATCGAGTGTCATTGTTCCGTTGATTTCATCCCGAAAACTTTGATAAACTAATTAAACTGTATCTTATAATGCGCTATTTAGTGATAAACGAACTGATTATTACCATCTATACACATAGTTCCCTTTATCATTTTGAAAAGAGCAAGGACAAATATTCTATCAGAACAGCATTAATTCATCACCAATATATCTTCAATATAACCTCCAACCAAACTTTTTTCATGTAAGTAATTTAAACCCATCATGTAATTGTAATTTTAAATATCAAAGGTTGCAATCAGCTGACGAGAATATTACCATTTACATGGTCTATTCACCCAAGAACAGAGAAAAATCTAGAATGAAAAGCACCACATTGTAAATTTTTCGCCATTTCATTGTAAACTGTTACAAAATTTCGTGGTAAAGTTCCCGGTCTGTTAGAAACAGTTAATGAAAGGAGAATATGGTGTTGTACAAAACTAAGTTCTCTTATTTAAAATGTAGTGTCATTTGTGCTAACTAGAAGATAATTCTTAACTAAAATACCTATCAGTGTTCTAGTTTAGCGATTGCTGTAAGCCAACCAAAATAGTATGAACATATTTTTTAACCACATTCTTCTTCAATATTATTACTACTTTTTATTAAATAAGTAGTCTAAGTGCTTCATATTTTAAAGGTTTGAAGTGATCATATAAAGATGAAAATTAGATACTGCTTTGAATAATGTACTAGATGGCGTATATTTTATTTGCTGCTTTGGTGTTTTTGTATTAGAACTACTTGATGTAACCTCATACACCTTGACTTCAATGCTTGATATATCAAACATGCCAGTGTCAGTGTTAGAGTTTATAGATTTAATATTAGTGGAGTTACTTGAAATCATCATAACCAAGTAAACTTGAAAAATACTATAGATTCACATTACATATAGAAAATAAACTGTTATTAATAGAACATGTTCTAAATAGTTCCAGATTATTAACGAACGCTATATTATGATCAACTTTAGGACAGCTTTTACGTTACTATATATAAAATGTTAGGGGGGATAATTTTGAGCCTACCAAGCCCCTATGTAATAGGATGTTTGAGTTTCAGTGTTGTGTTCAAAAATTAATTGTTGACATGGCAATAGTCGATTTTCTATCCCAAGGATGATGCAACAACTTTTGATTCCTTCTAGGTTTTATTTTCATGTTTCATTTATTTAACCTCTGTTTTAAGAAGACCTTTACTTTTCATACCAAATGCTTTTGATAAGTAAATATGTGATCAGATTGTTGTAAATGTTTCCTTAATAATATTTTCTGTTAGTCGTTTTGATCGACCACTTCTTCAAATATGATACACTTCGATTATTGTACTCATGAAAAGTCTTACGTAATATCATTCGTTTGAACGTTTTACACCGTTTTACATACTTCTATTATAGACTGTTTATCTCTGGTACAAGAACACATATTTCGACTAATCATTGTCTTTTTATTCGCCTCTAATAGTTGATTAGAATCTACTGGATCCGCCTGCTATCTATTATCAATCAGTAAACAGTTTGAAGGAATTTTAGTTCTTCAAACATTTTAAGTTTTCTAACTTCTGTTATGATTCTGTTAAAATATTCTAATGACCTAAGATCTCAATATATATTTGGATTGTATGTTAGTTAGTCTGATCGAAAACTGATGGGATCATAAACCTAGAAATACTTTTTCTTAGACTGAGTGGAAAAGCTTAATCATAAATTCAGTGACCAAGCATACTAATTCAACAATATTCAGTGATAATTTTTCATCATTAACCATAAACTCCTTAAAACTCAACTTTACATTTAGATACATGTTTCCATGGAGCTCATAAACATCGAATCATTCTTATATCTTAAATATAAAAAACTTTTAATTAGTTAATTTCAAGGATTCTGAAAGGAATTGTTGGCCCATTTGTGCCCTCAAATCAAGAAAGTTCACTTAAAAACTCAAAGAATTATAAGACTTACTTACTCACTCACTTACTCCTGTTACTCCCAATGGAGCATAGGCGGCCGACCAGTATTCTCCAGCCCACTCTGTCCTGAGACTTCCTTTCCAGTTCTGTCCAATTTTTGTTCATTTTTCTCATGTCTGTCTCCATTTCTCGGCGTAATGTGTCCTTTGCTCTTCCTGTTCTCCTATGGCCTTAAGGATTCCATGTGAGGGTTCGCCTTGTGACACAGTTGGATGATTTCTTCAGTGTGTCCTATCCACTTCAAACGCTTCTTCCTGATTTCTTCCTCCGCTGGGACCTGGTTCGTTCTCTCTCACAGTGGATTGTTGCTAATAGTGTCTCACCAATGGATCTGAAGTATTTTGCGTAGACAACTGTTAATAAACACCTGTATCTTCTGGATTATGGTTTTCGTAGTTGTCCAGGATTCCGCCCCATACAATAGAACTGTGTTGACATTTGTATTGAAAATCCTGACCTTGGCATTTGTTCACAATTATTTTGATTTCCGGATGTTCTTCAGTTGTAAATATGCTGCTCTTGCTCTAACGATCCGCGCTTTCACATCTGCATCAGATCCACCATGTTCATCAATGATGCCGCCTAAATATACTAAGGTTTTTACATTATCCAAATCTTCTCTGTCAATTGTGATTGGATTGGTGCATGCTGTGTTGTATCGGAGAACCTTGCTTTTCCCTTTGTGTATATTAAAATCTACTGCTGCTGAGGCTGCTGCTATACTGGTCGTCTTCTCCTGCATTTTTTGTTGCGTTTGTGATAGAAGGCCCAGATCATCTGCGAAGTCTAGATCGTCCAACTGCATCCTAGATGTCCACTGTATGTCGTGCTTTCCTTCAGATGTTGATATCTTCATGATCCAGTCGGTCACCAGGAGAAAGAGAAAGGATGAAAGTAGGCAACTTTGAAAGAATTATAAGAGCTATTTATTAAATGACATAATATACACTTTATCGATTAGATATGTTGCTATGACTCTTTTTTTAATTTTTATCTGGTATTTTAATTATACTCAAATGAATATGACAAAGTCTATAAATATGTCTTAGTAACAAATAATATTCATCATTTTATTCTCCTATTGTCAAAAAATCAATGAAGTGTTCAACTATATTCCATTTACTAAATTCAGTTTCCATATTACATTTAATAATAAACAAAATTCAATCCAGGTGATATAACATTGATTATATTCAGATTATTGATTCATATATGTATGGTAATCTGATTGACCAACTTACTATTCATTTTGTATTATTCGGATAAATATCAATTTTACACAATCAAAACTTCATAGAAAACAAAATGAAAAACAAAAATTGTTTTTACACTAAACTATTCCATAGTAAATTTCATTTATACATTTTAGATCTTTATACAAATAAACAAAACGATATAGTTTTGAATAAGCTTAATATGACTATAAATTAAACAGTTTTGCAGTATAATACGTTGTATTTCAAGTCATACATCATTAGATTTACAAAAATGCTTTGGACTATTCTCTTCAATCGATTTTGTTACAACAACAAAAACTATTACTTTTACTATTTTATTGTTATCAATTTGTTTCTTTTTATGTATATTCATTCAAACACAGAGGTAAGTGTTATTTATTTAATAACAAAAGTAATTAATATGCTTTTATATATGGATAATTCATATTCGAAAACTGTAAGACAGGATATCAGAGTATACTAATATTTATTCATTTCGTTGAAAGATCATCAAGTAGGTCTAACTATTTACAGATTGATGTACTAAACTTTGGAATATATTTCAGTGTGTAGAGTCTAGTATTGTCGCTCAACTGATAAACCAAAGTGAAGTTACATTTGAACCTATTGCTAAGAAATTGCACGTTGTTTTTGACTAATATTTCGTTATTCAACGGGATATTATTAGAAAAGTAATAGGAACTGTAATTATGTATAGGATGAGAAAGTCTTCCAATCACTTAAACATCCTATTACATAGGAGCTTGGTAGGCTCAAAATTATCTCCCCTAATGTAAAAGCTGTTCTAAAGTTGATCATGATATAGCGTTAATAATCTGTAGGTATTTAAAACATGTTCCATTAATAACAGTTGATTTTTTATGTATAATGGAAGTGTATAGTATTTTTCAGGTTAACTTGGTTATGGTGATTTCAAGTAAAATATTAAAACGAAATGGCTGTATAATGGTTCCAGATTTTCAATGGTGGTCTATCTTGCATCGATTCATGGATTCAACTATTAAACTCACTACCATTTCCAAAAACAAAACCTCATTCCAACAATAAAATAAAGAGTCAAGTATTATCTAAATTATCATTCAATGATTAATTATTTTTGTTTAATATATACCTTTTTAATGTAAGACAGAATGAAGAGATTTGTAAGCTAAAATAGACGACATAGTGTTTTGTCAGTTAATTATCGTTGAAATAACTCAATAAGATAATAAACTTTAGTCAGTGATCACCTGAAAAGAAAGACTAAACGAATAAAATATGAAATGTCAAGAAACAGCATTACAGTTTGCAAAGAAAAATCATTAATAATACATACATGAACATATAAAATGTCTAATGACTATAAAGAAGTTATTAGAATTATTCCTTCATGTGAATGTTAACTTATATATCTTAGGAAATCAATGATCACTGATTGAGATTATTTTAATGTTCAAAGTTGAATTCAGTAGTGGATCTAAACTAGAATATCACTGAGAACCTGGAAACATGGGACGACCGTTTCGTCTTAGTATGATATTCCTCAGCGGTGATTGTCGACGACCCTGCATGCTGGACTCCAAACCAAGGCCCTTGGTCTCGCGCACAAACGCCTAACCTCTAAACCACTGAACCGGTATCCGATAGTTAATATCTAACTTCAATCGATCCATGATCATGCGCAATCTTTCACACATTGTCTGAAGTAGATAACTGTCTCACATTTGATAAGAACTGGACTTCACTGGTCACGGCTCATCACTAGAACTCCCGCGTGTGGGATCGTGGATGCACACTTCTGAGGAGTCTAATCCTATCTAGTGCTTCCAAGTTTTAAGTGGTGGTCTAATTTAGTTCGACTAGTGAATATATATAACTCCGCCTGTAGCTCTTATAGGGTTACTGCCGGTCCCAAACACGGGTAAAGAAGGAGGGTTGGGCATGGGGTTAGCGTCCCCATCCCGTAGAAAACTAACTCGCTAAAAAAACGCTTACCATAAAAAATAATCCAAACCATTTTAACTCTGCCCTGGGAGTTAGAAGGTCTTCATTTAGAAGAATTATGACGCCTCATGGTTAAAGCCAAGCTCCTTCGGAAGCCACGAGGCCAATGCCCCTTCTAACAACTAGAGCAAAAATTTTTATAGGTACATGGAACGTTCGAACAATGTGGGAAACCGGGAAGACCAGTCAAATAGCTATGGAAATGAGGAGATACAACCCACTGGACCCAAGCTGGACAGAAAAGGCTAGCTACGGGAGAGATGCTCCACACACTCAGGGAGTCGCTCTTATGCTGTCCAAAGTAGCACGAAATGCACTTGTAGGATGGGAATCTCACGGATCCAGAATCATCAAAGCATCATTCAAAACAAAGAAGGAGGGGATCTTAATGAATATTATCCAATGTTATGCACCCACCAATGATAGCAACGACGACATTAAAGATCAGTTCTACGAGCGGCTACAGTCAATCATTGAGAAATGCCAAGAAAGGACCTAACTATTCTGATGGGAGATCTAAATGCCAAAGTCGGAATAGACAACACTGGATATGAAGATATTATGGGACGACATGGACTGGGAGAAAGAAACGAAAATGGAGAAAGATTTGCAAATCTATGTGCATTCAACAAATTGGTCATAGGAGGCACAATATTTCCACACAAGCGTATACACAAGGCTACATGGATCTCACCGGACCACACTACAGAGAACCAAATAGATCATATTTGCATCAACAAAAAATTCCGAAGGACAATGGAAGATGTGAGAACCAGGAGAGGTGCTGACGTAGCTTCAGATCACCACCTAGTTGTAGCCAATTTAAAACTGAAGCTGAAAAAGAACTGGACAAGTGGACAAACAGCACTACAAAGGTTCAATACAGCCTTCCTTCGAGATACTGACAAACTCAATGAATTCAAGATAGCTCTCAACAACAGGTTCCAAGCCTTACAAGATCTACTGAAGAAGAAGAAACTACTGTGGAGGACAACTGGAAAGGCATCAAGGAAGCATTAACTTCAACGTGTCAAGAGGTTCTGGGCCTAAAGAAACACCATCATAAGGAATGGATCTCTATAGAAACACTGGACAAGATCAAAGAAAGGAAGAACAAGAAGGCAGCAATTAACAACAGCCGAACACGAGCAGAGAAAGTCCAAGCACAAGCTGAATACATAGAAGCAAACAAACAAGTGAAGAGGAGCATTAGAGCCGACAAGAAGAAATACGTGGAAGAACTAGCAACGACGGCAGAAAAAGCTGCTAGAGAAGGAAATATGAAACAGCTTCACGATACAACGAAGAAACTAGCAGGGAAATACAGTAAACCAGAGAGGCCGGTCAAAGACAAAGAAGGCAAGCCAATCACCGAAATTCAACAACAGCGTAACAGATGGGTAGAATACTTCGAGGAACTCCTGAATAGGCCGGCTCCAATGAATCCACCGGACATCGAAGCAGCACACATAGATCTTCCTATAGATGTCAACCCACCAACGACGGAAGAAATTAGAATGGCCGTCAGACAAATCAAGAACGGGAAAGCAGCAGGACCCGACAACATACCAGCTGAAGCACTGAAATCAGACATCGAAGCAACCACAAGCATGCTTACCTTCTATTCAAAAAGATTTGGGAGGAGGAACAAGTGCCGATGGACTGGAAAGAAGGACACCTCGTCAAGATTCCAAAGAAAGGAGATCTGAGCAAATGTGAAAACTACAGAGGCATTACACTACTGTCAATACCAGGGAAAGTCTTCAACAGAGTGTTGCTGAACCGGATGAAGGATGCAGTAGACGCCCAACTTCGAGATCAACAAGCTGGATTCCGTAAGGATCGGTCGTGCACAGACCAAATTGCAACACTACGGATCATCGTCGAACAATCAGTTGAGTGGAACTCATCACTATACATCAACTTCATTGATTATGAAAAGGCATTCGACAGTGTAGATAGGAGGACATTATGGAAACTTCTTCGACACTACGGAGTTCCTGAGAAGATTGTCAACATTATCCGGAACTCATACGACGGACTACAGTGCAAAGTAGTGCATGGAGGACAGCTGACAGATGCATTCCAAGTAAGGACTGGAGTCAGACAAGGCTGTTTACTCTCTCCCTTCCTCTTTCTTCTGGTGGTCGACTGGATTATGAAGACCTCGACATCTGAAGGAAAACACGGAATACAATGGACAGCTCAGAATCAATTAGACGATTTGGACTTCGCAGACGACCTAGCCCTCCTATCACGTACACACGAACAGATGCAGATGAAGACAGCCAGTGTAGCAGCAGTCTCTGCATCAGTAGGCCTCAGCATACACAAAGGGAAAACCAAGGTCCTCAAATTCAAAGCGAGAACAGCAATCCAATCACTCTTGATGGCGAAACTCTGGAAGATGTAGAGTCCTTCACATACCTAGGAAGCATCATCGATGAACAAGGAGGTTCAGATGCAGACGTAAAGGCGAGGATCGGCAAAGCAAGGGTCGCATTCCTACAATTGAAGAACATATGGAACTCAAAACAACTTTCAACCAATATCAAAGTGAGAATCTTCAATACGAACGTCAAGGCAGTTCTACTGTATGGAGCTGAAACTTGGAGAACTACAACAACCACAATCAAGAAAGTACAAGTATTTATAAATAGCTGCCTACGCAAGATACTCAACATCCACTGGCCGGATACCATCAGCAATAGCCTTCTGTGGGAGAGAACAAACCAACTTCCAGCTGAAGAAGAAATTAAGAACCTTTAACCAACCCACGAATTCGCGCCACCGTCGTGGATGCGCGCTGCTTAGGAGTCCCAAACTAGGACGAAACGGCCTTCCAGTGCTTCCAGGTTTTCCATGGTGATCTAGCTTCAATTGACTCATGATTTCAACCAGTGAAATTTCTAAGAATGTTTCCACAAAACGCTTTCTGATAATTTTAACTTTGTTTTACAATCTACGTTTAAATTACGTGAAAATATCAACTTACCAGAAAAATGGTTACGAACGTAGGTATATTAACTAAATAATTCTTACCTCATTCTTGTCATTTATTCATCTATGTTTTTTTTAACAAATAAATCTTTAAAATATTCCCTTATTGAAATTCTGACCACCTATTATGTATCCAATGTAATAATTACATTAAAATTTCAAGAATGATTTCTGTTTATAAATTTAAACAAACAAACGTGTAACATTAACATTATTCATTACATTTGCTCAGAGAATACAATTACTATAGTTATTATTATCAGTAGTAATATAAGTATTATAAATAACTGACAGCTAAATATTTGATTTATTTGTAGATAAATCTACCTGGTGGACGTTTTGAAATAGAAATTTATTACATAAATCTAGAATCAACTACAAGTAGTGGATTTTACTGTGATTGGCAATTACATCGATGTGATGTTTATATAATTGTGAAATTGTATGAGTTAGCTGACAATAACTCAAGGTAATTCATTAATTTACACATTAATTTGTGAAAATTAAAGTAGTAAAACCATTTAATTTATAGAAATCGAAGTAATTTATTATATTTTTTTGAAGGAAACCATAATTTTATTAGTTGTGATCATGAGTCAATTGAAGTTAAACCACCATGGGAAACCTGGAAGCACTGGACGGTCGTTTCATTCTACTGTGGGACTCCTTAGTAGTGCGCTTCGCGAGATTCAAACCCAGGACCTAATTCCATATTTAGTTCATGTCGGTATTAAATTTTTTGAAAAAAAAAAGAAAATTTACGAGCTTTCAAATATTTAACTTTATATATTCCATCACTGGATTAGGTTGCGTTATCATTAAGTCGTTTATAAACAGAATAATTATGCTTAAATAAATTTTATAGCTTCAAAATAACTAGTATTAATATTGATCTGATAGCTACATTATACTTTATAGGGACTTAGATCGAGTACATTCGTTTCATTACATATTAAATCCGGCCTACTATATTAAAACCCAACATATTTGGTAAACATTGTATAATTCTTCATATTTAGAAAAAATTACTTACTTATTTAGTATTAACAATCGACAATTTAGCTTATCAAAAGAATGTTTCATTTTCATCCGATTACTCAAACCAGTATTTATCCCGATTCAGTAGCTAAATGATTGACGCAACAACGTCTAAAGTGAACGTTTCCCGGTTTTAGTCCCAGGATGAATGTCCATTTTGGTATGCACGAACGTTCAGTTTACAAGTCTCAAGTAGGATAAAATACACATTCTGGACAAAATTGTTGGCGACCATCTATCTTTGACTAGGATGTTTACTGCTCGTAATTGAGTCTGTCCTATTAACTAAATCGTTTGGCAGGTTAGTTTATTCCAACACACCTACACTTAAGTCTGTTTACGTTTGGCTTTGTCAAGACCTTCAATTAACTTATTTAACAGACAGTGTCATTCAAATAGTAACAATTTGTTTATCTTTGTATAATTATATTCATGTATGTATGCTTAATCACATGTTACAGCCTACACACATATTCCTCTTACTAGCCTAAGTATTAATTACTTAAATCCCTTAATGAACCATTTGTTTTCCTAATATAAGTGTGCTTACGTCATGTCAATCCATCCGCCTCTGTATTCACTCACTCGCACCAGCATTTCTGCTCGGATGCTTGCGGCTTAGTGATCTACACTGTGCAATAATAAACTGTAGTCAACGCTTCGTACTGTCTTCTGAAATGTATACACCTTTGGGAGTTAACTAGTAACGGTTATTACAACGACTGATATACGAAGTCTTGGGGATCATCTCTAAGATGATTCACTACAAAGTCACAGATTTCAAGTAACCCAGACTCATAGTTTGTCGAAAAGTCAGCTAATTGTAGACTAAATAATTATTATTATCTGACATGATGTTTTTAATTCATTTCTGCTTTGAGACCAAGAAGGTTTTAACCATTACAGGTTCAGTAATTGACTTGCATCAAACTTGACTTTAGTGTATCTTTAATGACTGTCCAGGCTAATAACTACTTTCAATAACTTTCTACTGTAAGCAAATGGTCTCGTCAATTGATAAATCATAACCGACAGGGTAAAACTATTTGAATTGTCACATTGATATTAATATGATAACATTTCAAGATTTAAGAAAATTGAACAAACACAGTAATTCAAAGTTAGCAGAAAATATAAAAAATAGCTACATTCAACTGTCAACAACAAGATGAAATATATATCCCAATTTCCACTATCTGAAATATAATTAAGTTGATTTCTTACATAAAAAACCATTATTACAAGCATAATATTCAGTCTGTTATAATATACTTCAGTTATCAGGGTATGACGATGACACAAATAATTTGTATTACAATTCTATTTAACAGGCAATTAATCCGTGTGAGAACAGAGACCATTGCGGACACTGCGGAATTTCGCATTAAAGTATCTGAAAAAATAAATGAAAAATTACCTGTAAGTTGTCCTAAAGTTTCTTTTTTGTTAAGGCTGAGTACTTAATTATCTTGAAAGGATTTTAAACATTAAGACACAAGGTAACAAGTCTCAACTAGATGTTAATGGTCATAAATACCTAAATTTCTATAATCTATATTAATGCGTGATGAACAAGAATGCAGGTGGGGATAACCAACGTAATATGGTAAGAAATTACAGAATTCTTTGAGAAAATGTGAAAACCATGCATTCAATACTTCATTTTCAAATCCTTCATCAATTTTCCCTATCTTCAACGTTCCTTCATAGCTATTACAATTACTCTCTGTCGCTGTTCTATTCGATTCGATTTTCCCAACCTTCTTCTGACAGACATTCCAATTCTGATTGGTGTTATATACTACTTAGGTTGACATAAGTAGCATACATCAGAAAACTTGATGACTGCTTACCAAAACTAGTCGTCCTTATTCATAATTTGTTCTGCACAATATTATTTCAACCTTTTTTCTCTTGAACATATTATATGCCTGAATCCATTCTACGTTAACTGATATTGGAAAAGCACAAGGACCAGACAACACACCAGCTGAAGCAATGAAGTAACATGTAGGAGTAATTGCAAACATGCTCCACATTCTATCCAGGAAGATTTGGTCAGAGGACCAAGTGTTGATAAACTGGAAAGAAGAACACCTTATCAAAATCCCAAAGAAAGGAGATCTCAGAAAGTGGGAGAACTACAGAGATATCACACTACTGTCAGTGCCAGGAAAATTTTTCAACGGAGCGTTGCTAAACCGGATGAACGATTCAGTAGACACCAGACTTCCAGAACAAAATTCTGGTTTTCATATAGATTGATTCTGTACTGACCAAATTGCAATGCTTCAGATTACTGTTAAGTAATCAGTTGAACAAAACTAATCACTAAGCATCAGATTCTTTGACCATGAAAAGCATTCGTGGAGTGAATAGGAGAATCATGAGGAACCTTCCTCAACACTACAGAGGACCTGGAAAGATTTTCGCCATCATACGAAACCATCACGAATGTACTGAATTGTAAAGTCATGAATGGAAGGCAGCTCATAGATATTCCCTGTGTGATTACCGGTGTCAGTAAAGACTGACTACTTCCACTTTTTTTTCATTCTGGCTTTTGACTGGATCATGGAGACTGTCACGTCTGAGGAAGAGCACTGAATACAAGGGATTCAGTTTGATGACTTCCGTAATGTATGTCCTACCTACCTTCATCGTCTTTTCTTAATTTCTAGTGAAACTATAATTTATGGACGACCTTTGAGCGACGCTGGACTGACCATGATAGTATCCACCTACAAACTAGGGCTAAATGAGGATTATAAACCAGAGGAATTCGAATTGTAATTTACAATTGATGGTTAAGGTTATAAATTATATTGAGGGTTTTCATCACAAAATGACATCATCTATAATGTCAAAACTCTACCTAGCCAAATGGATGAGTGAATTTCGTGCCAAAATCCGATACCTGTTACCTTTTACCTTATTGGTTCTTCCATAAATTATAGTCTCGATAATGCTGCTCAACTACATAAAATTTCCATCTCATACAGTACTAATCCATGAAGTTTGATTTGTTTACTGATCTCTATGTTAAAATTCAGGATCTTACGTTTACCTTTGGGTATGTTAAAAGCTACTGCTACAGGCTTCTGCTACATGGGCTGTCTTGACCTGCATTTGTTGTTGTGTATGTGATAGAAGAGCTAGGTCATCTGTGAAGTCCAAATCATCTAGTTGCATTCAAGATGTCAATTGTATTTCCTGCTTCTGCAGCAGTAGTTAAAACAGTTGTGTTGTGCAGGGTTGAAACTTGGACAACTTCGATAGCCATCATCAAGAAGTACAGGGAATTATAGACAACTATCTACGCACGATATTCAAGATCGATTGGCTAGGCACCACTAGCAATAACAGACTGTGTCAGAAAACAAATCAACTTCCAACTAAGAAGAAGTTTAGGAAAAGATTCAAAAAGACAGACTTCAAGAAAATCATCATACTGAATCGAAAAGCAAGCTCTAACTTGGAATCCTTAAAGCAAACGGAAAAGAAGTGGACCAAAAAAGCACACGAATACGCGAATCAGAAGCAGTCATGGAGACCATGAAAAGCTCCTGGCAACAGTTGGAAAAGAGAGCCCAGAAAAGAGTTAACTGGATATCTCTGGTCACTAGTTGTTTCTATATAGGTTATAGATTAATTCATTATAAAATGAGCTTATGATAACCGCCGTCTAAATACATGATAGCTGGTTCTATATTTTTACATGGAAACATTTCTAGTTACTTCGGTAAACAAAACCACTTTGATTAGTAGCCACATTATAACTTGAAAAACGAAATTAGACCAGCACTAGACAATAAAGAACACAGTATTGGTCACCAGTATATGCTCAATAAATATAAGTATTATGTTCCTAAACATGTCAGCCTACCCCTGATAACGACTCATACTGCTAATCTAGGTGATCTGTGTTCGAAATATACAGAGAGCATTATATGCCTTTTATTACAAGTATGCTTTACTGTAGTGTTATTTAACCTGAAAACCACGTCAAGGAATACTTGCTGACCACCTCCACTGATTTTAAATGAAATATACTCTCCATCAATCAATGCAGTGTACAATTAGCTTAATCCATCAGTTCTGTCAAAAGTCTGTTAAGGAAATTCATTTTATTGTTCATCTAGGTTATCTAGGATTTGTGAATTTCCCTCCCAATAATATTTATCACTAAATTTGGTGTATAATACTTAACTACTTAGTATGATGGGAGGCAGATTTTATTTCTTAACCAATAGTTTAGTCCTAGCAATAAAAAATTGGGCATATGGTTGGACACAGTTCCTGTAGCAATCAATATTTAACTCCTAATATATCAGAATAGTGTTTATAGTAGAATGGAAATCACGTATCTTTGTTCATTTTATAGGAAAAATATAGATTAGATCTTTATGTCTACGACGAAGATGCTTTGGGTGAACATGATATAATTACCATCGCTACAGGATTGTATCAGCCAGAAAAAACCAACGTATTTCAAACTATTCCATTAAATTACAGTCATATAAGTGACTCTTTCAGGTAGGTTAATATCTTCTGTAATAAGTTATTTCAAGATAAATAAAAAGAGTTTAGTAAAGATAGTTTATTTACTACGTTATTTACCAAAGCTACATCAATGTATCTATATTTATCTTACAATATTCTATAACAAAATAGAACAACAAAATGATCACAGTTTATCAAAGGTTTTTGACAAAGTATACAACATAAGTGACTTACTAGTTAAAAGCTAAAAAGTGAAGTAAAAATAACATATTGAAGAGAAGTGTGGAAGATCATTTCCCTGTTGAAAGTAAAAAGAGAAATGAACACGTGTTAATAACTATACAGAAAACTAGAGCAGGTTTAGAACCATAGCAAATTAGGTAAATAAATATTTAGCTTCTAAATACAAAAGTCAGGCTTGAATCAATAGGTTAATGAAACCCATACTGTATACCAAACAGATGTCCAAATACGAAGCTATTAAATGAATCTCATTCATCTTTACATAACTATCCAGTATAATGGTCGGATATGTTCTTAAACATTTTGGTAGAAGAGAAAAGTGAAGATTTCATTGCAAACTGTCGAATTGTCAACGCACACAAGCCTTAAATCTGAATCCCAAGTTGAATGTGCCAAATAAAATTAGTTCCTTTAGATTTCCTTTGAAATAAGGATCTCGTGGTTGCTATTTTTAATACTCTTACAAAAAAAGAATACCTCTGTGAAATGAGCAAATATAAAAAAAGAAACACATTCTAATGACTTCATTATATTTCTAGATACACCGGATTAATGAAATAAAGTGGATCATCCTGTCTCTACTGTAATTATTTAACAACTACGTAATATAAAGTTACCCATTTTTAGTATATTGTGAAGTAGAACATCTTTTGTATGTATAATCGTAAGATTATTGTTATCGAAATATATATACCGTCAATCCTCGTATACTTTAATCGACTTAATTCGCGTTGGAAAATAACGGAATAAAATAAGTTAAATCTAAGAATGAAGTTTGAATATGTATTTTTCATACACTCATTGATTTGAACAAACAGTCCGAGAAATGAAGTGACATGCAGTGGAGAAGGAGAGTGAGCCAACTCCTTTTGATCAAACGTAAGTCGATATTTAAATTCAAACATAAATAAGTTACATATACATATTGAATGGGGTGTGCAATTAACATACATACAGTCATATAAAAAGTCAGTACTAATGAGCGAATAATTGACAAGGTAAAAATGTGGCTTGAGAAGAGTGTGCAAAACTGGTCTGTCTAGAAGCCAGAATAACACAATATCGACTTGACATAGTACCAAGCACAACAGGTCTGCATCCTATATTATCTGCACCTGAAAGTGGTCAATAAAAGGAAAAATTTAAACAGATTTGTTGTGTAGTTTCCAAGTTCTTCTTATAAAATTTACTGAAATATCACTATAAAGCTGGCTTTTTTTAACGTAATTCTACATATTTAAAACAGAGAAACATTTATCCCTTGCTTATAATAGAATTTTCGCTTCTGAATATCATGGAATATATCATTTGAGTTTAGTTTCCCTGTAAAATAAAAAAATCGTTACCAGAGTACATGCACAATCCGGAGATAAAAGTTATCCTATCATAAAGTATTTTCCAACCGTTATCAACCTCTTATATTTAGCATAATCTTGTAACTGATTATTAACCAACTTTCTTCAAATGAACGATCATAACAAACCTTCTATGCTTATAGTAATAATACTCTTATTACGTATTACCTTTGCAAATATTTTCACGTAATTATCAGCTTTATGCAACCGATAAAGTAATGAAATTGTCAGGTAACTAATATTAACAGTTCTTTCCTCACTATTTGATGCGGTTCTTATTTCTTATTTATTTATTTGAACACATATATATTGGTACAGTAGTGCGCCAAATATATATGCGCCACACAAAACAATGGGAATTTAAGAAGAAAAAAATGAGAAACGTAAAAAAAAATTTTTTTTTAAACAATAATGAAGAGATTGATGTAAGGGAGTGTAGTAATAATCATAGTCATAATGAAGGAACGGAAACGTACAATCAAAACAAATCTTTCAGTTAAGGAAGATACAACCATTTTTTAATGAAGAAAGTAAAAGAAGGTTACAGCAGGATCGCCACTGGCTTCTATTCTGAGCCATATCTGATAACGTCTCTAGCCACTGTGTAGCACCATCTCTCGGACCCCAACCAGGGAGTCGTGAAGGACCAACACAAGCCAGTCCTTTGCAGCTTTCTTTCATACCACGACACCATGTCATGCACTGACCACCTCTCCGCTTCTTCCAACCAGTCCCAGAGTCGGCAAATAATGCACGACGTGGAATTCTCTGGGACGACATTCGTAGAACATGTCCAAGCCACCGAAGTCGGTGTTTCAAGATGGTGACACCAATTGCATTATCGTCTCTGTGCCCGAACACACGATGCCGAACCTCTGCATTACTGACATGGTGTTGCCACTGAATGTCAGCAATCCTTCGGAGACAGCGATGATCGAACACAGAGAGTCGTCTAACGTCCTCAACTCGGAGAGGCCAGGTTTCACAAGCATAGAGCAAAACTGCTCTCACCGACGCGTTGTAGATCCGACCTTTTACAGCCAGACTAACATCACGAAGGCGCCAAAGGTGGCCCAGATTGGCATAAGCCGCTCTGGCTTTCACTATTCGTGCATTGATCTCATCACTCACACCCCCACCAGCACTTATGCAGCTACCCAGATACACGAACTTCTCGACTACGTCTATCTGCTCACCGTCCAGGGTGAGTACAGGATTAGAATCCTGCCAGTCTTGTAGAAGTACTTTGCACTTCGAAGGTGCAAAGCACATACCATACCTACGGACACTGATTGCCAACTGATTAAGTGCGGATTGCATGCCTTGGGCATTATCGCACAGTAAGACAATATCGTCCGCATACTCAAGGTCGAGAAGTCTTTCTCCAGGCAACAGATCCACACCACCATTACTTACATTCATCAGAGCTGTTTCCAGAATGTCATCGATGGCAAAGTTGAAGAGGAATGGTGAGATTGGGCAACCCTGCCTAACCCCACTGCTCGAATGGAACAATGGAGAGAGGTGGTTGTATGCCCTCACTCTGCCTGAGGTGTTTTTATATAGGGCTTTTAGGATGTTAATAAACTTCTCAGGCACACCCTTCTTCAATAGACAATCCCAGAGAACAGTCCTATCCAACGAATCGAAGGCAGCCCTGATGTCAAGAAACACTACGATTGTTGGCCTTTGATAAGTATGGCGGTGTTCTAACATTTGGCGGAGGGTGAAGATATGATCAATACATCCTCGACCAGAACGAAACCCAGCCTGCTCCTCGCGAGTCAATCTTTCTCGGGTTTTGAACAACCTACGAAGTATGACGGAAGCCAATAGCTTGGACGCAATCGGAAGTAGACTTATCCCCCGATAGTTGTTACAGGAACGACGTGAACCCTTTTTAAAGATAGGGACAACTATCGACTCATTCCATGACGTTGGTACACACTCTAGTTCCCAAACCTTTGTAAACAACGTCGTCAATTCCTTAGTCAAAAAGTCACCACCATCTTTAAAAAGAGCCGGAGGTAAGTCATCTGGGCCAGGTGATTTGTAACGCTTCAAGAGTTGGAGTTCCTTGCGGACTTCCTCCTCATTTGGTGGATCAGTCGTCACCGGCCATGGAGGGCAGGACAGTCTGACCGATGTTGCCGGAGCAGCAGGCCAGTTGAACTGCCCTTCGAAAAATTCTGCCCATCGTCCAAGACGTCGATGGATGTTAGTGATTGGCATCCCATCATCCTCGCAGATTGTTTCACTCACACCAGACTTCTTGCTGCCAGTGGCTCGGATGAGTTGGAAGAGCTTCCGGTAGTTACCAGATGCAGCTGCTGCTTCCAGCTCATTAGCACGCATCGACCACCAGGCTTCTCGGTCCTTACGCAAGCTTTGCCCAATTTCCTTACGTAACATCCTTCGTTTATGGTCAAACTCACGGTCACCCGGAGTAGACCGACGGGCTTCAATGAGTTGTAAGGAACCAGAAGAAACCCAGTGCTTAAAGCGGGACGTTTCGCAAACCCACAACTGACTGTTCCCGCCATTTTCATGGCGTCATGCAATTGCAACCAATGCTCATCTATACTTTTCGGTGGAGTGGTAGCTAGCCTAGAGGCTAGCTCGGTTCGATACTTACTTGCAACAGAAGTTGCAACCAGCTTGCTAACATCAATCCGTTGATGGCGGTCACTTCGTTGTCCACTGAAAAGTAAGGCAAGATTGGCGCAGACCAAGGCATGGTCAGAGTCCAGATAGGTACTCCAAAAGGAGCGGCAGTCTTTTACACAACCACGCCAGCGGTAGCTGATCGCGATGTGATCAATCTGAGTCCAGGCTTGAGATGCAGAGGGAGGACGCCAGGTGGCACATCGGCGATGACTGTGCCGAAAGTTAGTGCTAGCCAGAAACAGGTTGTGGTCTGTGCAAAGTTGCAGTAGACGGTCCCCGTTATCTGACCTGCGACCAACGAGTCCCCATCGGCCACCTAAACGACTCTCTTCTGTGCCTAGACGCCCGACCTGAGCATTCAAGTCTCCGGCTAGTACTACAATATCTGTCGAACGCACTTTCTGGAGAAGAACAGATAACTGGTGGTAAAACTCATCCTTGATTGCATCCGGGCTGCAATCTGTCGGGGCATAGGCGGAGATGACGAAAAGACATCGTTTCTCACGCCGATTTCTTCTCACTTTGATGGAACTTTCTAATCTAACAGCACATAACCGACTGTTAATGGGGATCCAATCGACTAGTGCTGCCTCAGCTCTAGCGCTTAGTGCGACACCAACGCCAGCAAGACCAGACGAAGATGCCACAGGGTCCCCGGATAAGCGCACGTAAAACAAGCTTTTCGAAGCGACAGATGGAGATCGAATTTGTAGTACTTCGCCAGAGTCTTGAATACGGGTCTCGGATAGACAACAAACATCGATATTAAGACTTTCCAAAGACATAGCCAGCCCTATCTGTTGTCCGACCTGCATAAATGTGCGAACGTTGAAGGCAGCCAGTTTGAATGGTGCACGTGGTTTCAGAAAAACTGCTTCAGTCCTCGTATTCGGTGGTAACATACAATTTTCAACCGGACAGTGACTCGAGAACGTTTAGTTAGAGTCGAATAATAATAATAATAGCAGCAATAATAATAGCAATAATAATATTTGAATCATTTGAATGTTCGTCGAAGCAAGAGAATTAGTTTCCATGATCATAGACAGTTCAGTTCATTAATTGTGTGTGGGTTGTGATACTGCTCGGGTGCCCAAACTGAACCAGGTGGTTTTCTTAGGGGGCCAAACCCCGAGCCTTTGACCTAATGGTCTAACCCACAAGGCAGTGGAGCATCGTGAGGAGATGCAGTCCCATGGTAGCCGGTGACCGAAAATTGGTTCATACACCATTTGTTCCCGCAGGATACTGGAGCCCATGTGCACCACTGATTTGGAATCCGGTTAAAATGCCGGACATTCGTTTTTGTCCTCTCATTTTCGTAAACAACACCCCCGCCACGAGAAGGCGGTTCACCATACTACTCATCGATACGCAAAAGTATGAGTTATATTCTACAGTATTTAGAACCAAATGTCAAATTCGTCCAACATTTTCTCCGAATGATACTAATTTAAATGATAAATTTCTATCTGTTCAAGCCTTAACTCATCAATCAGACTAACGTGTAATTCAAATTATTATGGGAATAAATGTGACATATTCTGTTCGCCTCATCCATGGGCATACGATTGTGACAAGAATGGACGAAAAATTTGTTTGCATGGTAAGACTTTTAAATTTATCTTCTTAACTTAAAATTACTTCATATACTGAAATCTGTAACTAAAAACTTTATATGGTCTTCTTTTCATGGTGACTACGTATTAATTCTATCGAAGCTCTGATCAAATAAATGAGTTATGGGTAAAATTAGAAAACGATAATTTATCTCCATATTAATACAAACTTTAATTCGTATGATGTCCAAGGAGCTTGTTATATTAATAAGCAATCAACGGGAAAATTCTTCATGACATACTCATTTAAAGGTTACTTACAAAATATGTGAGAGGCTATATGACAGTTATGAGCCATTTATAAAACTACATCGGCAGACACCAATTGAAACAGGCATTGTAAAAACAAAAATGTAAGATGTTACAAGCAAATAAAGCTTTGAAGAATTCATGCAAGTTGAATTTAGCTGTCACAAACTATATTAAATTATAATTACACTAGTAAATAGGCTCATGTAAAGACTTAGAGATACGGCATACAGACAATGGAGGGTCGCGCCACTAAATGATTGGATATGAAGTTGGTTACTGAATATTGTTAAGTAGTATAATACAATAACGAAGAAAGGGAAAACAGAAGTGCAAACAGAACACTACTATCGAACAGTCATAGATTTAAAAATCTTATTACATCCTTTTCCTCAGTTTAAAGTGGATAGAAACGATACTGACATTCAGTCTTCTATAGCTAAATATGTTTATACTTAATTGGTTAGATATGAAGTTCACTGAAACGAAACCGACTAGCTGGTAACATGCTCTATGTCAAAAGATTGTTAGAATTGTGCAGGAGAAAGTGTATACCACGTTTTTAAACTTTTTAGAACATTTAATCCAAAGATATCCATTCAAGCATCGTTAAGGATTAAAAATATGAATGTTTTACCTAACATTTAAGTCACTTAATCACACCAATCAAGATCGTATCATACACTATTACATTTTAGTCTTGATTACTCTCTAAATTTATTTGGGTAACATTTATTTCATATATAGTAGAGTATATTAGGCTAAAGTATTCTTTAATAATCAGAAACTGACATAGCCAACTAAGAATATTTTCCATATATACCTTGAAGCTAGTTATCTGGTAAACTGTAAGAAGATTTACATAGCATTACCGTTTGCTCTATCTTAGTGTATATTACTACTCACTAAGTTGAAATACATCTTCTTTCTCCTAATTAACCAATCAGGAGTAGATAGAATTAATGTTCCATTGATTTTTAAGGAGACCTTCAATGATATGTCGATGACGGTAGACTGAAAGCCTAATAAACTGAAATGCAAGCTATCACCAATTTATCCTTCATATAACAACCAGATATATAATTTCGTCAGTGGTAAGTTAATTAGTAACTGTACTTATGAATACTCTAACTTTCAAAAACTAAACGGTCAGTCGATGGATAGTTTACTGAAGTAGAATTTAATGTATGTTTCATGATGTGCATAAATCACAGCCTTAAATAAATATCACCCTCTTACTAAAATACAAGCCTTCTGTTTTGTAGCTTAATCATTTTACATTAAATCATGTAAGTACTCAGTTTGGATCTTACAGTTCATGTGAAACAATATGTTGAATTCTAACTTATCTTTTTATCCAAAAAGGTAGTTCTCTGTAAGTAAATTGTCTGACAGATATACTTAACAAATTACAAAAAAGCAGAACTCCCCAAATGTTCTTCTTAAATGAAGTCTTTATTTTAATCAGTAGATTTAAGTAATAATCACAGTTATATATTTGTTTCAGGCAGACATGGTGTCAACTGTGACATTATTGACTACTGCCAAATACATCCTTGCCCCAAAAATACACGCTGTAAAAATTTGCCGAGGGAACATCGTCGAAAATGCATTTGTAAAAACTATGAAGGTAAATTTTCATTATATATAGGGACAAATATTCAGGAAATCAAACTATAAACTTGTATATTACTGTGTCATCTCTACTATCATGCTTTTCGACAATATTTCTAAGAAATCATCTTCAATAGATTTTTCGCAATTAATCCATATTCTTCACCTACTTTCACTTTCAGTTTTTCATTGTTTTCTATCTCTATCATTAATCGTTTTCATGTGACCTTATGTTTAATTGAATGATATATGGCTCTGAAATCTTCGAATCTCTGAATTAAATGTTGCTGACTTGGAATAATATGCAGGTTCCTAACTAGTCATTTATATTCGAACCATTATTTGCATGAATCGAAGCTATGCTTATGCAATGAAAAAGCATTCATAGACTACAAATAATTATTATTATCTTTTTAATTTGTTAAAATTCTCCAGAAATCCTAACCATTTTTAACTTCCGAATAGAGATTTCGAGATATGTGTACGAAACGGGAACCAAAATTTTAAAAACGTGATTTAATTTTCTCTACTATGTGAGGCATTTTTCATATAGCACTGAAGAAACAGTGAGTGATGAGATTCATGATAATTTAAAATTCGGTGTAACATTACTAACAATGGAGATGGTTTAGTGAAAACTTGAATCCTTTGAAACAATCCAAATGCCGAGACTTATTCACTGAAAAACCTTCATTAGTGATTTGAACGGATGAACAACAATGTAACTGGAAGGTTTGCTGTAAGAACCATATTAAGTTTCAAAAGTATAAGTATCTTAGATGATGTTAATTTGCTCCCTTGCTAAGTCTCGTCAAACCTTGTTTTAGGACATACAGATAACTGCCTTTCAAGTTGATACAAAAAGTTGCAATCCAGTAACATTTAGAGTCAAAACCGGTGTCGATTACAAAAAATATTAGGCTTAATAATTTTTTTGGTCAACTATCACTATAAAATTCATCTCGTTGTAATTACTTTGCTCTATTCAAATAATACTACTGACATTCATAAAGTAATATAAAACTAAAGTTTTATATATTCCTATGTTTTCACATTGAAATGCGTTTACTCAGGTCCCGAATGTCATTCAGTTTACTATTCTTGCGAAAAGTCGCCATGTAAGAATGGTGGTCGTTGTACACTACTACGTGAACTGATAGAGGATAATGATGCTGAAGGGTTCATATATACTAATCAAGGAACCAATGATGATGACGATGAGACTATATGTATTTGCCCGGACAACTGGAGTGGACCATTTTGTACGCAACCAGTTATTGATTGTATATCGGAAAACGAAAAGTACAGGCTTTCGACTATGCGCTTGACAAATCGCTTTTGTTTAAACGGTGGAGTTTGTATAATTCATCCTGGTAATTCGAGTCCACGATGTTCCTGTCCACCAGAATGGGATGGATATTTTTGTGAATTAAATAAAGTGAGTGAAAATTGCAATTTTCGAACAATACTTTTATATATTTATTTAGCTACAGGTGTTTCTACTTCCTAGCGTTGATTTCTAGATTATGCTATTCTAAACATTTTTAGCTCCACTGTTCTCGTAGTTTTAAGCAGAGTAAACATATTTGTCAACTGAAGCTCCAGCTTAATTAATAAGACAAACTATATTTATGTACATAAGCAACAGTCGAAATACTCACAGGACTCTTCATAAAGCCTTGACTCGTAATAAAAAACTGTGTCAAAAGTTTTAACTGATTACTTTAAGTTACCAGAATAGTGTCGACCAACCCACAGCGAAAACTTATTACCTGATTAGTGGCCTGATAACTTCGTTTCACTGACGATTTGCGGCTTTCAGTCCGATTTCAGACACCATAGAGTTTAATCTGAGTCAACGTTGTAGTGTCATAGAATACAATGATTTCAAAAATGAAATCAGACTGTAGATACTTTCTAATGCCGAATATCAGAAGCCGCAATCTAAAATCTAAGGCATCCTACTGAATATCTCCAATCAACTAATAACAAACACAAAGGGAATTATCTGAATATTAACGTAAAAAATCAGTAAACAGACTTATACTCACAAGCTTAATTAAGTGTACATTTTTAAGAAGGAAGTTCACAAGTTGATGGACACAAACTCATTATTAATGGAGTTTTATTTTTGATAGTATAATAAGGATTCTTAATAGTTTGATGTCAGTCAATGAATTTGTACCCAACTGCCAAATAGTTTATAGTGTTGTGTTTTACCTAGCTTTTCAAGTTTGTGTTTTCAAGTTTTCTATCAGATAGCCAATATAAAAGTTGAATACCAAGCTCCAGTCAGTGAGTTTAGGAACCTGAAGACGGTAACGAAGATGCGACACGTACTAATTTTGCTGAATTCATTAAGTTATGAAAACTGAATTATAAAGAGTTTAGAAAATAGTTATCCATTACCACAAAATTATATTAAGTCAATTAACTGAGCAGGTGACTGTCGGTTCTAGCGATGTACGAAAGTGAAAATGTTTTAGCTTGAATTCGTTAAATTACTAAACAACTAATAACTCTTTATTTCTATCTTAAACATTTAAAAGCGATGAAGCTTACTCCAGTATCAATCCATTTGTGTAAATTCCCTCTCCATACCATTATTAAACATAGCAACGTCCATTGGCGCTTACCGCATCTTATTACCATATTCCCAATAGTTATTTCATCACCAATATGTTTACTAATTTGTCTTTCTTTTAGAGTTGGTCAGCTGGTAGAATGTTTGGAATAGCGTTCTCTATTATTTTTGTGATATTTCTTATTCTAGTCATTGGATTCTTTGTTTGGCTGTGTTATATGTCTAGGTAAGAAATTTTGTTTCACGTAATCATAGCATTTGAATAAGTGTATTTGAACTAACAAACTAAAACGTAGTGAACTGTAAACTCACACACATTTGCAATACAATGTTAGGAAATACATAATTCCATCTGAACAGGAAAATGTAAGATTCAAATAAAGTTATAACTGGATCTTGAACACAGAGTTGATTGGATGATAAGAGCTAATGAAAGTAAACTAAAAAAACTAAACAGAAATGCTTGAAGATATGAAAATGTAACACAAGAAAAAATCAGATTGGGGCCCGTGTGATCAGAATGTAATGACAGGAGAGCAGTTGTATGACTTCTCTGTTTCTCTATCTAGTCCATTCGTCCATTAGTTCACTGTTAGAAAGGTTGGTTTTTCTACGTTTACACGTATGGAACGTTAATTTACCTTAGACGAATATCTACACTATATTCCTTCTCAGCGTCTATTCTACAGGACTTCAACACAACTCAGATCAAGAACATGTGATCAGCCTGACTAGAACGTAAATATATTTCCACACCAAAACCCTACACAGTCCAACAACAATGAACAATTGATGATAATAATAATTATAACGGTAAGGGAATATATAACTCACCTGACACCTGTCAGACTATCTACATGTCTGACCAAGCAGACAACCAATCATTATCATTCTCGGCCACAGATCATTCACATGTATTGCTAGTAATACCGACCACCTTCTGTTTGCCAGTCTGACACATCAATCAAGAAGTCACTGCTTATTTGTCCTCAAGATCCTTCTAACGTAGTGTCCAATTAAAAAACGAAGGTAAAAGAACATCAGTTCTCTGTCATATACCAATTCAATTATAACTCAAAACTTATACAGTAATATCTCTGAAATGTCTGACCACACAGAAGTATAATTAGGAAACCACAAATGCTACTAAATCAGCGTTTTGGATAAACAATTAATTAAAAATACATCTAAAGTAATAAAACATATGAGAACTACTTATGGACTAAACAAAAACTTAGAAATAGAAAGATATAAAGAATACAACAGTTTAACCATCTACTAATTGTAGAATAAAACTGTCAATAATAATCTTTCGTATGATAGTCTAATAAAGTATAGCTCCCACTACTCGGCTCATTATATTAATTAAGTTATTATGGCAATAATAATTTATTATAATTTCCTATTGAACAGTTACATGATATGAAATCAATTCAAGAAAGAAAAAACTCTAAGTGTTTTGTCTGTTGCTCGTCAAGAACAGTTTCTATTTATTTGCTAAACTTTTTATATAAACTTTATGAATAACAAATGAACTTGGAAAATATATGTTCTATATGAAGTAAATACTTTTGGATACGTTAGGTGGTTCAAATGAACATACAGCAATACATTTTTTTCAGTATACTTGATGCCACATCTATGTATGAGTTAACTGATTTGATATTTTCAACAAATATTATCTAATCTGTAATTTCTTTTACTTTAGACATCCAAATATTCCACAACATCCAGCAATTACATATCTATCGAATTTCCCCTATAATAGTACTATCAGTGATAATGACAGTCATGAAAATACACGAGTTTACATGAAACATGAAAAGATATTTGATATTCCAGAAAGTAATCATTCCCCTGTTAAATTGAGTACATTTGGCGATAACGCAAATTCACAGATGGATACACGTAAAATGGAAAATCTTTATGAAGTACCTTATACACCAAACACAGCAAAACAGAATGATGGTAATTTTAACTCTCTAAATCGAAATGGAAGTCCATTTACAACTATTCAAAGTACTGATGAAAACATTTACGTTAATTATAACACTTTGATGTCCAAAGAACTAAAGATTGGTTTAGAAGACATTCGAAGGGTTACCGGGAGCTGATATATAAGTCTACGAATTTCTAAACTTCAGTGACATACATAATGTTAAGACTCAAAAAGCTTGTACGTGATGGGTTCAAATAATTTAATCAATTACATTATATTCCAAATTTTTAAAAGTGATTCGTATTTCCTCTCATTTCATTTTACCACTTTATACTGTTCGATAACTAATGTATTCGGTAATTTATGTACAATTTATACGACCTGATTAAGATGTGTATCAAGATGTAGATTTAGTTCAGTCATTTTTCATGTAAAATATTATACACATATGGTTTGCTGAATACGTTTTTTATAAAATAAGCATCCATTTCTAAAACGATGAGTAGTAGGTTTTTTATATCACATTATTAAAGGAATTTAGTTATACGTCAGGATAAGTCTAAGAAAATATACAAACCCAAACAGGGATCTAGTACAGTTTTAATTGCAGTAATTTATAATTGTAATTCCGTACTAAAAGAGAGTGAATAAAATGTTTAAAAAAGATTTTTTCTGCATAAAAACTGAAAAAGACTATCTTAGAATATTGTTAAATGCAGGTGTACAGTCAAATATTTGATAGAAATCTTGAAATTGTGTACTTAATTAGCCATCTTGTAATCGTAAAGTCAATTACTTGCTGTGACGTTTTTATACAGTAACGATTCGTTTGTGCATTATTCCGTAGCTTATTTAAATTCCAAAGACATTATCTTTGATTGTGCTCACCGAGTTCTTCCTGACTTGAATACCGGGCCATACGTGACTTGTAGTGACTTACTTTTATCACGAGAACACGATTGGTTTAATGAAAACAATTATTATTATAACCAGTTGTACCAGTGACTGTTTTAATGTGCTTTTTGTTTAACTGTGCTAAAAACATCCATTATACTCACTTCGATTGTGACCTCGCGCGAATCCGGTTACGCTCAGTAACCAAGCTTGTATCCTGGCACGATCCCGGTATTCTTTCGATACCACGAGATCGCCGGCAAATATATTTCGACTTGGTCCATTAACTGCCTTCTGATATTTGACTTCCAAGGGAATTTAATGGATATCCTGGCACGCGTTCCTTTGTAGTGGTGTTTATAGTCAATTTCGACACGACGCCACACTATAGACTATTAGAGTATCAATTGATCAGCTTTAAGTAATCAGAGTTAAAAGTGAATGCAGAGACAAAATTCATAATGTTGCGTCCATCACAAAGACTAGAGTGGTCTGTGTCGTTGGAAGGAGATGCGATCGACCTTGTTAGATGCCTGGGCGTTACTTTCAGTCAATAAATCCCGTAAACAACCACAGGGATATAAAATTTCGAGTAAAACTGTTTTGGATGTTTACTTTTATTACATTCATTTGGGCAGACAGATAAAGAGATGAGAAGTAGATAACTCGAGAGAGTCTGTTCAAAAATCAATCATTGTGCATACTAACAGTGCAAGAAAAAGACAAAACCGGATATAATATCAATTACACAAACATGCAGACAAGCATACAAGAGAACATAAGAGGCGTATGTGTTATGAGTTACAATCTTTTGTGGGGAAAATAGGGTTACTAGGAGGATAAAAGTGACTAGGTCACTGAAGTCTGTCAAAGATTTAGGATTGATCACGTATATGTGTCACGAGATGAAGACTGCTTAAATCCCAATATATAGGATGAATTGTACGTTTTAATTATACACTGATTATGTGAAGCCTTTGGAGTTTCCTGACTAGGAATTATTGAATAGCAGTTATTGCCATTTGTGCAGTGATTGGGGATATTTTTGATATGACCGAAGTAATAAGACAAGTAAACGATTAATCATTAACGCAGATGATCTATGTTGAATGACTAGGGACCTACACGAGTTAGACGGGAATAGTTTAATCAAAAGCTAACTTCGAAGCAACACTTCGCGATTGCAGGGCCAGTAAAATTCAACTGAGTACTGGCCAAATCATCCTGAAGTTGGGTCATTGATTATCGAACAAATCATCGATCCTCGTCAAGGTCAAGGACGACCAACTCGTTAATCGTATGCCATGGACTGGCCCATGTGGCAGTCGTCTTACTTTTGCTTGTATCTACTTTAACCAATATATTTCTGCAATAACGTCCTCTGTGTTGTGCAGTCTTCAAAGGATCTTTAGTGCCTTGATATGGCTGTTTTTAAGACTGTATAACCCAATCAACGTTGTTACAGAAATATATTAGTAAGAACGAGTACAGAGAAGATAGTGAGACCACCATCGCATGGGCCATTTGATGGCATACGGTTAACTGATGCGCGTTGGTTATCCTTGAACTTGTCAAAGATCGACGAGCTCTTTGCTCTTCAGTGACTCAACAGCCGGGTGATTTGGCTAGAACTCAGTGACATTTCAATGGCCCTATACGTTAAATAAGTACAGCCGGCGAGGTGCTAAGGTTGAAGTTATCACAAGTTCACTTAATCTGAGAACAAGAAACAAGACTCAGTGACAAAAGTCCAGTAAGCTAGCTATTGATGCGTCCCAGCCCCACTAACTAGAGGGAGAAGTCCAAGCTTGGAATGGGAAGTATATTCTGCGAACAGCCAGAAACGAGGTATAACAACAAACCTAATTCAAAACGTATATATACAGTACAAAACCGTCGTTGGGGAGAGTTACCAAATAGCATACTAAAAGACCCAACGAACCAATAGCATTTAAAATATTTCCTAGTGGGAAATACGACATAAAAGTGACAATAGCGTATTTAGCGCGAAGATAAGAAATTCGAATTTTTTAAATAAAATTAAAAAATTAGGTCCTTTCCCAAGTGGGTTCTGGGGATCTAAAGTCCCCAACACGAGGAATTCCCAAAACCAGACATCGTTGTCAGACATTAGCAAAGAAGTTGCTTTAGCATTTTTTGAATAGTTATCAGGTTCGAAAATCACGCTGCTTCGTGTAAAAGATCTATTTCTGCTTCAACTAGAAGGCTTTAAATTGGTATCGAGTGATATGTCTTCCCGTGGTTCAAGCATACTCTTTTAGTGTACATCAGAAATGTGACCTTTCAATGACTTACAGCACCTTAAACACTTCTGGATATCCCTTTGGATATTTACTTAGGCCCAGTGCCATCATAAACCTCAGGGAAGAAACCAAAAACTGGAGGAAAACATAACAGAACGGATTATAGGCAAATTCTAGAATTCGCTGTCGACTGATCTCGTTCAAAACACTTCTTGTGAGCCATGTAAAAGGAAACTTAACATATTCTTAAGGACTAAGGACAGTATCTCATTGGTTCTTACAAATATTTATCAATTTTTATCTTTAAACATACGCAGTTTCCTATCTGAAAGCATCAGCGATTTGCTAATAATAGATAACAAGTGTCGTTGAGCATAAGCTTCTTTCTTTTAGCCCAGAACCATTTGAAACTATTTTGTTTCTCCGAATCAAAAATTAGCGTATCAAACCAGAGCGCTCGGTACGGGCTTTGATGGTGGTGGGTTGTTCAAATGGTAGGGATACCTTGGTATCTATAATGATATTTCTTTCTTGATTCATCTCTATTCATTATAGAAGTGCTAGTATCTGCTAAAATATACATTAATCACCGTTAGGGACTATTTTTAGGCTCATGTTAGCAGTATAGTGTAGAGCTTCAGTAATAAGGATAGTAGGTTGATGAACCTGTATTAATCCTGACACACTGCTTTCCAGTGAAGGTCCAGCTTCTCCTTGAAAGTATTTACTGATGGGGCTGATACCACTTGTTCGGGTAAGGCGTTCCAATGATTGACTACTTGATGAGAAAAACGGGATCCCCACTTTAAGTTTATTAGATCTTGGTTTATGAACCTTCTTGCTATGACCTCGGAGATTATTAGTGCTGGAGGGAGCAAAAAGATAAGACATATTAACACCCAAATCATAATTAAAGATACGAAATGCCAGTATAAGGTCACCTCGTGTCCTACGATACGACAAGGGGAAAAGATTTAGGCGTTTTAAGCGCTCATCGTAAAGGAGTCTAGAAAGACCCTTCACTAATTTCGTTCCCACACGCTCAAGGGAGTTAGTATCCTTTACCAGACACGGACTAGCTGCTTGGATACAGTACTCTAAATGTGGTCTTACATAGGTGGGATATAAAATTCGAAACGTTTCCTCGTCAAAAGATTTGAACGCTCGGCGAAGTGACCATAACGCACGAAAACCTTTGACAGCGGCTGCTTTGCAATGCGTAGTTGTTTTTAAATCATGACTTAATACTACTAAGTCTTTATGCTCTTGAACGCATGGAAGAGGTTTACCCTCAATAGTGTAACGGTAACTATTACCGTGACCGATGTGCATTAGTACACTCTTCCTAGCATTGATTTCTAAGCCCCACTCTCGAGCCCATCTAACTAAATCGTCTAAGTCAGCTTGAAGATCCACATGATCAGCCGCACTTTTTATTGTTCTCCAGATTTTTACATCATCCGCAAACAATAATGTCGACGACCTAAGTAACAGCGGTAACTCATTAACGTAGAGAAGGAAGAGCAGAGGGCCTAAGATGGTGCCTTGGGGTACACCACTTTTGACCGGCTTCCAATCGGATAGCGTTCCATTGACCCTCACTCTCTGTCTGCGGTCACATAAGAAATTTCCTATCCACTCATGTACAGTACCTATTATTCCGAAGCTCGTGAGCTTCTGCATAAGACCTACGTGTGAAACCTTGTCAAATGCTTTGCTAAAATCTATGAATATCACATCGACAGACAGACCGTTTATCTAGGGCTGCTGTCCAATCCTCCCTCGCAATAAGCAAGTTAGTCAAGCATGAACGCTTGTTACGAAATCCGTGTTGCTCAGGAGCTAACAGATTGTGTAAATCTATGTGGCTTAGCAACCTAACCCGAATTATCTTCTCAAGTAAATTAACGACTATGCTAGTTAGACTAACAGGCCGGTAGTTAGATACTATCTGTCTCTGACCGTCCCTAAATATAGGACTGACTATAGCGTCCTTCCAATCTCTAGGGAGTTGAGCGAGTGAAAGGGACATGTTGAAGAGTGTCGCAAGCGGTTTTGAAATAATGTCCGCAAGAGATGACAGCAACCGTGGATGTAAACCGTCAGAGCCCGTTCAGTCAGTCACTCAGCTACAACGTAGGACCAGGCACATATGTGCATCGGTCCAGGTTGCCATACCGCATCAGCACAACAAGATGAACACCGGATTCATAGCAGTGGTTATGTCAAAGGTGGTAATAAATAAGAGGAAGATTGCATATAGAGATATAGTACAAGAAGAAAGAGTTGGTTCGTAGAAAGAAAGATATGAAGTGATTTTAATCTCTTAGTTTAAGGGAAGACAGGGAGTGTATACACCGACGCCATTGTGATCGATTCTGAGCCATATCACCAAGAGTCTCCAACCATTGGTTAAGAAAGTCACGCGGACCCCAACCAAGTAGTCTGCATCTACCAACATGGCTCAGACTACAAGTTAGTGTCTTCAAGCACTGATGCCACGTTTTGGTTTGGCCGTCCCTAACTTTCTTCCAACCATCTCCAATACCGGATAGCATTGCACGTCGTGGTAATCGGTGTTCAGGCATACGTAACACGTGGCCCGGTATCTTACCAGGTTTGAGATTAGTTATCAGTGGAAGGACAGTTTCCTCAGTTCCCTGTACAGATTCAATGGTTGGTATCTCGGTGTGAGTGGGACAAGTATTTGTTACAATAAACATAGAGAAGACTTCACTAAAATAGTTTGAAAAATTCTCAGCTTTTGCTCGATCTGATCCAGCTAGTAATTCTGGATTTTCGTGTAACAGTAACGGGGGAATACCATCACTACGTTTCATTTGCCGTTTAACATACGAAAACAATCGTTTCGGATAAGTACGGCTATCATATACTAACTGTCGTTCGTAAGTGGTACGGGATTTGGCTATGGTTCTCTTACAGATATTACGGAATTTTTGGTACTCACGCTTAAATGGTTCATGACCTGTCAACAAGAATAAGTCCCAGAAATGTTTCCTACGCTTTAACAGCTTCCGGGTTTCCTTATTAATCCATGGAGAGCAGTGTGATAGCTTACGTGCTGACCATGGGATAAACGGCGACGTTACGGGCTCGAATGTAGCCTTAAACTTATTCCATTCATCTTCGATCAATCCATCTGCGTCGACCGACCAATCAGTCGAGATAGCACAGTTTCTGGTCGCCGGAATACTGGCTCGCCAGATATTGGGACGGGGTGGAGCAGATACGAATTGTATACCATGTGTCCTAAACTTAAAGTGAGCTGGTAAATCTGTGTACATATTTATTCCTAATTACAAAAATTTTAACGTGGATCAAGGGAAACGTAACAGCGCCAAGGATCATTGCATTTGATTGTCATTATTAGGATGAGCTTGCACCGAACCATAATGTCGTGTTGGTTTTCCCAATTTCCCAAATTTGGGGAAATTCCCAAAGTCAAATGACTTTCATCATAGTTTAAGGAAAATTTTGTGTAATTATCGTGAAGTTTCCTCAGATCTGAGGGAATTTCGGGGTTTCGGTGTCATTTCTCAAAAATTTTCTATAGTGGCTTCCCCAAAATGGGTCAAATTTTCCCCAAAATTAGGAGATTGGGTTATTCTTGAATATGCTGGGGTTGTATACTAGTTTTCCAGGCTAGACTAAAATTTATGACCAATCAGGTATAAAATAACGAGTGTTGAATTTAGGCTCAAGATTCACTCATCCATTTGGCTAGATAGAGCCTTAGCATTATTGCTGATGTCAGTTCGTGATGAAAACTCTAAATCTAGTCCTAACCTTAACCATCAATTGTAAATCATAATTCTAATCCCTCACACTGGTTTATGACCCTCATTTATTCCTAGTTAGTAGGTGGACTTTTTCAAGGTTACTAAGTTCACTCAAAGGTAGTCCATAAATTATGGTTCTACCCAAGACTTTTGAATGTGCTAAGTGTCCAAACACTGTATTGATATTTTGTACCTACCAATAGGTTTTATAAATCTGGTAGTGGACCCAGGTAACGTAGTTTAAACTATGAAAACAAATGCTATTGGTCATAAAACCTGTTTTGTTTATCTCAGGTCTTACAGTTTCAAGATTAGTAATGTCACAAGCCACCCGAGTGATTGCTTCTTCGTAATGATCCACATAGTATGAAGAGAGTCGGTGGTAGCTAAACAAAGGTGTGATACCAATTCATAATATTGAAAACTTCAGACTTTGTGAACACCACAATCACTGGCTTTATAACCTTCATCCTCTGTTTCCCAAATTGAGAGGACGAAAATTGAATTTCCGGCGTTTTAACCGGGTCGGTCGATATGAAGGATCTAACTAGGTGACTTGGGAAACCTTGATTCCAAACCATTAGTGTTCATGGGCTCCATGATCCTAAGGTAACAAAAGGTGTATGAATCTATCGTTGGTCACCGGCTACCATGGAACTGCACCTCTTGACGTTCCACTGCCCTGTGGATCAGACCTTCCGGTCAATGGCTCGGGGTGTGGCCCCTAAGAAGACCACCTGCTCCGGTTTGGGCACCCGGGCAGTATCACAACCCACACACAAATCGAATGGCTTATGTGGTGCATATCTATTCGGTGCCTCCTTGTAACAATGTTTGTATTTAAATAAAATAATAAGAAATACAAATATTCCCTCACATCATCCGTATATTACCTTACGTCATTCTTCGTCACTTCCCTGACTGCAAATTAGGCAACGAATATTCGATTATCAGGAGCATTAATAGGCATATACAAATTTGTCACTTTACCCAACTTCCAACAATACTAACGACCACCCTTGAATAGGCCCTAGTCTGATATATAGAGAATTAGAATTTGCTTTTGCTGTTTTATTCTCCATGACGTTACTAAGTCCTGCCACTTGGACTAATATATTTTTGTGTAAGTTCACATTTTTATACCTGCTGTGGAACATTTTGATCAGGGTTTTCAGGAAGTCACTAATAGACTCACCTTTCTGTTTGCGAATTCCCTAAATGATATTTAATTTGTTCCTGTTAGTGCCCGGTTGGAAAAACTCTTAAGGTCGTTTTTACTTCGAAAAACAGTTTTGATCTTCAGGTTTCATGGTTTCTGTACTAGGTTTGTGAAATTTTACGTCTAAAAAATGAACGTTTTCTGAAATACACCATGTTAAATCGATAGATGTCAGGAAATTGCCAGGAGCCTTGTAAAGCATAGTGTCTTCAAGTAGGAAACTTTTATTTTCACGCCGTTTTGGAAGCTTAATCCGTACTTTCAATTATATGTCCCGTCTTTCCAAAGAATGAACTCGGACTCATTAAGTATACATAAATATGTAACTTCTAATCACTCTTGTTTGCTGTATTATAAGGTTGAACAAATGCTCGATTCTCTTTCGTCTACTGGGGGAAATTTATCGTCCATAGAGGCTTTAAATGTAAAAGAAGTAGTTCCTGAAAGCAATGTGAAGAAGTCGGTATGTAAGCAGTGCTATATATTTTATTACTACTATTTGTACTTTATCCGGGGTTTGTTTATATGCAAGTATCTCAGGTAGTATTTTTTATTTTATTTTATACACAAATTCTGGTACAACTGGTTGCTAAAAACGTATACTACACTCAAAATAAAGATAACGTCGTAAAAAAAATGAAGAAGAGATTACAACCAAAAAGTGAACAATAACATCATTGGAGATTAATTTCATTTAAAAATACAACCAAAAACGACTGTCAGTTAAGGGAGTCCTTATTTTTATGTGAAGTGACAAAGGCCGCTAACTTCTATTTCGAATTATATTTAATGTGTAAATCCACTGAGTTACATGGCCTCCAGGAGCCCCCGCTTTCATATTAGTACAGTAAGTAGGAAGTCCCTGGTGGTTTTAAATATCTAACCTTATATGATTATTTCGAGAAGGAAGAAAGATTCTTCCTACCAGAGCACATGTCAGTCAGTCAGCTACAACGTAGGACCAGGCACATATATGCATCAGTTTAAGTTGTCACACCTCATTAGCACAACAAGATGAACACCGAATTCATGGAAGTAGTTAATTCAATGTTGGTAATATACAAAAGAGAAGAGCACGTGTAGAACAACCTTACGTTCAGTGGATCTGGTCTGTTTTACCTTCGCTTTTGTTGATCATACATCACGGATTTAAAATACTGATGCGCTTTATTTGTCTTTCTTAAGTAAACGAACCTGTGGCTGACGCTGCATTCATTGGCGTAGAATGAAATAGAAGCCTATTATTGTTGGTTTTAGTACATAAAAGCCAACAATTTTCATTCGGTAAGTAGCGTAACTGTCAGGATCCATGAGCATTGAATTCTAAATTAAAACTAAAGAAAACCTGATGGGAATTTGAACCTTATTAACCAATCGATCATATGCATTATAAAATCTTGTGGCAAATACTCGGAGTAAATCTTCACCATGTTCTCGCTTCTGGTCATAGTCCAGCGATTGAATATTCTATCTGACTCTTTTTAAGTCTTGTGGTGGTGGCGATTTGTGTGACTGAAATACGAACCTAGTAAGTGTTTAACACTAATATGTCTAAGCCTGTATATTTGGTTGGCTTAGAGTTTTTGGCATGATTTCTCTAAAAAGGATAAACCTGAGGCTAATCGATAAAGAAATCCGTTTCAACTATTTATACTTGACCTTACCGCATATACTAGGTTCTACGTTACGGCAATCAACTTATTGTGGTTATGGTCCTGGAAGCACTACTGCACCAGTTGATTACCCAGAGATTTCTTCTGGAATATCTAACCTAGATAGTTTAAAATTTAAATGTATGTAGTGAGAAGCAGAAGTTAGATATTTGATGCCTAGTAAGGGTCTGATCTGTTATACAAAGGTGTTTTGCCCTTTTAATGTTCGTATGAAATTGTCTCCTACGTTAAAAAACTTTCATACTTACCATTTTACATATATAAGTCCTCTTTTCCCCTTAATAAAACTTAAAAGCCAAACGGTCGTGATATCATAGCCAGTATATGTCATCTTGTTAATCCCATCTAACTACGATGAGGAAGAAATTTAAAGTTGGGACAACACATGTCTGTTTGAGACTCTGCATTGATTATAAACAACTGGATGAACTTCGAGTTTGTATTGTTAGGCATAAAATCATATTCTTTGTAGTTAATTTTATTCCTGAAATTTACTTATCTACCTTATTCATTTCCCAGATCTTACCACTTGATCTTGTCGACAGTGAATTAAGTGATGAGTGTGATAACAATATTGATTCTCCACCTTCAAATCAAATACATTCATTTGATGAAAATAATGAGTTATGGACTATTAAAGATGATATTGAAGAAACAAAAGAAAAAGTTGGTCGCTGGACACTTAGCTCTGTAAGTATTCTTAGAAGCGATTGTAATTTTTTAGGGTGCAGCTAAAAAGGTATCTAAAAGTAAATCTGGCGGGCGCAATATAAGTCATTCTAAACCAAGTAACATAGAAGAAGAAAGACTTCAAATCCATAGTGAATCACAACGACTTGTACGAGGTCAGTTAGACATCTTAGTTAATTTTGTTTGTTTACGTTGTAGAAGCTGATGTACATTTACCAGTCCATAGACCTAAACAGTTTAAATGTTTCAGTGAGTTTCGTCAGTCTCTAAAAGGTTGCAAGTCAAATGAAACTGAAAGTTGTGAAACCTCATCTCAAAATAAGTAAGTCTTTTCTATATTGGAGTGTTTTCATGTGCTGAATTTGTTGAGTTATCTTTATTGTCTTATGAACAAATATTTGGTGTTTAATGTAAAACTTATTGTTACTGATATGTTCGGGCACCAAACTAATATTTTGTAACTCCAATTTCAGTACGATGAACGAGACCACTTCTATCCTTTTCTTTCCTGCTCAGCTAACTAGAGTAAAAAGTCCAATTTCGTAGTGGGAGATTGTTGATGATTGTGACCAGAGTAGAAAGAATTAAATATAAAATATATTCCACTAAACTGGGACAACAACACAGAAAAACATGCCTGTACGGAATTTATATGGGAAACTTATAGTTTATTTTTTATTCTTCCCCTAGCGCTTATTAGTTGACAGTGGATTGATTATCGTATTTAGATTCGTCAAAATTCTATCCCACTAACACCTAATGATTGACATAATGCGACACTTATTCACACTATGGCTCTTTCTCATAATTTCCGTACTTTGACATGATGAATGTCAATCCCCTACATCATGTTAATAAATTGAACCTCTCTAGCCTGGGTATAACAGTTCTAAAAGCTTAACGAACATCTGAAATAATTCCACATATTTGTTGGTGATATCCAACTATGGCTCAATAAATTACTAAGTAATGTTCAGACTGTTGATTTAGTCGTCCAGCAGTTGTATGTGTTGCTCGTACATGAACGTAGAGGGGAGCGTTGGTTCTGTCTGTCAATACCAAGTTGATACAAAAATAATTTGAAACTATAGAGGTAAATAGTTACTTTGATCAAACAACATATCCTACATATATTCTTATAATGTTCTTGTCAGTTTCTGGTATTCGGTTTTATTTCGAGTGATGGTACATTGCATGACTGTTTAACCTAGTGTTATATTGAAACTGCTTCAGTCCTCGTATTCGGTGGTAACATACAATTTTCAACCGGACAGTGACTCGAGAACGTTTAGATACAGTCGAATTTCCACCAAAGACGAGCCGCTGTATAAGTATAAAAGAGGGTGAATAATGTGGAAAATAATAATAATAATAATAATGACAATAATAGTAGTAATAATAATAATAGTATTAATAATGACAATAATTGTAATGATAATAATCTGAATCAATTGTTTGTTTTTCAAAGCGAGAAAGGTAATTTCCATAGGCATAAAGAGTTCATCAATTTGTGTGTGGGTTGTGATACTGCCCGGGTGCCCAAACCGAAGCAGGTGGTTATCTTAGGGGGCCACTCCCCGAGCCTTTGACCTAAAGGTCTAACCCACAAGGCAGTAGAGCATCGTAAGGAGATGCAGTCCCATGGTAGCCGGTGACCAACGATTGGTTCATACACCATTTGTTCCCGCAGGATACTGGAGCCCATGTGCACCATTGATTTGGAATCCGGTTAAAGCGCCGGACATTCGCTTTTCGTCCTCTCATTTTCGTAAACAACACCCCCGCCACGAGAAGGCAATGAGTAGGACTTCCCTGGCAGAGACTATATACGCGTGGCCGTGTGAGAGTATTTCGAGAGGGAGAGCGGACTCTCCCCACTCTCGGCCGTACCAGGGCATTCAGGGGGCTGCATAAGTGCTGGTGGGGGTGTGAGTGATGAGATCAATGCACGAATAGTGAAAGCCAGAGCGGCTTATGCCAATCTGGGCCACCTTTGGCGCCTTCGTGATGTTAGTCTGGCTGTAAAAGGTCGGATCTACAACGCGTCGGTGAGAGCAGTTTTGCTCTATGCTTGTGAAACCTGGCCTCTCCGAGTTGAGGACGTTAGACGACTCTCTGTGTTCGATCATCGCTGTCTCCGAAGGATTGCTGACATTCAGTGGCAACACCATGTCAGTAATGCAGAGGTTCGGCATCGTGTGTTCGGGCACAGGGACGATAATGCAATCGGTGTCACCATCTTGAAACACCGACTTCGGTGGCTTGGACATGTTCTACGAATGTCGTCCCAGAGATTTCCACGTCGTGCATTATTTGCCGACTCTGGGACTGGTTGGAAGAAGCGGAGAGGTGGTCAGTGCATGACATGGTGTCGTGGTATGAAAGAAAGCTGTAAAGGACTGGCTTGTGTTGGTCCTTCACGACTCCCTGGTTGGGGTCTGAGAGATGGTGCTACACAGTGGCTAGAGACGTTATCAGATATGGCTCAGAATAGAAGCCAGTGGCGATCCTGCTGTAACCTTCTTTTACTTTCTTCATAAAAAGTGGTTGTGTCTCCTTTACCTGAAAGATTTCTTCTGATTGTACCTTTTCGTTCCGTCGTTACTACCACACTACCTTACTCCAATCTCTTCGTCATTGTTCTCTTTTCCTTTTGCGCTCCTTAGTTTTTTTTTCTTTCTACTTCTCTTCGAATTCTCATTGTTTTGTGTGGCGCATATATATTGGTGCTCTCTTGTACCAATATTCATGTGTTATATTGAATGAAGACTATATGCTAAATGAATGAGTTGGTTTACGGTACTCCCTACTTGTTTCGATGCTATCTTGAACAAAATATACTTAGACTTTGCATGGTCAAATCGTGGATGATCTCTAATCACTCATGTTTCTCAATAAAGTATCCTTTTGAATATGTTTCTTTTCGACAGGTTATTATTGACTTGAGCAATGTAGAATCTTACATTGGCTTCTTCGTTTAAGTTGCCATGTTTAAAATTAATTTATATAGAGGAAAGAGATAGTAAGAACAAAACGTTAAAAGTAACTTTAAAATCATATATATGTACGTTGTAAATGCAGATTAAATGACTCTTGTCACAATATCTTCTGGCGAAAATTAGTTAGTGTAATAAACACTATTAAATAAAGCAATTAAAAATAAAAGGTTTAGAATTATGATCTCAAATTTTCGAATTCTATAATAGAGGAATACATATATATAAACCATCTAACTTTTGATCAGTCTTACTGAACGCCCTGATGACACTTTTTTACTGTTCTTCGAACCCGAAATAAGTAACCTTCAGTTGCTTTAACCATAGGAAGAAACAAATTTACACGTCTTCGATATTTGGTCATGAATGTTTTTCTTCATGGGCTTAGTGATATCATCGGTCTATTAATCATGATGAGTATCAACTACGGTGTAACTTAATTCTAGAAAAAAATTCCGATCATATTATTAGATAGAATACGATTCTTACAAAACAGCCCAAAATATGAATATTGTGCTTTGTTTTATTTATTTCAGATTACTTTACGATTGTAACTCTCATCTTCCACTAATTCCAGGACAATCTACCCAAAATGAAGAGACTGAAAATAAAATGGATACCAAACCATTCGTCTCACAATGTTGTTCAGCCGACTATCCTGTCGACATTGATTGCACCACTTTGGAACCACCATCAATGTCATCTGATGCCAAACCATCACTCGATGTTACAAGCGAACCAGATGTAATAACCAGTCTGTTACCTCGCCTTGCTGCGAGGAAATTGAAAAATGATGAAATGAAGAATTTTTCATAGATTTAGGTAGGAATAGATGTTCTTTTTTCGATTTTACCTAGTGTCAGTTTTGTACTCTTTAATTTATTTTTATCCAGTTATTTATCTACCAGCATTATGTCTATTGTTAAAGCCTAGTTCTCACGTGTTCTTGTAGATCATAATTATTAGAATATTTTGAAGTACCTCTCAAAGTATACATGTAAAGGTGAGTGGACCTTACTTCGATGAAACTTTATAAAGTTGGTTTAGAAAGTTCATATATAGGTTACTCTCTACAATATGTGTCCATTAGATAGTTCTATAACAGTTCATACTACTTTAAAGCCTATTCATACCCAAGCTTTCTTTTATCTCACCTCATTTTCTGCAAATGATCTTGTCAACTTTTATATCATCATAAATAACTTCTTTCTTCATTGTTTGTTGTACATTAACTTTTTCAAGGTGAATCAATCCCTACTTCAATGTCATCTGTAACTCCTAGTCAATTATTGGCTCGTTTAAAATCTCATCTTCACGTGTCTCATGAAAAAGTTGTACGTGGACCCATCCAATATTCAATCATAACAAAGGTATGTCCCATGTATTTGTATGAGGACATATCACTATAAGATTTCTTTTACTATTTACAAATTCTGTGCATCACTGTAGTCCTAATTTTAGATCCCTCCAGTTTTTACGCTCTCAAGAGCAAACTACGCGCTTGTCTATATCAAGTAGTGGTTTATGAACAAGCAACGTTCAGTGAATTCTATCAAACCAAAATAGGTCAATCCGTCAGGATGGTTGCTCCAAAATAAAGAAACGATTAATATATCTGATCAATTAATTAAACGTAAAATTTTCAGTAATATCATGGTTGTTGTATGGTTTTGAGTTCTATTTCTGAATGTACTACGTGTGATTATTTTTAAGGAGTCCTAACCCAAACTGATTTTTTTTCACTTGTACTACTGATTTATTGTGGGATTACTGTAGTGCAATACAGTCAAAACAGTTAACAAAAATATAGTAACAAATAATTGGGCTATCCGTTGATACTGATCTAATTAACATCGAACGAGTTTATTAAGCTACTCCTTAGAAAATTACCAGAAAAATGCATCGGTCTGTATAAAATTGTGTCATAAAGCCCTGGCCGTGAGCCACTAGTAATGTACGACTCATATATTTAATCTTATAGTCCTGTGTATGGTGTAATATTGGTTATACTCAAATTACCCTAAATTCATAATAATAGTACTTCCCAATTTAATACCACATTCGGTCAGATGTTCTTTGGTCGGCGAACTGTTTTACTTTTTTGGAGATAGGTAACACTGAAATTCCACTCATTATGACCTGGACTCAAAATGTTTTTAGTATAAGTAGAATCCATGTAAGAATTTTCCATCCAAACTTAGTCCTCATGTATTAATATCAATATAACTAAGTATAATTGTTCGCAGGCTGATTTCAAGGTGTTTTATTGTTATTATTCTTATTATCTTCATTAACTCAGAGATATTCACCCTGGATTTTTCTCCAAAAGTTGCACATTTTAACATCACTACACGATAATCCTCTTCATTCTCGTTCATTGCAGGTTCTTTGATCCTTATGTCTGCATTTTCTATGTACTTGTTGAAGAGTGTAAGAACTGAAGATACATAACTTTTTTGAACTATTCTCTACTGTGTAGTTAAACTCATGGATTGAACAGATATAAAATATATGCAGTGTTTATTCGTTCAATCAATCTTTTTTGTATAATAATATGTTGACTTTTGTTCCATGCGCATTTACATTCTCTTCTTTCCAAATTCAGCATGTCTATTGGTTTTATAATTTTATTCATATTAAGGTACAAAGCACTGACGCTGAACGTGAAGAACTACAGGTAGAAACAGTTACACATGAACCATCCAAAGGATTATCAACAACTATGTCAGTTAGTAGAAAACATTGGTTGGAACACAGAAAAGTTCTCGAAGAAAAAATGCGTCAAAAAAGACTAGAGCAGTATGAAATGCGGTTAAAGGAAGAGGGTACATGTCCAAAGTCAACAAATGAAAATACTGGGGTTCGTTGTAGTATTTGGATTGTAATGTTATTTGTACTGCGTTTATTATATTCTTTTTTAATGTTTTAATTGTTGAACATCCTAAGTTGTAAGATGGTGGTTGGGAAGTAGTCGACAAGTTACCCCAGACCTATATTTCGTACTATTTAGCACTCATCAGTAAAGTATACCTGCAATACTACACGAACTGATTTTTATTTGGGATTCGACCTTGTACTACCCAGCTTCACAGTCAAGAGACGTCACCATTGAGTTATCCACTCTAGAACTCAAACTATTTGGTCGTAGGTTAATTTGATCCTTTTTGTTTATGAGTTAAATACTGTTACCAATTTTGAAATTTTCCAGAAGTGTAAGTCGTTAATTCACTTGTGTAAGTTGTTTGAATCCTGCCATTGATGTTAAGGATTGCAATTGATCAGCCTCTTTTTGTCATATTTGGATCCTGTGCGGATTGTCTCGATATTGCCATCAAGTCACAACTATAATAAGCGGAAGTGTATAGTGGTTAGCAGTAGAATCCAGAACCTGCATTTTCTCCTATTTGAATCCGTTAGTTAGATGTACTCGCTTCTGTGGGAAGATTCAAAAAATCAATACAAATGAATTAAACTTTACCCGATTGCACAAGCCGTTGGCTATCAGTACTCAATAGTTAGGTGGATAACACGATGGCGTTTAAAGCAAACGGTACTGGGTTTGAATTCTGTAGTAAGCATCAACTCTTGGATACACAGGTAAACCTAGCTGACGAATCCCAACTAGGATTAAACGCTCATCCTCGATTTCATTGTTAGCCACTATCCATGTCTGCATATAAGTCACTAATTTGCATAAGTCTTCCGACTATTATTCAGCGGTCAATTAATTAATAGTATGCATTTGATACTAGAATACGCGTATTCGAACTACTGTCCCAAATGTAAGGTGTTACTTCTTGTAACTAAGAAAGTTGATTTCAATGAAATCATCCGATAACAGTGGAGTCTTTGCACACGTATCTTTAACAATACAAAAGTTACCTTTGAAGCTTTCCACTGCATTACATTCAATCTGAACTGATAAATGAAAATGGATGATTATTTATTTCATACTGACAAATTATAATCTTACATAAACACAAAAGTTACAGTCAGATAAGTAGAATTATTGTAAAAGAAAATAGTTCATTAACTTGCTCATTACTGACTTTTTGTACAATCAAATAGAAATCAATAGAAATTGTTCATACAAAAGTACTCATAAACAATAACCTTATCACAATTTTTTTCTAATGAATGTGTCGAAAATAAGATCTTCATCAGATAAAAGTATTTAGTTCAGAAGTAGTCAGTCATCTTTAATGAATACTTTTATTGCCTGAACTATTTTAATTTCTTTATTGAGTAAGACATCCATTGTGCTTCCTCAATAACTTTTATTCTAGCGATTTTGTTTATTAATGCGAAGACATCACAAATGGTGGCATTACTAAAAAATAATTGTATTCGACTATTGTATTATTACATTATATTTCAATATTTATTTTGTTTTTTTGTCGTCAGATATGTTTTTATCTAATTTCTCTGTTTACAATATATTCTTATCGAACTAAAAAATTTTCAGAGTAATTATCTAGTCAATAAGGAGTTAGTTGGTTTTCTTACTACTGTATAATTGTTCATAATATATTACGTTTTTACAGGAAGTATCCAATAGTGACGAAGAATGGTCAGAAGGAGATGCAAATGACAGTGAAATATCCGATGGAAACTCAACTACCGAGGAAGAAAGTAGTAGTGATGGTGAAAGCGAAGAAGAAGAAGAAGAAGGAAGTGAGTCACTTGACGACGATGAGGAAGATGATAATGTAGTGGTCGGTAGTAAAAAGGCTTCAAGACAGCGTCCTTGTCTCTTTGCGATGATGAAGCAGAAGAAAGTGAAAATGACGAAGTATTTTCAGAGGCCAATGATCTTGAAGATGAAGAGGCTCTAACATGTAAAGATTCTGCGGATGTAAAACAAAACAAATCTTGCAGTAAAACTAATAATCTAAACATAGATTTTGGAAAAAATGTAAATCGTCTTGTTTGTGAATCAGTTTTTCATAAATCATTTATTTAGTTAGGACCTTAACCTTGTTTTATGTGATCTAAGTAATTATATGATCTAGTAGTTACCTGTTTACTAATGTAGATCAGTTTATTTTTATGTGTGTTATGATGCTTATCATCAACGTCCCTGAATGAATTCACCTATTCTTATCATTTAATTCAAATTTTGGCTACCTAAATCATTTATTTGGTTTAGTCTGATATTCCTCTAAAGTATTGATGATGTCAAACATGCATATATACTGCTATTGCATTTATGTTTTACTTCATATATTTCAACTCCTCCCGTTATTACTCACAAATTTATAATCCTACTTAAACGTTTACTACTTTGTACTAAATTAAAAAGTATTTCCAGTGCTTCTAGGTTTTCCTTAGCGGTCTAGCACCAATTGACTTATGATCTCAACTATTAAAAAATATTTGTTAGAGTTAGGAAAAATAATGCTAGAAAATACTCTTTGAATATCTGATTTTAAGAAAGTCGTTTTACGCACAACTTTGAAACTTAAGCTTTATTTGCGTAAATGAATTAGTACATTGTTGAATTTCTCTCATCCGCAAATTATTGCCGTTAGTCCAAACCCGTCCGAAACTTATTAATGTAGTTATATTTCTTGGTAATTTGAGTGGAAGAAACATTCGCACTCTTTTGTGAGCACCTACTTAGATTCTGACTACGCGTTAGATTTCGTGTGTCTTTACCTGAATTGTTGTGAGCATTATACTGCTTGGAAATTTCGATTCTCGATTCGATTATGACTATTAGCGTTATACATCAGAGGCCAAAATATGACAGAAGTGCTTTAGTTATGTCATTCACTTGCACACGCTTCATTTTAATTACTGAAGATTATTTCTAGTACAAAAATGATAGGCTTTCACTAAAACATCTTACTCAGAGGATGTAACTCTCCTGAAATACAAATCTTTTGTTATGGGTCATGTTTTTGCATACTGAGTGCATTAAAGTGGTATACATAATTATGAATCATTAGTGCCAATCAATTTTCAGTTAGGAGTTACTTATATAAAACATCTTTGACCTTTGGGAAGCTAACGTTACTTGTGGCTCTCTGCCACTGTTTTTATTTTAAAGCGAGACTACTTAGATTTTTTCAGAACCCTTATTTCTCTACATGTCAAGTCAAAAATAGTAACATTTTGTAATGATAATTATATTTGTAAGTTAATTTGATCCAGTCGTGGACTGTATTCAGTATTGAGTGATTGAAGACAATAATAATTTAATCCGTATTTAGCACAAGTAGATATCATTGATTATCATTAGACAACTGATTTATGTAAATGGCATATATGTGCAGACTGCATTAACAACGTAGTATTTCTCGAGTCCTTTGGAACTTTTGTTAAAGAATGTGAATGTTTGTTTGCCAACTAACAGAAAACCATTTTGAACTCTGCTTACGTTGTGCAATGCTATCCGGTATTGGAGATGGTTGGAAGAAAGTTAGGGGCGGCCAAACCAAAACGTGGCATCAGTGCTTGAAGTCACTAACTTGTAGTCTGAGCCATGTTGGTAGATGCAGACTACTTGGTTGGGGTCCGCGTGACTATCGTAACCAATGGTTGGAGACTCTTGGTGACATGGCTCAGAATCGATCACAATGGCGTCGGTGTATACACTCCCTGTCTTCCCTTAAACTAAGAGATTAAAATCACTTCATATCTTTCTTTCTACGAACCAATTCTTTCTTGTATTTTATCTCTATATGCAATCTTTCTCTTATATATTACCACCTTTGACATAACCACTGCTATGAATCCGGTGTTCATCTTGTTGTGCTGATGCGGTATGGCAACCTGGACCGATGCACATATGTGCCTGGTCCTACGTTGTAGCTGACTGACTGACTGACTGCTTACGTTGGTAAGCTACTATTTTTCATACTTAGACTACTTAACACTGGCTTATCATTAATTTCTTCGTTTGTTAGTTTTTTAAAGACCGTCTTCGAAAATTTATCCTCAACTTAGTTATTTTGTTGTCCCGCACTACAGAATGAGTTGCGTTAGACAACCATTAAAGAACAGGAAGCACTGGTTGGCTGTTTCGTCCTAGTATGAAATCCCTCAACAGTCCTCATGCACAACCTCACCGTCGATCGAACACAGGGCTTACAGGTCGTACAATAGGCACTCAACCTTTAAACCACTGAATTGGGATTCAATAGTTCACATTTGTAACTCCAGCCAATTCGTATTACTTTCGTTTAAAATTTATGGTTTATTTACGACTTGTTCAGTCAACCATCCTATTGAGAAAAGAATGAACTTATAAATAAAGTCGATACTTTTTTTCTCTTATACTAAAAACCCGTTACCGATAATGGAAAAAAGTAGTAATATTGAAGATAGTCGAATCCAGTTACTTTCTTTATAATTTATTTGAAGTGTTTTCTCTATTCTTTCTCTTTGTTCACTCATATTTAGATTGTCAGGTCTCACACCCCTCAGAAACAACATCTGCAGTTGGATGATTTCACAGATCTACCACAGGAAAGCGCAGGGTTTAAACTTTTTTCATGTATGTCTTTTAAATGTTTTATAGTGTTTTGGGTTATCTTTATGGTTTATTTTTTTCACAGCCTTAAAAATCTCATCTTTACCTTTAGGCTTAATTATTCCACAGTGAGTTATCTCTAGCATATCTGGCTTATTCTCACAGTTAATCATTCGGTATGTTAAAATCATGTAGATGATTTTATAGATATTTTGTAAAGTTGTGAACGATCAAATTAGTCTTTAAATTGTTCTGTGTAATATCCTAATCCTCTATTCTGTTATTAGGTCTCTGTAGATTCGGTTGTGGTAAAATTATTATGTCTGATTAGAACAACTTGATTACTCAACACTGTATGTGTGAAATCATGTTTCATCTCATCAACAGTCATTACTCTGTTTGTAGCTTGCTTTACCTAGAGCAGTTATAGCAATTTGGATTGTTCATATTAGAGCACATAAACAACGTTGGAGTTATAAACCATTTTGAACTTCGATCAATTCGCTAAACCGACTATTATCTTATGCTCTGTTGTTCACTTCAACTTTTGCTGTTTATGTAGGACAGCAAGACTACGAAAGAAGCTTAAACGGGCAAAATCGAAGTAATTACGACTACGTAAGTTGCCAGAGTGAGAGTAGCATGCGGACTAGATCAAAATTTCATTTATTTCTAATAAAACACCAAACTTATATCTCTCTTACAGTATGCCTTTAAGACAGCATATGGTCCGTTCAGTTTTACTTGAAATACCATACTTCTAGTTCCGTACTTAATGGAAAGTAAATATCTGTAAACCTTCACGAACCAATTTTACTTGTTTGTCTTTAAATAAATCTCAATAATAAAGTAATTTCAGAACACACTTTCGTAATTGTCTGTAGTAACTACATTTATAATATCTACACTCCACTAGATAATGTTTTAAACTTATATTAATTTAATTCAGTTATTTATTTACTCTAAAAAGTGGCTTACGATTAGTCACGAAACGTCAGAAATTATAAATTCTAATCATTGGAATATCATTATTTTATTATCAACATTCTCCCCAATACTCAGTTTATTTAAAATTATCAAGTCTAACCGTGATAATGATACTTTAAAACTCATTGGTAACCGTTTCATTCCAAAAATTATTAGCTGAAGTGTAGTCCTTTTTCTCTTTGCATTCAGTTTGTTTACTGTTACTAAGTTTGTATAATGTATCGTAATTGTTCAACAATCAAGTGTTTTTGCTTTTATTATCAGAAGTAATGGGCATTTTCACTCCCAGAATATTCTTTCTAGTTTTAACACAGTTCATTCAATTTTCATTATTTCCTTAATTCATCTAATTTTTGTTCATCGTCACTTGCTTATTGTAGCTTGCAATAATGGTTACAGTTTAAGTCTTCCACAAAGACATCACGGAACTCTAGGTCCTGCTGATATAGACCTTTTCGCATCTGAATGTTCTAGTATTCTAGACAGTAAGTAATAAATAATCATTTTGTCTTTCTTACAGATTATCTCTACTAATAGTTTACTCAATATGTATTATTTTCAGTTCAACAGTCAATAAATTCGTTAACTGATGCCACGTTTCTTGGTTTGATTGCCTTTAACTTTACTCCAACCTGCTCTACACCAGGAAATGTTGCGTATTAATGTAGGTGGTGGTTGGGCATGTTTAGCATATATCATAACCATCTTAGTCGACAAAGATCCACTGCCTTATCTACCGATTGGTGACTAATTTTGTGTAAAGTTAATTCAGTTTTATCCTTTTGTCGGTGGATAGATATCTAAATTTTTTCCCAATCTATTGTTTGTCAGTTCTAATTAATCAAAGGGTGTATTAGAAAGCATACATTTATTGTATCTATTGTTGACAGTAGTGTAGTTTGAAATTCACACTTATGATAAAAAGTTGAGTAGTATTATTTTCTAAATTTTATCTCTTAGACCTTGTAAACATTTCAGGTGATCAAAATATTTGTGTTCTTTTTACATTACTATAAGGGGATTTGTGGAGATTGTGGAACTCTCATTTTTTTGAATCAAAACTGTTCTTAGCTGCAAGCACTGGATGGGCATTTCGTCCCAGTACTGGACTCCTTAACAGTACGCGTCCACTGTCCTCCATCCAAGAATCAAACGCGGGACCCTCGTCTCGCACGCGAATCCCTGAACCTTAGACGACTGACCCGGTACCGACTAGTATATATATATTAATTTCTCTGCTGATGCAATTCCAATTTTTTAATTTCATTGTATGCTCGGTGTTTACTTAGCAATTTTTTCTAACTTTTTTGCCAGGAACTATGAATCCTCAGTCTATATTGGCCTCTACTCGTTTAGATGCAACTACCATCGGTGTAAGTATATCTTGTGTTTCTCTTGTTTCACACTAAACTTGACTTAACTAATTATTTTTCTAAACTGAAAATAAATCCTTAAGTCTTATCATGTATCATAAATAAAAATTTGTTTTAGTGAAACTAGTCATTTAAATTACTAGTCAGCATTAATCTATAAAGGATTATTTTACTTTTGTAGTTGAAAAATGAAAGCTGCGTGGTACAACTAGTGATTGGTATTACCAATGTTCTGTAACATCATAACCCAATGCACTAATCATCTACCTGTCTATTGATAAAATTATGATATATTTGTGAATTTGAAATTATTAAGTCGAATGTTGGTAATAATACTTATCTTTACGTATTTTACTGAATCTGAAAGAAAGTTTGGAATGAACGAAACTTTACGCTTCTAATCACTATTCAATAGAGTGTATCTGATATCAAGCGAAAACATGTCTCTTTCAGTAACATAGTCACAAAGGTTTTAAACTAACCTACTCTGACTCTAGTAAATGTTATGTCTGATTAGCTTAAGTTGATAAATTTCTTTCAAATTCATTCCTTCATCCAGAAGGTCAACTTTGCTCTTTTTTTCTTAATTAGGACGAAAACAAGTCTCGATTTACCCGTAATTCATCTTCTCATAGTCAATGGAATAATACACCTTATGAATTACTGTATTCTCAAAAGCCAAACAGTCAATTGCGTAAGCCTTGCAAGATTTCTATTTTTAATCATCGTTAGTTTATTCAAATAATTTTTATTGATATAACCGATTCATTAGTTTTCATATTTATTAGTCTTCATAATTTCAGAGAAGCATTTTTTCTGAAACAGAAAGAAATATAATTGTCATCAAATTTCAACATTGTGCTTTAAGTGGTTAGCTTAAAAGTATTTGAAGGAATTCTTATTTGAAACAAGGGTGAGACTATAATTTATGAACGACCTTTGAGCGACGCTGGACTGACCTTGATAGTGTCCATCTAATAACTAGGACCAAATGAAGGTTATAAACCTGTGTGAGGACTTTGAGTTGTGATTTGCAGTTGACGGTTAAAGTTAGGAATTATATTTAGGGTTTTCATCATGAACTGACGTCAGCTATAATGCCAAAACTCCATTTATCCAAATGGATGAGTGAATTTCACGCCACAATCCGAGACCTGCTATCTTATACCTGATTGGTTCGTCCATAAATTATAGTCTCGCCGAAATGAGTTTTACATAGAGCTTAATTATTTTTAGTTCTTTCTTTTTATTAACTATGGACTAAAGTGTTAAAGCTGTTCCATTATTGGTTTGTATTTTATTTTGTTAGTAGCTTCCAGATCAGAGTCTGTCACTCAAGAGTCCACTGATGACAATCATATAATGACGTGTAAGTTCATCTGTTATACAATATCTAATATATGTCACTGAAATCACTAACCGATCTAAGTTAGACCACCATGGAAAACTTGGAAGCATTGAACTGCCATTTCGTCTGAGTGTGGAACTCATCCGTGATCCCGCACTCTGGAATCTAACGTAGGACTTTCTATTTCGCGCGCAAACCCTTCATCTCTAGACCACTGAGTTGACATCCAACGATGTTGACTACTAGCTTCAATCAAATCACAGCATTGTGTCACCATCTTCCATTGTTTGCGGTGAGTAACTGGCTCACATCTGACACGAATTAGCACTTCTCCCAATATTTATCTTCTCTGTTCAGCTTAGGTTAAATGGGTTTCACTTATTGAGAGAACCGCTAAGTTGTATCTTGTCATTCATGCAACTATTTGACTGGTGCTCCCGGTCTCTCATATTCCAAGTGCCTTTATAAATTGAACCTTAGTTATCAGAAGGAGCACCGGCCTCATGATTTTCAAAGAATCTTGTCTTTCACTATTAGGCATAATGATTCTTCTACGTGGTGACCTTTCAACTTCCATGACAGAGTTTGAATACTTTAAACTGTTTTCTTCAGGTTATCGTGATTTAGTAAGATATTTTTCTACGAGATGCGGTTGCTGACCCTATGCCCAACCCTCCTTTATCTGGGCTTGGGACCAGTAGTAACCCTAGAAGAGCTACAGGTGCAGTTAGATTAGGAGATAAACAGAAATATTTTCTTTGTAACATAACCTAGAAATAATGTTCTTTTTCCTTTCGGGAAAACTCTTGAACTATTCCACAAAAAATAAATTAATTTTTGTCATTTTATCTGTATTCATCTCGTCTTCTAAGTGTTTCCTTCTGTTCATCAATATTTCCTTCTTTTTAGCTAACCCTCATAATATATCATCTCAGGACACGGTCTTATTATCTGAGGAACCAACTCAACTAACATCTCAGCTAGATCCTACGATTATAATATCTGAGGAAACGAATTCAAGTCTTCGTGAGTTATAAGCGTTTTATACATATCTATAGTATCATTATATGTATTAAGCCTATCATTTTGAATCATCTTCATTGACTTTACTCCATTACATTACATATCTTTGATAATCGTATACAAAGTCACTTTTACAAGTAAATTTCTACAGATTGAAGAGTAATCGACCTTTAAAGTTATGTAACTTTTAGTTCGTTCTTAACTGCTTTATGCTCATCTTTAGTGCCACAATGATTCCAGTCATTTTTCACTACTCCTTGTCCAAATTCATAACGTTTATCTGTTAAATATCTTGTAATTATCGTATTTTATTGCGTTTATTGTTTAACGATAAATACATATAACTGTGACGTACACATCCTAGGGTCAAATATATTTTTATCACATTGAACCCTATAAGAACACATTAAGTGGTTTTTTCGATGGTATACTTATTCTGCCATAACTGTGATTAAAACAACATCTTGACTGCCGAAGGCGAAAAGTATAGAATACCTTCCTGATATTTTTAAGTTTCCTTAATGAAAATTAATTCATTAATTAATATATCGTGGTTACAAAATATGAATTTGTGTACTTAGCTTCGTTTTATATTTTTTGTACGGGATAGCGTACAATTTGCCTTTAAAATTGACATAGTCGCAGCCGAGTTTAAACTAATGGACTTCAACTATGTTGGGTGTGACGCAGCGACACACCGAAGACAATGGGAAACACTTGCGCAATGTCGTGGATTAATTGAAGTTAGACACCAACACCGTTAGATCTCGCCTCAGTAGTCTAGAAATCAAGCGTCCACGAGAGATCAAAAGTCTTGGTTTCGAATCCCACGTGCGGAGTCGTAGGTGAGCTCTGCTGAGGAATGCCACGCTAAAATGAAACAGCCGTTCAGTGCATCCAGGTCTTCAATGGTAATCTAACATTTATCGGTTCGTGTTCTCAATTACAAACTTATTTGTCAAAGTCAAATGGTTTAACCTTCAGGCCATTACTTATAGGTGTTTACGATGATTTTGGTGCACTACCATGTTTATTTAACATTAGTATTCATATGTTGATCTTTTATCCTCTTCAGTGTTTTGTTTTACTTCTCATAAATACAGAATCACAAGTTCTCCACGAAAACCGTCGTCATCTGTTCGGTGAATCAGTGAGTGACCAGTCAGGATTGTTTGTGGACATCCTTACAAAGTCAAGTGTCGAAAACAGCAATGCTGGTATTTTAACTTTATTGTCCTAAAATTTTCTAATTTATTTGACATAACCCTGTGTTGCATATTCTTATAGCATAAATGACTGTTTGTATGAATTTGCTTCTGTTTGGGTAATAATAATTTTTTTATTGATAACATTGTCTATAAAAATAGCATACCATCTGAAAATTTACAATTTGTAATCATGCACAAATTACTGTCGAGGAAACAAAAGATCAGTACTGATTCCATATTTCTCAGTAGTACCATAACCTTGATACTGTATAGTTTCATTAAAAAGCATCTAAAATACTAGCCTCGATAATTATCACGCGCCTAACTAAGACTCGTGAACTGCAAACACGAGAGAATCAAGCTGGCTTCAGACCTGGTCGTGGCTGCATCGACCACATATTCACCATTCGTCAGGTTCTAGAACACAGGCATACTTATCGACGTCCGACGATGGTGGTCTTTCTTGACTTAAAAGCAGCATTTGACTCTGTAGACCGCGAGATTCTGTGGCAGTGTCTGTCATTAAAAGGCGTACCTCAGAAGTACATAAACCTTGTAAAGGCTCTTTACTCGAACACTACTAGTCGAGTCAGGGCTTATGGCGAACTGTCATCTACTTTTGCGACCTCAAGTGGTGTCCGTCAAGGCTGCCCACTTTCTCCATTTTTGTTTAACTTCATCATAGACCTATTGATGGAAATAACACTCTCGTCGACTGAACTCTCGGGTATTGATCTCCATCCACGAGGTCCACTTATCGACTTAGAATACTCAGATGACATAGTCCTGTTTGGTGAAGACGCTGACAAAATGCAGAGTCTTCTGGTAGCACTAAGCAACAATGCCAGAATGTTTGGGATGCGCTTCTCTCCCTCTAAATGCAAGTTGTTGCTTCAGGACTGGTCTGCGTCAACACCTGAACTAAGGATAGGGAGTGAAGTAGTCGAACGTGTTGACAACTTCACTTATCTTGGAAGTCTGATCAGCCCTAATGGGTTGGTGTCTGACGAAATCTCAGCACGGATTCGTAAAGCTCGTTTGGCTTTTGCCAACTTACGTCACTTTTGGCGGAGGCGAGATATCCGTCTATCAATAAAAGGACGAGTATACTACGCGGCAGTCCGTTCTGTTTTACTTCACGGCAGCGAAACATGGCCTTTAAGAGTAGAAGACACTCGTAAGCTACTAGTGTTTGACCACAGATGCCTTAGAAATATTGCTGGCGTCTGCTGGGATCACCGGTAAGTAACAGTGAGGTTAGACGCAGGGTATTAGGGAATGGTAGTAAATCAGTTGATGAGGTTGTGAATCTTCATCGACTGAGATGGTTGGGCCACGTATTACGCATGCCCAACCATCGATTACCACGACGCGCAATGCTGAGTAGTGTTGTGGATGGTTGGAAGAAAGTTAGGGGCGGCCAAACCAAAACGTGGCATCAGTGCTTGAGGTCACTAACTTCTAGTCTGAGCCATGTCGGTAGATGCAGACTAGTTGGTTGGGGTCCTCGTGACTATCGTAACCAATGGTTGGAGATTCTTGGTGACATGGCTCAGAATCGATCACAGTGGCATAGGTGTATACACTTTCTGTCTTCCTTTAAATCGTGAGATTAAAATCGCTCCATATTTTTTTTCTACATACTAAATCTTTCTTCCTGTACTATAGCTTACGAGTGTCTTCTACTCTTAAGGGCCATGTTTCGCTGCCGTAAATTAAAACAGAACGAACTGCCGCGCAGTATACTCGTCCTTTTATTGATAGACGGATATCTCGCCTCCGCCAAAGGTGACGTAAGTTGGCAAAAGCCAAACGAGCTTTACGAATCCGTGCTGAGATTTCGTCAGACACCAACCCATTAGGGCTGATCAGACTTCCAAGATAAGTGAAGTTGTCAACGCGTTCGACTACTTCACTCCCTATCCTTAGTTCAGGTGTTGACGCAGACCAGTCCTGAAGCAACAACTTGCATTTCGAGGGAGAGAAGCGCATCCCAAACATTCTGGCATTGTTGCTTAGTGCTACCAGAAGACTCTGCATTTTGTCAGCGTCTTCACCAAACAGGACTATGTCATCTGCGTATTCTAAGTCGATAAGTGGACCTCCTGGAAGGAGATCAATACCCGAGAATTCAGTCGACGAGAGTGTTATTTCCATCAATAGGTCTATGATGAAGTTAAACAAAAATGGAGAAAGTGGGCAGCCTTGACGGACACCACTTGAGGTTGTAAAAGTAGATGACAGTTCGCCATAAGCCCTGACTCGACTAGTAGTGTTCGAGTAAAGAGCCTTCACAAGGTTTATGTACTTCTGAGGTACGCCTTTCAATGACAGACACTGCCACAGAGTCTCGCGGTCTACAGAGTCAAATGCTGCTTTTAAGTCAAGAAAGACCACCATCGTCGGACGCCGATAAGTATGCCTGTGTTCTAGAACCTGACGAATGGTGAATATGTGGTCGATGCAGCCACGACCAGGTCTAAAGCCAGCTTGATTCTCTCGTGTTTGCAGTTCACGAGTCTTAGTTAGGCGTCTGATAATTATCGAGGCCAGTATTTTAGATACTATGTTTGTTAAACTAATCCCTCTGTGGTTGTCACAGGATGATTTTGACCCTTTCTTATATATTGGGACGATAAGTGATTGCGACCAGTCAGATGGGATAACGTCTAACTCCCAGATCTTAGCTAAAATATTAGTCAACCTAATCGCTAAAATTGGACCACCATCCTTAAAGACCTCTGGAGCCAATCCATCTGGACCAGCTGCCCTTCCTCGTTTCAGATTAACTATAGCCTTCTCAACTTCAGCAAGAGTTGGGGGACCTACTTCAATGTTCCATTCACATTGTCTGGGAATGGAGGGTAGTTGTAGAGTAGCTGAAGGCCAGCTGAACTGTTCTCTAGAATGTTCCGCCCATCGTTCTAAACGTCTGGACTGGGAGCAGATGAGGGTATCGTCTTTTTCCGATATAATCTCACTTACACTTGACTTATTAATTCCAGTTTCTTTTATTAGTCTGTAAAGCTGTCTTGTGTTCCCTATCTCTTTTGCTTTCGTTACCCACCACTGCCCACGGTCGTTCCTTAGACTTTTTCTTAACCTAGATCTGATTTCTTTACGCTCTTCATCATGTTCAGAACCTGATGGGACGAGTTTGCGAGAATCCATCAGTGTGACAGACCTTGAAGAAATCCACTGGTTCCTTGTAACTCTGTGGTTTAAGTCACTAACAGATGTCACTGCTGTTTCCACAGCTGATTGTATGCCCTTCCAAGCAACATCTGGGTCAGCCTCGTCTTCACAACTACCTAAGTGTGACCTCAGTTGTTCCTGGAACCTACTTTTGGTTTTCTCGTTACTCAACTCAGTTCTAACGGGTCTTTTTAATGTGGCTTTTTTGCGTCCAGTGAGCCGCAAGCAGATGCGCGCCCGTATTAGGGCATGGTCGGAGTCCAAGCAGGTACTCCAGAATGAGCGACATTTTTATTTATTTATTTATTTGAACACATAAATATTGGTACAAGAGAGCGCCAATATATATGCGCCACACAAAACAATGAAAATTCGAAGAGAAATAGAAAGAAAAAAAAAACTAGGGAACGCAAAAGAAAAAGAGAACAATGACGAAGAGATTGGAGTAAGGTAGTGTGGTAGTAACGACGGAACGAAAAGGTACAATCAGAAGAAATCTTTCAGGTAAAGGAGACACAACCACTTTTTAGAAAGAAAGTAAAAGAAGGTTACAGCAGGATCGCCACTGGCTTCTATTCTGAGCCATATCTGATAACGTCTCTAGCCACTGTGTAGCACCATCTCTCGGACCCCAACCAGGGAGTCGTGAAGGACCAACACAAGCCAGTCCTTTGCAGCTTTCTTTCATGCCACGACACCATGTCATGCACTGACCACCTCTCCGCCTCTTCCAACCAGTCCCAGAGTCGGCAAATAATGCACGACGTGGAATTCTCTGGGACGACATTCGGAGAACATGTCCAAGCCACCGAAGTCGGTGTTTCAAGATGGTGACACCAATTGAGTTATCATCTCTGTGCCCGAACACACGATGCCGAACCTCTGCATTACTGACATGGTGTTGCCACTGAATGTCAGCAATCCTTCGGAGACAGCGATGATCGAACACAGAGAGTCGTCTAACGTCCTCAACTCGGAGAGGCCAGGTTTCACAAGCATAGAGCAAAACTGCTCTCACCGACGCGTTGTAGATCCGACCTTTTACAGCCAGACTAACATCACGAAGGCGCCAAAGGTGGCCCAGATTGGCATAAGCCGCTCTGGCTTTCACTATTCGTGCATTGATCTCATCACTCACACCCCCACCAGCACTTATGCAGCTACCCAGATACACGAACTTCTCAACTACGTCTATCTGCTCACCGTCCAGGGTGAGTACAGGATTAGAATCCTGCCAGTCTTGTAGAAGTACTTTGCACTTCGAAGGTGCAAAGCACATACCATACCTACGGACACTGATTGCCAACTGATTAAGTGCGGATTGCATGCCTTGGGCATTATCGCACAGTAAGACAATATCGTCCGCATACTCAAGGTCGAGAAGTCTTTCTCCAGGCAACAGATCCACACCACCATTACTTACATTCATCAGAGCTGTTTCCAGAATGTCATCGATGGCAAAGTTGAAGAGGAATGGTGAGATTGGGCAACCCTGCCTAACCCCACTGCTCGAATGGAACAATGGAGAGAGGTGGTTGTATGCCCTCACTCTGCCTGAGGTGTTTTTATACAGGGCTTTCAGGATGTTAATAAACTTCTCAGGCACACCCTTCTTCAATAGACAATCCCAGAGAACAGTCCTGTCCAACGAATCGAAGGCAGCCCTGATGTCAAGAAACACTACGATTGTTGGCCTTTGAAAAGTATGGCGGTGTTCTAACATTTGGCGGAGGGTGAAGATATGATCAATACATCCTCGACCAGAACGAAACCCAGCCTGCTCCTCGCGAGTCAATCTTTCTCGGGTTTTGAACAACCTACGAAGAATGACGGAAGCCAATAGCTTGGACGCAATCGGAAGTAAACTTATCCCCCGATAGTTGTTACAAGAACGACGTGAACCCTTTTTAAAGATAGGGACAACTATCGACTCATTCCATGACGTTGGTACACACTCTAGTTCCCAAACCTTTGTAAACAACGTCGTCAATTCCTTAGTCAAAAAGTCACCACCATCTTTAAAAAGAGCCGGAGGTAAGTCATCTGGGCCAGGTGATTTGTAACGCTTCAAGAGTTGGAGTTCCTTGCGGACTTCCTCCTCATTTGGTGGATCAGTCGTCACCGGCCATGGAGGGCAGGACAGTCTGACCGATGTTGCCGGAGCAGCAGGCCAGTTGAACTGCCCTTCGAAAAATTCTGCCCATCGTCCAAGACGTCGATGGATGTTAGTGATTGGCATCCCATCATCCTCGCAGATTGTTTCACTCACACCAGACTTCTTGCTGCCAGTGGCTCGGATGAGCTGGAAGAGCTTCCGGTAGTTACCAGATGCAGCTGCTGCTTCCAGCTCATTAGCACGCATCGACCACCAGGCTTCTCGGTCCTTACGCAAGCTTTGCCCAATTTCCTTACGTAACATCCTTCGTTTATGGTCAAACTCACGGTCACCCGGAGTAGACCGACGGGCTTCAATGAGTTGTAAGGAACCAGAAGAAACCCAGTGCTTAAAGCGGGACGTTTCGCAAACCCACAACTGACTGTTCCCGCCATTTTCATGGCGTCATGCAATTGCAACCAATGCTCATCTATACTTTTCGGTGGAGTGGTAGCTAGCCTAGAGGCTAGCTCGGTTCGATACTTACTTGCAACAGAAGTTGCAACCAGCTTGCTAACATCAATCCGTTGATGGCGTTCACTTCGTTGTCCACTGAAAAGTAAGGCAAGATTGGCGCAGACCAAGGCATGGTCAGAGTCCAGATAGGTACTCCAAAAGGAGCGGCAGTCTTTACACAACCACGCCAGCGGTAGCTGATCGCGATGTGATCAATCTGAGTCCAGGCTTGAGATGCAGAGGGAGGACGCCAGGTGGCACATCGGCGATGACTGTGCCGAAAGTTAGTGCTAGCCAGAAACAGGTTGTGGTCTGTGCAAAGTTGCAGTAGACGGTCCCCGTTATCTGACCTGCGACCAACGAGTCCCCATCGGCCACCTAAACGACTCTCTTCTGTGCCTAGACGCCCGACCTGAGCATTCAAGTCTCCGGCTAGTACTACAATATCTGTCGAACGCACTTTCTGGAGAAGAACTGATAACTGGTGGTAAAACTCATCCTTGATTGCATCCGGGCTGCAATCTGTCGGGGCATAGGCGGAGATGACGAAAAGACATCGTTTCTCACGCCGATTTCTTCTCACTTTGATGGAACTTTCTAATCTAACAGCACATAACCGACTGTTAATGGGGATCCAATCGACTAGTGCTGCCTCAGCTCTAGCGCTTAGTGCGACACCAACGCCAGCAAGACCAGACGAAGATGCCACAGGGTCCCCGGATAAGCGCACGTAAAACAAGCTTTTCGAAGCGACAGATGGAGATCGAATTTGTAGTACTTCGCCAGAGTCTTGAATACGGGTCTCGGATAGACAACACACGTCGATATTAAGACTTTCCAAAGACATAGCCAGCCCTATCTGTTGTCCGACCTGCATAAATGTGCGAACGTTGAAGGCAGCCAGTTTGAATGGTGCACGTGGTTTCAGAAAATCTGCTTCAGTCCTCGTATTCGGTGGTAACATACAATTTTCAACCGGACAGTGACTCGAGAACGTATAGATACAGTCGGATTTCCGCCAAAGACGAGCCGCTGTATAAGTATAAAAGAGGGTGAATAATGTGGAAAATAATAATAATAATGATAATAATAACAATAATGACAATAATACTAGTAATAATAATAACAGTATTAATAATGACAATAATTGTAATGATAATAATCTGAATCAATTGTTTGTTTTTCAAAGCAAGAAAGGTAATTTCCGTAGGCATAAAGAGTTCATCAATTTGTGTGTGGGCTGTGATACTGCCCGGGTGCCCAAACCGAAGCAGGTGGTTATCTTAGGGGGCCACTCCCCGAGCCTTTGACCTAAAGGTCTAACCCACAAGGCAGTGGAGCATCGTAAGGAGATGCAGTCCCATGGTAGCCGGTGACCAACGATTGGTTCATACGCCATTCGTTCCCGCAGGATACTGGAGCCCATGTGCACCATTGATTTGGAATCCGGTTAAAGCGCCGGACATTCGCTTTTCGTCCTCTCATTTTCGTAGACAACACCCCCGCCACGAGAAGGCAATGAGTAGGACTTCCCTGGCAGAGGCTGTATACGCGTGGCCGTGTGAGAGTATTTCGAGAGGGAGAGCGGACTCTCCCCACTCTCGGCCGTACCAGGGCATTCAGGGGGGCGACAATCTTCTACCGACCCTCTCCAACGATGACTGATGGCAATATGGTCTATTTGAGTCCATCGTTGGTTTGGTGTAGGGGGTCGCCATGTTAGACGATGTCTCTCCTTATGCTTAAAATTTGTGTTTGCTAAAAATAAACGATTGTCTGAGCATAGCTGCAGCAGACGATCACCATTATCTGTTCGCTGTGTCGGAATACTAAAATACCCACCTAAATGCCTTTCTGTTTGGTTTAAACTGCCTATCTGAGCATTAAAATCACCTGCTACGAGTACTATGTCTGAGCGTTTAGCTTTCTGAAGAAGTTCGGACAGCTTTCTGTAAAATTCATCTTTCACTTCATCTGAGCTGCAGTCAGTGGGAGCGTAGGCAGAAACGACAAAACGGCAACGACGTGTGTCCCTATCCTTCCGAGTTCTTACGTAGCCGTTCAGCCGAACAGCACATAGACGACTGTTGACGGGGATTCACTCTAGCAGTGCTTGTTCGGCCCTCATGCTTAGTGCTATGCCTACACCTGCCAGTCCACGAGAACTTGCCATCGGGTCACCAGATACACGAAGGGTGTATCTCGTTGGCTCTCCGTTTTGCCGAGGTGAGGTCAAGTGAATGACCACACTGGAGTCCTGTATGCGTGTTTCGGAGACACAACACACGTCAATGGTAAGAGACTCTAGGGTTTTAGCCAAGGAAGCCTGCTGACCGATTTGACATAGGGTTCGTACGTTGAAGGCTCCAATGTGTTGTTTAGAGCGAGGTTTCAGTAGACCTGGGACAGTATTTTGCGCACTAGAATCGTTGGCTATGGTGACACTTGAGGTGGAAGCTGAGAGTGGAAATTTAGAGTTGAAAGTCGATGTAGGAGGAATAATAGGAATTGAAGAAGGAGGTTGATTATGAATACAGTGGTCTTGAGTGCTGTTAGAAGTGTGAGGGCGGTTATCACTTCCCGGTTGCCCACACCGTGGAAGGGTTGTTCTGGAGGTACCTGAAAAGGAAATTGGATTAAAGGTGGTCTTAGTGACCTGAGAGCGTGACCGCAGTGCCCAAGGGACAACTGCTTGAGGTCGGTCACACACGACCTTGTTATGGGTAATTTTTGTGTTAGCTCCGTACTTATTGAGACCTTACCGCCGGAGACGGATATCCGTGGGATTATTATTATTATTATTAATAGCTTTATTCAATATTATATTATTGGTACAATATAGAATTCTCAGCACAAAGTATTTCAACAAGTTTCCGTTTCTTTCTTCTTGGTCGGTCCTCGCGATAAATACTGAGTGGTCGCCAGCTAGATGTTATCAGTCCAGTAAATGAACATGGGAATGATGTACATTCCTTTCGTTGTACATTGCCAGCAACCATATTCTCTCTTTTTGAGCTTTTTGTAACTTTAATAACGAAAGGTTGTACATTTTTCAGAAACGCAGCAGTATAGGTTGTGCGATTAATAGACATAATGATATATTAAAACAAACAAAGATAGATAACTTGTTGAAATATCTAGATGGCAGGAAAAGGTAGCCCAGATGCTCAAGCAGGCCGCCGATAAGGCGAGGTGTGCATTTTTAGGGTCGACCTTTTCTAACCCCACTCCTCCTTGTGGGAAGGCAGCATCGCTGTCATGCTGGTTGTCTGAAGGAAACACCTTACTGCTGTCACACCTCTGTACAGTCAGCAGTACGACTTCGCCTTCGGACCTTGGGTTTGTTGCTTTTAGTCTTACCGCTCTTCAACCGACCTGTCTGACATGGTAGGACCTTGAGGAACGGTTGTTCCAGCCAGTATAGCTCGGTTGCTTCATCACGATAGGCAAGCCCGACCACCACGTCAAGGTAGCAACAACGGTCGGGATGCGTATATGTGCCTGGTCCTACGTTGCAACTGACTGACATTAAAAAGCCAACGAATGGAAATGTCGCTCAGTTGTATGCATGTCTAGTTAATTTTAAAAAAAAATATTGTATTGGTACATCACTATGTGTCTTCATATTCTTTTCTTTCCATGTTCTTTTGCAGATTCTCAGGTTCACCATGAAAATCGTCACAATCTCTTCGGTGGATCGATGTGTGACAAATCTCAAGTAGTTATGGATCCGGTCACAACTAAATCCTTTGATGAGAATGATGATATAGGTGTTTATCTTATTTGGTTCTTTAATATTCCTTATATGTAAAGATACCATTTTCATGCACCGCTCATTTCATGTATTCATGCACATTTACTAGTAGTAGTGCTTTTGTTATTGATAATATGAGAAAAACTGTATCACACTGACTGAGTAGTGGAGTTCACTGAGTTGACTAGTTAAATATCGTTCATTTTGACCATTGCTATGCGACATGTAGTTTTGAATTCTTGGGATAATCAATCCTGTACTTTGTTAAAATATAGAAAGGTGTTTGAAATAAATCACTGAAAGACTATTAAATGGATCATTTGAATTTTTAAATACTTGTGTTAGGTGGATTGGTTGACTTCGACTTCTTTCTGAAGTATGAACTTGATTAGATTGTCGAGAAAGATAATGAAGGCTTCACAACTAAACCTTTCAGTCCAAAGAACACATCCTTATTCTGAGCCACTAATATTATTCATCTTTTCAAGATTGATAGCTTAGCTTCTTAGATGATTATTTGTTCTTAACACCATACTCCTGACCAAAACAGCTTCTGGATCAACAACTGTGTTATAAACATATGGAATAAAACATCTTTCATGTTGTAGTAGATTTTTTTCTCATTTGGATATTACAAATATATTATTTTATTTATAACACCAAATAACCTCTGACCTGTTCTTGCACACATACATATAGTTGTTATTGATAACCTTTGTCATTCCAATTCTTTACATTCATTTATGTCAATTGTTCCACATTATATCTTACCTCAATATAAAATTCAAATACACATTTGGTTGTAAGCAGCTGATGAGAAACCACGAAAGTTTTGATAACTGTTTAGTGGGAAACGGGATATCAACTCGCTGTGTTTCGAGTCCAATTCATTCGAACTGAATGTTGCTCAGCAGTGACATTTTTATGCCTTGAAACCATCTGATGAAACAACGTGATAAGCTACCAATCAGAATCCTGCTCCTCATTTGATCTGTTATTTACTATATAGCTTATTGCCTCTGACACGACCAATTACACGCCTGAATTGACAGCTAAGTTCTTATCAGTTTACCATTCACAAACTTCTCTCTATATCCTGCCTTTAAGTTCAAATGTGGCACCCAGCCTCTACGATCCCTATTTTTCAAACAGACGTACAAGACCACACTACATTATAAAATGAAAAATAACAATGATATATAAACTAATCAAAAGTGGTTTTTGAGTAGTAGGGGCTGGCAAAAAATTAGGAATAGTAAGTCGTATAACAGTAGTTTATAGGTTAACCGAGAGATTCTGATTCAAGAAATACATATACATAGTATTCTAGTTACTCAGTAGCTATACAACAAGAATATAATAGATACCAATTCCGAAAACCAGTTCCAACTTATATTATAGCGGTCTCTGATTTAAATCATATCACTCAACAATTGATCTTCTTAGTACAATGAAAACTAACCAAACAAAAACAGAGTCAACATCACTCTTTGTTCACTTTACAGAAATTCCAGTATATAGAAAAAAAGTTTCTGTTTTGGTTTGATTACAATTTAACTCATTCAGGGAAACATATTATTCTATGAATTAACCACCATTTCTCTTAATTATTACATTTTCATATAACATTTACCGATATTTTGTCTGCCTTTGAATTCACTGTCTCAATCATTAGTAGGATTATTAAGATAAATGGTAGCTGTATATTCTGTTAAACTTCATTTAACTTATCTGTTTTTAATTTGTATCAGTAACTTTAATTTATTTCTGATTTCATTCTAGCTCATTGTTTTTTTTTCTAGTTATACATTATTTTCTTGACAACTGAAGTTTATTGATACTTGATTGCTTTAATGACTATTTCTTTGTTTATTCCTATGCTTTTTTTAACAATCATGATACCATTTATCCTATGAAATTATCAATACATACATATTAGTTTCAGTGAATAATTGAAGCTTGTAAAATTAGATCAATTTTTTATTTGTTTACTTGTTTTCATACATTTCACTGTATAATGTACGTTGGCTTATACCTTCTAATGCACTCTATAATATCACAGTTTTTGTATGAGTATGTTTTATTTCATCTTTTTCTTGTTTTGTCCGCTAAATCTACTCGTTTTGTTTCTATACATAGATTCTCAGGTTCTCCATAACGATCGTTGTAATCTTTTTGGAGGATCAATTAACAACCAATCACAAGAACTTATCGATGAGACTACAAAATCAATCACAGGTAGTCATGCAACAGGTATCTGAATATTTTTGACTGGGTGGATATATTAGTTAAATATTTAATAGAGATATACGAATGTTTTACATATTCTGAATAAACACAGAAAAGTAGCTAATACTTACTAATCAAAAGCTTATATCCAATAATAACTCTTCCAAATACTGACCTTGGCGACTTTTCACTATTCGAGTTGAATGCCGTAAATTTGTTTCGACATTTCAGTTTGATATAGTCTTTTTGTAGTTAACACTATTTCATAAATCACCTAATATTCACTTCCTTAAATTTATTACCATTTCTGATCATTTTAGGTCTGTTTGAAACAGTATCCCAAACCAATTGAGTATTTTTGTTGTTGATAACATTGTTTTCCCATGTCACTTTAAGGCAATGAGATGCCCACGTCTCTTGAAGATTCAGATGAATTATATCGTTATTTCAACTACATTCTTTTTTTTCATAGATTCCCTAACTAATCACGATAATCATCGTATTTTGTTTGGAGGATCAATAGGTACTCAGTCGCAAGCTTTCATGGATTTGGCTGATGATAATGATCTGGGTAATTTGTGTATATTTTCCTTAGATATATGCATTACTCATCACTAAACTAATCCACTTAAGTATTCATTCTTCCATAGATTTAATGACAAAAAGAAACGGAACCTGTTAGAGATTTTATTGATATAACGTTTCATTTTCCTGTTGGTTGTAACGATCATAATAATTGGTTCGCATCCATCACACCTCTAGTTCTTTATTATACGATTTTTGAATTACGTTTCGTTTTTTCGATACTATCATTTATAGGTTTATTAAAGTTTCGGAAGCTGGTACTGTTCACTGATATTTATTTACCAGGTACAGAATCATGCACTTGGCTTTAAGTCACACTATAAGTGATACTACTGCCCGGTTAGCCAAAACGTAATAGATGAAGTAGGTTTCGTACTACGTACTTGGTGGTTGAACACCCTAACCACTGATCCACCTCTTTTAATGGTGTATTTATCTGTGATTGTTCAGTTCTTTGCGTCTAATCGTCTTTCGACATACTTAAATGGATTCCTTTTTTAAAAACAGTAAATGCGAGATAAGGGTTTTAATATGTTAATGGAAAACCTCCTTGTTGTATTCTCCCTCACTAACTCTTCTTACTGCTTTTCTGATTCTTGAAAGTATTTAATTTTGGGTTTACTTTTCTTGTCTGTGTATTTCTGTCGATAGATTCCCAGATTCAACATGAGAAGCATGGTAATCTATTCAGCGGATCAATATGTGTCCCGTCACAAGAATCAACAAATGAAGTGAAAAACTCAATTATCAATAGTGATAATTCAGGTATTTCATCTCCACTTTTGAACTAAAACGATGATGATAATGTTTTACTTCATCATATGATAATTTGATAAGTTTTCTTCCATATATTTGCAGTGTTATTTACCTTTTCAGTTGTAATTTTCAAATAGTTTAAGTATTTCATTTTAGTGGGAATTAGTATAAAGTAACATTTAGTCACAGAATAATCATGTTACTATAAAATACCGTCATTTATCCTGTCAAAAATAGATTTTATCTTTTCGTTTCACTAGATATTTTTGTCTATGATCCTTCTTGTCAATTTCTTTTGTGTTTTTTTTAGTTCATTAATTTCTAATAACTAGAAAAATGGACTAAAATATGGAAGCAGTTGGATGGGCAAATCGCCTTTCAGGATCACTAAAACAATAGGATATCATACATTACAATTCAGACAATCGTAAAAATACTTCATCATAAATCTAGCTATTTGTTTTTAATTAAAGTATGCTGAATTGTAGTTTAAATGTCCTGCAGCAGCAATAAAACTACTTTTATCTAATTTTCATCATCTATTTATAAATCTTCCTGAACAGATTCTCATGAAAACTGTCGTAATCCATTTGGCGAGTCTATATGTAACCAATCACAAGGCTTTGTCAATGAAAGTGTAAAGTCAGCTGTAAATAATCATGATGATCCAGGTAATTTTTACATTCAGTTGATTTGGTATAACTTGTACTAACTGGTTTGTTAAACAGGCTAACAAACTTCTTAGAATAAAGTGAATTCCATTCTATATGCTCTATAGCTTTCACATATCGATAACTTTTTTAAGAAATAATATATAGTTTTACGGTTTCGAGATCAATTTTTATAAACCATGACAAGCCAACAATCTCCACAAACCCTTTATATTTGAATTATTCATTTGCGCACAAGTGACTAACTTTGAGATGTTATCCCAAAAGTTCTAGTCAAAAGTTTTGATTCATGAAATTCAACCATGTCGGATGCAAGTCAATTACTCACCACATGTAATGGAAGTCGTTCGTGTAATAGCTCAAGTTCATTGAAATTGAACATGTATATCACATCATCGAACCGCGGCTCAGTAATCTCGAGACCTTAGGTCCTGGGTATGATCCTCTCCAATGGTGTCGTAGATGCACTACTGAGAGGAGGCCCATACTTAAACGAAACAGCTATCCAGTGCCTACTAGTTTTCGGCGGTTTCCTAAATAAAACCAATTGATTATGTAAACGATGGAAATGTGCACATAATGACTCATTAATATCCATTATGATCCTGCAGAAGTTCCATTTATATGACAATAAAGTAAGCAAGATTTTTCTTTGTAATGTCCATCTACATAATGTATTTGCGAATCAGTTTCATTGACATTACAGTTGTAACAATAATGATGATTCGAAAAACCTTGAAAACTAAGAGTAAACGTGAATACTTTCGTGATTAAAATGGTTGTAAGTCGGGTATTTCTGTAGTGATTATAAAGTTAATAGAACTGATAGTAAGAACAAGAGACAGAAGAGTTATGTTGATTTACTTAAATTAGCGACAACTAGTCATTTTGAAGAATTGCTATAAGGGTATGGGTAAAAAAGGAAGAGCAATCATAAGATTAGTGGGCTGATGTTATATCGGCTAACTACAAAACTATTAGTAATAGTTTTTAATCCATTTAATTTTCGTTTAATTCGACATATGTTACTTCGACCCATTTACAGTGTTAAAGTAACTAGTATTTCATATGTGACAATTTCATAGTCAAAGAGTTTCGCATTGACTTATTCTCGTCACAGATGAACTTTTTGAGAATCCCGATTTATTCACGCTTAGTGGCGTTCACCTTAATGTAGCATAAAAAGGTGACTCAGAACTTAAATAGTAATAATACTTGCTCATTATCACAATGAATTACAGAATTCATGATTGTTTATATTCTCTTTCAGACTTTCAGGATTCTGAGCACCCTATTTCTGTGTTTACGACTCAAGTGAGTGATTTTTCCCAACCTGTTCTATAAAATTACTGTCCTTAAATAGATTGACTGTTATTATTCATAGAGATTCATCTCTAGAATTTATGATAACCAATAGGATTGGTTAGTGATGCTTATTTCATTCTTACCCATATATGCCATGTGGATGTAATTAAGGGCGCTTACTTATGTTTTCAACCTCTTAGTCAAATCGATGTCTGTAAACATCCTGCATTCTTTAGTGTTATGAACACAATGAATACCTTGACATTTTTTAAGATGACCCTTGGACCTGTAAACCTTAATATATCAGATGATTTATCTTTATTAACGTTCTTCTTTAGTCTAAATTTTCATTTTGCTTGTATTAATTCTCTTCATGCTCGTAATCTGTTCGTTTAGTTTTATTTAAATTTGAATCTCTCTACCACTGTTTCATTCTCCATACATAGAATTCATCTCGTCGACGAATTTTAGTTTTTGATGAAGATGATGAAGAAGAAGGGAATGAAGAAAAGAAGGATAATAGCTGTATTGAACCAGCTTCTCTCATACGGAATAATCCTTTTAAGTCCACATCAGGTTTGTTTTTGCATGTTTCCTAATAAATCTTATGTATATCTTTTGCAGAATCTAATTTTACTGGTGACAATTTGCCAGAAGTACTCCATACAGATGATAATTTGGAATTAGAGGATAAGAGCTCAAGTGTTGATGAATCAGATGATCATACTATTGAAGCAGGAGATGATGAAGAAAATATTGATCCTGATGATATAACTCACGAAGATAATGGCAGTGATGATGACGAGTCCTCGGAAAGAGATGAAGAGGAAGAAAAAGACAATTATCTTGATGATGAAGAGGAAGTTCAACGTCTAACTGTACAGTCGAATGAAACTAAAAAAAAGAAAAAGTAAGTGAAATGCTTTTCTTCTGTCTTGCCAACAGTTTTTTTCATACCGATAGAATTCCACCTTTGAGTTACCTGCACAAATACTTAACATGTCATGTGTTATTTTTTTTAGATTTCTTACATAATTGGTTATCATCATACCCTTGTGTATGAGTATTTGTAGTGTGTTGGTGTTATCTACTTTGTTTCAATGTTTACTTACTTAAACTGCTATAACTGACCGCCAAATCTCAAAAAGAATGTTTGTCTCAACAATACACAATTCGAAGAATTTAAGTAAACTTTTTAGTTGACTCGAGTAAGATTCTAGTAGCAAAGAAAATTAGGGGGTTTGACCTGAGTCATTTTTATGACTTTAAATCATACAACAATCAAACCAATAAACAAATAATGCCTAGGTACCTTTTGAGCATTTTATAACCTATGCAAATATCTTTTTCTCTCAATGATACCGTTTTCTTGAAAACTGAAGTTCATCACTTATTATGTTCCTATTTCATTAACTAATAAACGAAATAACTAATCGGTTTTTGTAAATGAATATTTTGTTTATTAAATGTAAACAACTGAACTTGTGAATCCTACATTAATTGAAAGAAAATCATCTTTATTTTGATTTACCATTTTGACGCTTAATAATTTGTTTAAATTTCGCTTGATATCATAATTTCATAGTTTCAATAAAACAAATTGCTTAAATTTTGTATAAGAACTTTCATCTAAATTTGAACGAATAGTTTCACAATATTTGGGCGCCGAGTTAATGTGAGTCATTAAACAGGAAGAATGTATTTGTAAAATCTCAGCGAAAGAATTTGAATTAAATCCAACATTTCGCCTGGCAATCTGGCCCAAGCTTTTTCAAGGAAAATATAATCAAACAACAAAATTATCGAATATAAATAGGTACATGGTTCTCTGGTTTACTGTATACTAAATAAGTCATCCAATCAACGTGAACAATGTTTAAAGTAGATATTTACATTAATGTGTACGAGATATGTGGTATGAAACGAAAAGTGTTAAGATAACAGATTGTGTGTATACGTAAGTGATTTGAGAAGAAATTTCATTCAACTATATATTGTCTTCGGTCTGTGTATATTAAGAAAACATATCATTTTATATATGAAATGAATCAAAAATGTCACAGCATGCATTAAATGAAGATAAATAAATAAGTAAACAAGATAAAAGACTGAATTCAAAGAGGAATGTATTTGTAATTGAAAGTTTGTGTTATTTTAATGTTTAAAGCTTTTATTCTGTTTTTAAGACCTATATTATAGATAAATATTATTATATATTTTTAGATTTCGTATAAACGACTTTGTGGATGAAGAAGCCGAATTGTCTGGTGATGAAAATGAACGAGCATATTTCATGGACGATGAAGATGAATTAGATCCCAATGATGATGCTAATGAAGAATTCGCTGACTTAATTGACGAAGATGATTCAGATATTCCATCAGCTGGTCGTTTAAGACGTCAAATTGAACGTGTACACCACCGCCTTCAAACTGATCAAGATCTACGTGAAATACGTTATCTAAAGGTATATTTACGTAGATTTTTATTTTTTTTCTCCAACTTATCCGATTGTTATTCTGACAACTTTTATCATTATTCAGTCAGTTAGTAGAGGTTGTTTTTCGTTTTACAACCATGTCCATTATTGCCATTGAAAGACGGTTACGCAATATCATGAACTGATTGAAGTTAGATATCTAAATCATTGAGTGCCACCACAGATATCTGAAAGTTAACAGCTCGCCACTAGACCTAAGGTCCTGGATCTTACCCCTAGAGTCGTAGATGCGAACTACTGAGGAGCCTTATCCTGGGACAAAACAACTGTCTAGTATTTTGTACTAGAACAGTCCGTTAAGTAAACTATGAATTTCAACAATCTTCGCAAACCCACTCCTTGCGCTAATATTTTCATAGTACTTACCCTGTTTCGAATCTCCAGTTTGCCTTCCACTAATCCATCACCAAAAGATCACATAGTCATCATAACAATTTTTTATAATAAATTGGATTTCCTGCTCAATAGTTGCCATATTGTATTGAGGAAACCAATACTTCTTTAAATTTGAACCTACATGATTGTCAATCTATTGAAACTGTTCATAATCCTTTATCAAAGTCTGTTCATCGTGTATTTTTTTTTAAAGATTCGTGCACAATTCAATTTAACTAATACATTGATAAATAAATGCTCTATATAGTTCACAAGGATAATTATGGTGATATTGCATTCTTTCATCTAGATGGTTTTGTTTTGAAACTTTCATTATCTTTCTTGATAACATCATCGAGACGAACTTAAAAGCACCGACCTCAGAGAACGCAGTCCTATAGTAATGCTTATTATTATATGTAAATCTGATATGCGTACTAACATATATTCTTCTACATATAAATTCACCTATGAACTAAAGATTAGACTCGTTTGCATATTATAATTGAAAACATCAGACAGTAAAATGTCACGTCGATGAATACAGTCAGGCTTTTTTTTCGCTAACGCGTAGAAATAGTGCTGACTATCTTCATTTAAAGGGATACACTAATGATGGATGAGTTGAAATAACGTCCCTCAAAAATATTTTGTAATTAGTCACCTCTGAATAGTGTTTCGGTGCGTTTTGGTCACCTTTATTATCTAGAAAATCAGATGATCTACCTGACAATTTAATTTGGCCAATTGTTCACCTATTCAAGCCCCGTAAGCTTATTTCGTCTTAGAGTTAAGTCACATTATAAAAATAGTTTATACCAAGGTACAAGTGTGTGTGGTAGTTACGTCATTTAGCGCTCCTTTGTAGTATATTTCACAATGATATTGAGTTTTTAGAGGACTTAGTTAACGAATTTCTCCAACCTTTATAAGATTTATGTACTTAAACAATCGTTTAGTTATAAGAAACCAAAAACTGTGTTTCCATACTTATATACCGGTAATGTTTTGCTTACCACATTTTGTTCAAATTGTTATCCAGTAACCAGATATAGTTTTATATCAGTATGTCTCAGCGTATTTACTGCGACTCGAAATGCCCATATTTTCTCCGAGAATATTCTTATTAGAGCGATATTAGTCATTTTTTTAGTGATTTCTATCGTTGAGATGTTTTTTTTTGAATATTTTGACAGGAACTTTATTTTGAAGACGGTGATTTACATGCTGAAAATGGACGAGTTCGTCAGAGACGTTTTCGTTGGCGCGGTTTAGGTAACCTTATTATATAAGTATTTTTTATGAATGCTTATGTTCTGTTTATGAGTATGGATAAAATTGAAGACAAGATTTCACAGTTTTAAAACTAAACAAACTAGGTTGCATGTATTCAAGGAACTTCTATTTAGATAACTAGTTACATGTTCAATATCTCTCCATTCAAAGATACTTAAGTATGTCCTACAGACTTAAAGGCAGTTGTTTTAACTATGAACAATCCTTAGCTATATCTACACCTGATACTTTTTTACCAATTTCCTAGATGCACGATTCGCTAGCTGGGTGAAGCCATATGAATAATTTCTCATTTAAGTTCTATGTTTTGACTTCTTAAATGTAGCATACTTTCATTCACAGAATCCGACCTAGAGAATTACGTCAACCGTTAGCTTTACATCGACTAATTTGTTTGGTTTGTTTTACATCTCTGTAATGTATGTAGACTATTTCGTTGCCTTTAAAGAAAAATAACTTCTCATTGAATTCAAAGTCAATTGAAATGTTATGTCATGCATTTTCTACACTGATTTCTCATTACTGTAGAAATATGATAAGGGATGGCGCATTGCTTTTCACTCTACTAGTTCTTTCTAATGTACATTCGAATTTCTCGGATGCGTAAATTCCCAAACTAGATATTTGAAAAACGTATTAATCAGTAACTTTATTTTTAGATAATGATGATCCATTTAATGATCAAATAAACATGGATAATAGTGGTGGTGATGATGATAATTCAAGTGAAGATGAAAATCATGGTATACCTTTTGGTCCTATAGACAATTGGTTACGTCGTGGTCCAATGAAATCCTCGAATGATGAAAATAATCAATCCATTGAAAATGATTATTTAGACTCTGACACAATACATTCATCATCTAATAAACAAACAAATGATAAAGATCATAATGATTCAGTATTTGAATCTGATGAAGAAATGGAAAATTCGAAAATAGTAACTGATGATTTATCAAATGGTGTAAGTTCATTCTCACTGCTAATATAAGTATTTATTTACAATTTATTGATCACTGAGTAAGTGTCCAATGTCATTTATATCAAGTCCGTCTTAGTGATGTTTGAATTCTATCAGCCAAGTTGAAATTTAGCCACTAGTCTAAGTCACTCGACATCGCGTGCACTATAGTGAAATGTAAAATGGCGTTTGAAAGCAGTCAATTCGAAACCCTACTTCTATTTTTCATTCTATTTGGCACTTGGTCAGTAAGGTGTGCTAGTAATCTTGGGGGAACTAATGTTCTCTAATGGATTCGACCCCATATCGCATAGCTTCACAGTCAAAGAAGTTACAATTGTACTATTCATTATTAATATAGAAAACCGAATGTTTTTTTAAATCCTTTTGCAATATTCGATATGTATTCTGATCCCATAATCAAACTGGTGATGATATGTACTATTCATTTCAGATGTATGCAATAAAGTTATCTTTTTCCTTTATTTACTAAGTTTTCTATTTGTATAAGTTTACAGCTGTAGATTAGTCAGATTTTAGACCATTTCAATCTATTATTTGCTGTAAACTTAATTTTCCAGCTGTGCAGTTGTTAAGATATACTTCTATATATTATCTTTTTAATAGGTTTTATCTTTAGGAAAAAAGGCTTTACTAAAATCTCAAACGAAGTTGAAAACTCAAATAGTTGTACGTAATAAGTTACCAGTCAATCGTGGTAAGTTCTTTATTGAGTGCTTGTTAGGAATATTCAGCGTTGGTATTATTTTTCTTTATCAAATCTATTATCCTAGTCCAACATCCGACTTCTATAGGCCAAGAATGCTGAGTCAAAATTTTGATGAATGTATGAACATGATAGTAAGGCTTATCGACTAAACATCAAGTGACTATAGATATATGGTGGAAATCTGTTGAAATTCTCGTATAAATGAGATAAGTGAACATTGTTGCATATTGAGAACTACTAGCGGGAGTATAAATCCAAACTTGTGTCTATGATAGCGTTGCTGACCCTTACCAACGTTGGATTGGTTGCGACCGTGCTATCATCAGCGTGCAGGAAGTTCTCTCAACTGCATTCGGGTGTCGTTAGACCACCAATTTACTTATTACGCAGCAAGTTGTTCGATATACGAGCACTTGGTAAATACATCGGAAATGTGTAATGTGATAACAATATAGCTACGAAAATGTATGACTTTAAATAATTAAAGTCTCATAGAGCCATTGCTGTGATAGACGCTTCAGAATATACCAAAGACAATCGGTCTTAGTAAAAGGCATACTAGAATTAAAGACATTCATAGACATATAATAGCACCTCTCCTACAATTAGGTTTGTTTCTGATTAATTTTGCTTAGCCTTTCAATTCACTTATTTAGAAGAGCGTTGTTTGATCAGTAACAATTTGTATATCTTGGTATTCTTATCATGTCGGTATGAGCATGTATGGTTGATCACATGCGGCAGCCTATGCACATATCCCTCTCTCGAGCTTAGATGTCAGTTGCTTTAAGATGGCTTGATGAATCATTCACTTTCCATATTTATATGTGTTTGAATCTTATGAATTGATTCGACTCTGAATCCGCCTATATATTTGCTTGCTCGCGCGCATTAGCTTTTCTGCTCGAATTCGCTTGGTATATTCGTGGCTTGGTGATCTGCGCTATTCAATGATAAACCGAAGTCGGCACTTTCGTGTTGCCTTCTGAATTCATACACCGTGCGATTTATTTAATAACAGTTATTTGGGGCGATTAGTCTACGAAGCCTAAAGAATTATCTCAAAGCCAAACTACTAAAATGACTTCAGTCGCGGGAATATGTACACAATAATGGGGCGAAGTGACATGAAAAAATGGGACGAACTCACTTTAGGTTGGAAAACTTTTATGATATTGAACGATGAAAAAAATAGTCCACCCTCGTACAGTATTCATATATATTTTTTACATAAATGTGATACCTGTACTGAACACTCATCGTTCATGTTTGATTATACTCTATCCAGAATAGTACTTTTCTCGTTACTTATTGTTGATGTCACTCACACACCACTCTAGTATTCTTTTCGAAATTAAATATTTTTAACAATAATGTACAACTTTCTTCACGAGGTCACTGTACGGTCTAGTACTATGTCACATTTTCATGAATTATTCTAGGTTTTGGACGGACTAATTAATTTAATCTTCTTGAGTCATTATTCACACACATTGATCATGTCAGTTATTCGCTTATAATCTTGACTTTTTATATAAGTGTATATGTTTAGCACTCAACTATTACAGTATTCCGAATCACTCACACAAATGTGTTATTTATTGTCCAGATATTCACGCCATAAATACATGTTCATTTTTTTACACGCTTATTAATTTCCTCGTAATCTCGTTTGGCTCCAGTCTGATCGTACACTGATGTTGGCTATATTCAATCAGTTATATAAGTACGCATATGTAAGGCTTCAATTACAAATTTAGAAATCGGTATAAACCTAACAAATCAGGTTACAAGAACAATTTTAAATGTTTCTCAAGATCGTGTCATGTGTGCTTGTGTCATAAAGTCGTCACATTAGCTATCAAACATCTGTAATACGTAACTGTCACGCCTGGCCAAACCAAAACATGGCACAAATCCATGAAGTCACTGACAAGTGGTTTGAGTCATGTTGGTAGGTGTAGACTACCTGGTTGGGGACGCGAGATGATAGCAACCGATGGTTAGAGACCCTGAATGACATGGCTCAAAATCGTTTGCAATGGCGCAGGTGCATCCACTCTTTGTGTTCTCCCAAATTCTAATCTTCTGAATCCTTCATGTCCCTTTTTTCCTCTTTCCAAATTTATTTCACTGGTTTATACTCTTTAAATAACATCTCCAAACCCTAATCTTCCCGATTACTGCTTATACTCTTATTACCTCTACCACTACGGGATTTGAATCGACAACTGCATCTCTGTGCTAATGTGGTGTGGCAACTCGAACTGATGTACGTACGTACGAAGTTCTACGTTGTTACTGACTGACTGACTGAACTGTCACGCCTGTTATTACGTGTAACAATGTCTATTGTTTGAGTAGGATGGAAGAAATTAGGAGTGACAAAATAAAAGTAGTACCAATCAGTGAAGATCTTTGCTGTTGGACAAGGCTGTCTTTCGAGCTTCTAACTTTCTGGTTGAGATATGCGCTGTAATCTACTGATTATGTTAAATTATTCTAATATATTTGGCGACAAGATTCGAAATCAGTCAGAATAGCTCATAATTATTCTATTTCTTTTCAACCTGTATTCTCTGTTTTCGTTATCACTGATGCTACTATTATTCACACTCCTTACCCTTCATCTCTTTAGTTCCCTCTCAGCATATTGGGGAGAAAGGTGGCGACTTGAGCTAATGGACCTATGTCCGAAGTTTTAAGCTGTTTATGATTGCCTGATGTCTCTTCCACGGATAGCTATTTCAATTAATCGGACTTTTTACTAGTCTGTTATTCTGCTTTACTAAAAGGCTATTGAATTTCGGTTTTTGTATATCCTTCAGTATATTTATATTCATCATAGCTCAATGTATCCATCACAATAGTATTACAGCTTATATGCTACTGTTTATTTCTCTGTCTCATTGCTTAATTAATTGCCGAAGTACCCATATTTATTTTAATCTTTCGTAGTAGAATTTCTCATTGACAGTCAGTCATACACAATGTAAAACCTGGTACATGTGTATCGTTTGGGGTCACTACACTACATAACTACTAAGAGAGACACCAGAGTAGTAGAATTAGTAATGGTTTTAACGATGGCAGGAAGGATTAGGTGTAGGAAAATATATTTCAAGAGGTAAGTAAAAATTCATGAAATTAAAGAAAATATTAGATAATTGTAAATCTAAAAATTTAAGGAAAAAATGTAGTGGTTGCATCTGAGCCATTGCAAGTGATTGACAGTCACCGGCAAACGTTAGTTAATTCACAATCTAATACATTATTATTATGCAATAGAGCTTTTGGTTACTAAAACCAATATTTTAAACTAATATTTCAATTTTTTCTGCCCCTCTGAAGGAAAGACCATCAAACCATCGTCTACGCTTAGAAGCCCATTGATCTCTAATTATTTCTTGCAACCCAAACCTCATAATCTACCTATTAATGAAGGTGTTACTAATGATACAGATAATAATAGTAAAGTTGACAATGTTATCATTTCTAATCATAATAATGATAAACCAATTGCTCCTGTAAAATTTAATGTTAACAATACTGGTAGTGATGTAAGACTTCAAATGATCAGAGTAAGTTTACTAATATTTATCATTTTATTATATTCTTTATTTGTTATATTCTTCCTTGTCTAGTATATCTTGACTAATTAACACTTCGCTTAACTGTATTATAAATCAGATAAAGAATGGGTCATCAATAAGATATATCCCAATAAATCGAAATAATAAGGATACAATAACATCATAAGAGTTGATGTAGAAATTGTATCAGAAACCCTTAGTATCATATTAGTTCGTTCACTGATACAGATCAGTTAATAACGATTTATCCAGCTATTTATTAAAAAAAAACCAAAGCTGTTTAGTAAGCTTTATTCTTAAAAGTCGGTTAACAGTATTAACAAGCATATTTGTAGGACTTCACATTGATGAAGACACTTGTGTTATGTCTTTGGCTAGATGAGTAATTCACTTTTTCATACTAACCAGGTCACATTTGCGCCTCAACATGGCTGTGAGACCGATACTAAATCCAAAGGTTTGGCTTGACAGTTAGGTCTCAATTGGTTGGAGAATAAGTGACCTACAAGCTGATTTCCTCCAATCGCCTATCACATTTTATCATATTTATTTTGTGTTCATATTCTGTATATAAGCATTACATAGAAAACTACCACTCTGACTAGTGGTTTTGGCTTTGATTTCTACGTATTCGCAGTCCTAAATCAATTGTACGTTCACGTGAGTAGCCAACACTCAGCCACATTATATCACTGTCTTGATTCTTGTAACTACTTATATATGCTTCCTTAGTACTATTTTCCAAACGAAATCTCATTCGTATTTTATAGCGTGGTTCTCTATTGAGTCGTTTTGCTGGGGGCCTCGTTCCTGGTTGTAAATCTGAAACTACCCAAATTCATTCAAATGTTAACGATGGTTTCGATGTCGGTTCGTCAAAAAGTGAAAGTCGTCGCGACCAAACACATCTAGATTTACGGAGCAAGGTCGGTCTATCTTGCTTTAGTGTTATGACGGCTCAAATTAAACCGGAAAAATTCGACCCATTTGATGATAACGGTGCATCTAACCAGAATTCTCTAAGATCCCGTAATTTCGCCATTAAGGTTAGTTATATTTCATGAAAAGATGCATTTAGATGATAATCGCTTACAGCAATTTATTTCAGGTTTTACTCGAGCTAGTCAACATTCGCTTCAGAACTTCTAATTTAATTAGACTAGCTTTTCCTTCCTGTATAAGACTTATGAGACGTTTACTTCTGGAAATGTCTCACAACTGAAGCTTGGATAAAGCTAACTTATTTCATACATGTTCCGCTAAAATACACTGTCGAGACATTTTCATCATGCTTTGCTCAGTGTATTAACTATGAAAGCACATTATGTGTTTACACTCATCAATATTTTGTACCTTAGCCGCAGAAGTAATTTTGTGTAGCTATTCGGCGACTTGAAAACGGACTTATCGTCTCAAATATGTTTTCTTCCATGCAGTACGGTTCGGGTATCAGATTAGTATTAAACCGCAGTTTTATAGCTGCTTATAATTATCTTTCTGTTAGTGCTACTGATTTACAATATGGTTCTCAGGAAATTTTCTGGTATATCTCTAGCGCAGTGATTATATTTTCGGCTACTAGACATTTTCACCTGATTACATTATTCGATCCTAGCTATCCTTTGCAAATTTTTCGATCTGAAATAAATCAGCCCACTACGTATGCAAGTACCTTAACACTAGTTCCTTCAGAGACAAATCAATGCCTAATCAAATTCAAGTAACGAGTTTTTATAGCTTTAGCAATAAATTTCCAGACACAAATATAAGCAATGACCTGCTCACTGTTAAAATTTCAACTCAAATGGCAGCGTCAGTAAAGGTATATCATTATCTAAAAGCAAAAACCTGCTAAATAGTTCGATTAGTCTTTCTTCATAACATAGTTACTTAATATGAATTTAAGAAAATACCTTACGATGTCTTGGCATTGCAATAACTCATATTGGATAGTCTGCATCGTAAAGATACACTTCACCTGGAACTCCAAAATCACGTATCCCATCAAATAATAACTAATTAAATTTCATAGATTTTGTTTTTCTCTGAATGATAACAGCAAACCCCAATATTTATTTTTTTCAGCAAAAACGACCAGTTGATGTGATTAAACCTAATTCTGTTTTGTTAAGTCCTCCAAGTTTGAAACGCCATCGATCTACTAGTGTGTTTACTGCTCTTCTGTGAATAATCTTCTACTCTGTTTTGTTCAGTAAACTGTGAAGATTTATTTGAAAAAGCCTTTCATGTTTTATATATTCCTTTGCTGTAGTTAATAAATCCATGTACTATAAGCTTTGTTTAAATCAGTGTTATCTTTCTGTATATTGAGAACACTAAAATGTGTTATGTTTTTATCATGTGCAACCCACCGTTAATATTAATCGGATTTACAAAATTAGTAGTGCTGAGGTTGAGTCCTAAAATGTAGACTTAATCTGGGTTTTAAGACAGAACAGCTTCTACACAGTACAGATACATCATGTGTACGGGGTAGAACTTGACTTTTTAATTCAACTGATAAGTATCAGTGTGAAATGGTCTCTGAGCCACTCCAATTTAACATTCTTAATAGACTGATCATTTTCCAAGAACATCTTTACGATTACATTCGAAGTTATCTTTACTTTGAGGAAAATCGAATTCGAGATACTGTTGGGGGTTTTACGAATAGATGTTGCCTGGACCCAGTTACCGACGAGTGACTTCAAAATTCCGCGTAGTCGTCATATTTACAGGTTTCTCCGTGAGCTCTGTCTTTGCACCTTCATGATCAACAATCAAAAAACATGAGCTTCCCACCTGTACTTTGGGACATTTTTTTCTACTATTAATTTTTGATCATTCCACTCTTATCAACAGTATTACCAATGCCGCTTTTTACTATATTACTGGATTTAATGACGCAAGCTATCTGACTTATGAATTCGTTGGTAAGTTTACATCGACGTTCACAATGTTCCAACTCCATGCCGCACTAAGTAACACGTTTACCAACTTCAGATGCTGGACATGCTTTGTGTTACTGAGTCACTTAAAAGTAATCTAAATGCCACTAGTGTTCCAGTAGGCAAGTGGTAATCCGTATAAATTGTCATGGTAATATAACAAAGTTCAAATATCTGCCACTAAAAAACAAAAAAGGTTCGAGAGAAGTTATAAAATAAGTGTATTTGATTTTATAAGGGAATTTGATGTAAGTGTTACAGTACGTCAAAAATAAGCAATGACAAAAGACTAATAAAATATAAATAGTTTTAACGGTTAAAAACAAAAAATATGCACATGAATATGGATAAGTTAGTAGTTTTTCTATATAATATTAAATAGACAAGCAAAAAAGTAATCAGTTTTATTTCCGACGTTCTTTTTTACAATCTGGACCTTCTATAAAAAAGGAAAAATAAATAAACAATGTTCCTTGAAATAACTGGTAGACAATAAGTAAAAATAAGAAACACAAAAGTAAATTTTTCACATCATATTACAAAAGATAGTAATTTAACTTGGTAGTTGTTGCTGACAGTCGGAAAACTACAATAGACTACATCATTATTAACAGTTTGGGGAACATTTATATACTACTTTTCTTTGCTAAAATTAACGTAACATGTGTAAGGCCTTTTATTAGGAATAATTAATATTCTACTGCCGTGCTGTTTCTTCGAACGAATAGAGGTTAGACACGTTTCTTGAGGTTTTGTTACAACCAGCCAACATTAACTGCTGAATCGCGTATGCTTGAATTTTCAAAAGTCATTCTTCTTTCCACGCATCTTTAACTTGTGCCAGTTTTGTCAATTAATAACTCACCAGAGTTTATTTTCTCAAGTGATACGACGGATTACTGCACTCTATCTTTAGATAATGTATTAATACAGACAATTTTTGATGCATCATATAGAATTTGATGAGGTAAATTCATCCTTCAGGTCAAGAAATACGACTAAAATTCTGCATCCATATGCCGATTTTCCCACAGACTTGATAGCTACACTCAGAGTAAGGTCTGGTTTTATCAGGTTTTGTGTTTCAGAGCTTTAATTAGATGTAAGATAACGATAGAATCCAATCTTATGAAAATTTCATTTGTTCAGATGACTTCAGTTATTATAACTAGGGAGTTTGGGTTGCTTATGAAATAAGAACGCTCAGCGACGGCAACCAGTGTAGCACTCAAACGCCATTAAGAGTCGGATGTTAATGCTGATTGCTCGTTCAGGCTGTCGAGGAATTGTGAATAGCTAGAGTGTATCTAAGGTTCGATTAAACTGTTCTTAAAAGTGTCTCCTTCATGACTCCAATCAACTGAATTAAATGTCAGTCACAACGTAGAACCTGGTACGTATGTACATTGGTTCAAGTTGCCACATCCCATCAGTACACAGATGAAATTGTCAGGCCAGATGACAGAATAGCAGAGGTAGTATCAGTGAATTACATGTAACTTCCTTTTTACTGTCAGCTTTATTAACGACTATCTGGTTAAAGCTAATTTTCTGAGTCCAGTGACATCTATGGGCGCGGCTTTCATCATGCGTCACGGTTTACAATCAGTGGGACGCAGAAATAAGTAACGACTGCACAATCGAGTTTGAAATACATGTCCATGATTATAGCGATATGAATAGCACATAAAACAGTATAATAGAGTAACTACTAAGAAGTTTATCCAATCAAATGCGAACTATGTGTATCGCGTGAACATGTATTATCTTTTAAAACTATAGCAGAGAACTATTCTAAGAACCATAGAATCATGGACCTCTGAGTTTAAAGTGCACGAAATATAGTTTGGAGAAAAACAATATAGATCTAAAATTAAAAAACATACTTTCGTAAGCCCATTCCTCCATTACAGTCAATGCCGATATAACATTTAGCATCATTATAAGCTGTTGAGATTTTTTCTATAGACGGACTCATAGGACAATAGTCAGATGCCATTGTGCTTTGAGAACTATGTGTTGAGACAGATTCATTAGAAGGTCTTCTTGTCGGTGAATTAGAATAGCGACGTTTTATCCCTGATCGACGAGAAGTTTCGCTTATAACTTGTTTCAAATGAGCATCAACGCCTCTGGGGCGACTACTTTTCCTATAAATAGAAGTAAAAAACTTACACAATTTAAATCTTAACGGGATGTTTACAGTAGTGGGTAACCTGGATTAGCGTAGAATCTAAACTAAAGGTCATCAACAGTTTTCAAACATAACTTCCTATTAATTAAGCCTCTACTCTGCTAAGTTTACCGAAACACTTTATTTCATTTTTAATCTAAGGAGGTAGTCTAAATTAACGCATAAATATCTTTTAATTCCCTTTAAAGCCACTACCCTTAGAATATACTACTGAAATCGAGTCAACACTACTGATCCTCTCTAAGAACTGGAGCAGTAAGGATTTGACCGCATTTTGGAGGTGTAAGGTGGACGTATTTTACAGTTCGTGTGTAGAAACGCACCCGCCTAATCCACATAAAAATGAGCAGAGACTATAAATCATACTATCCAGGTTAGAGGTTGATACGAGTACACAAAAACATTACTATAACCGATCAGCGAGGGTGAAGGCATATACTAAGTTGGATGTATGCCATATAAAGTGAATTAATCTGTATAGTAGTTTGTAAGCGAGACTACATAACTTTTTCCGAATGCTCTGATTGTACTGAAAACTTGGACTTATAAACTTAAGATTATACGGTTATATGTTTGGATAAACGGGTTACTGAAAACTATTCTATTTACAGTCATCGTATTTCATACTAATTATTTAGTCAGATCCACACAAGTGAACACATTTCCTGAATAAAAATAGATATTCATAATATTACTTCAGGAAAATCCAATTCTTAGAAAGAATCTTAATAAAACGATAATGTAACAGCAATATACCTTTGTTCGTGGCCTGGAGAAGACTGACGTAAAACTTCTACATCATTAAAAACAACAGCCGAACCGCCACCAGCAGTAGGAATAATGGCACCCTATAAATAAAGAAAACGGAACTAATGTTTTGCACTACCACTAAGGAATAAGCATTTGAAATTGTCAAAATTAATGGGATATAAAATCCTTCAGGTGGATGGAATAACAAACGACAACTTGAGAACTGACGGAAAGCGAAAACGCTTAAAAGAAAACAACTGCAGCCTACCATGAACTGCCAGTTAGAAGCATCAAGTAATGGTTGTTGTCTTGTACATTTAAAGTCGTACACCTTACACATTCCGCAAACCAAATAGAAATTATTTGGTTGTGTATTTTACTTCTAGCCTATACCGCAGCTTGTTTTCATACTACTCTTTTTCCCATAAAAACACGTAACGACCAAATTGTCAAAAACTCGGCATAGCTAAGAAAAGATTATTTAGACAATTTTTATAAAAATCAAAATAGATATTTCCAAGAAAATCCCTTCGTTATTTACAAAAATAACACTGAGTAATGATAACTACTTCAGTCAGTCAGCTACAACGTAGGACCAGCACATATGTGCACCGATCCAAGTTGCCACAACTCATTAGCGCAAGATGAACACCAAATTCAGAGCAGTTAATTCAGTGTTGGCAATATACAAAAAGAAGATTGTATATAAGGACATAGTACAGGAAGAATTAGTTGGTAGAAAGAAAGATATGAAGCGATTTTAATCTCATAGTTTAAAGGGAGATAGAGTGTATACCCTACGCCATCGTGATCGATTCTGAGCCATGTCACCCAGACCCGACCGAAGCTGCGACCTTGACGCGGTGGTCGGGCTTGCCTATCGTGATGACCCAACCGAGCTATATTGGCTGGAACATATGTTCCTGTAGGTTCTACCATGCCAGGCAGGTCGATTGGTGAACGGTAAGACTAAAAGCAGCAGTAATAGTGGCTGGTGATTTTAATGCTCAAGTAGGTAAACTAAGCGATAGGGAAAGACACCTGGATGGATCTTATAGCACTGTGGCCCAAAGAACAGATAATGGCGACCGTCTGTTGTAGCTATGCTCAGATAACCGCTTGTTCCTTGCAAACACTAACTTTAAGCATAAGGAAAAACATCTTTTAACATGGCGACCCCCGAATTCGTCCCAACGTTGGACCCAAATAGATCACATCGCTATCAGCCACCGATGGAGGGGCTCGATAGAAGACTGTCGCTCATTCTGGAGCACATGCCTAGATTCAGATCATGCTCTAGTGCGAGCGCGTATCTGTCTGCGTCTTACTGGACGTAGGAATGACGCTGCAAGGAAGCCTCTTAGGGTCCTACTTAATGATAGTCAAGCTAAGAGTATATTTCAGGAACAACTAGAAAAAGTTAGGCAGCCATGTGATGCCCACCCCGAGGCAGCATGGAATGATATCCGAAAAGCTGTGGAAACAGCAGTGATATCTGCTAGTAAGGTAAACCAGAAGGTTAGGGAGAAACACTGGATCTCAGCAGCATCTATCGCACTGATAGATGCTCGGAAACTCATTCCACCCGCCTCTGAACATAATAAAGAGCAGAGTCAGCTTAAGCGCAAGCTGACAAGAAGTCTACGCAATGATCGTGAACAGTGGTGGGTAGCGAAAGCAAGAGAGATGGAAAAGGCAGCGGCAAAGGGTAACAGCAGACAACTGTTCAGACTTGTTAAGGAAACCGGCATTAGGAACCCGACTGTTAGCGAAACATATTATATATTATATTATATATTCTCAATCCAGGAGATTGGATCGATGGGCAGAACACTTTAGGGATCAGTTCAACTGGCCTTCAGCCACACTTCGGTTTCCCACGATCTCCAGTCAACCTGAATGGCAAGTTAATGTAGGTCCTCCGTCTCTTTACGAAGTTGAGAAAGCCATAGGAAATCTGAAGCGAGGGAGAGCAGCAGGCTCTGACAGGTTTACTCCTGAAATTTTTAAGGATGGTGGTTCAGTATTAGCAGTGAGATTAACTGAGGTCTTAGGTAGAATTTGGGAACTGGACGTAATCCCATCTGACTGGTCTCAATCACTGATTGTGCCAGTCTATAAGAAAGGGTTGGGTTGGGCTGGTTTTTGACCTGGACGTGGTTGTATAGATCAGATATTCACACTACGTCAGGTTCTAGAACACAGACACACATTCAGACGCCCCACAATGGTAGTATTTCTCGACCTTAAGGCGGCATTCGACTCTGTTGATCGTGAGGTTCTATGGCAGTGTTTGTCACTGAAAGGAGTACCAAAGAAGTACATTAACCTTATAAAGGCTCTCTACTCGAACACAACTGGTAGAGTGAGAGCTTATGGCGAACTGTCATCAGAATTGATTACCTCAAGTGGTGTTCGTCAGGGCTGTCCACTCTCCCCATTCTTGTTCAACTTTGTCATTGACGTACTTTTAGAGATAACACTCTCCTCATCTAAATTTACAGGGGTTGAACTTCTACCAGGAGGTTCACTTGTTGACTTAGAATATGCTGATGACATAGTTTTATTTGGTGAAGACGCTGACAAAATGCAGAGTCTTCTGACCACTCTAAGCAACAATGCAAGCATGTTCGGGATGCGATTCTCCCCCTCGAAATGCAAAATGTTGCTTCAGGATTGGGTTACATCGACACCCGAACTAGTGATAGGGAGTGAAGTAGTTGAGTGTGTCGACCGCTTCACTTATCTTGGAAGTCTCATCAGCCCTTGTGGTCTGGTGTGTGACGGATACAGAAGGCTCGACTAGCTTTTGCCAACTTGCGTCATTTATGGCGTAGGCGAGATATCCGTCTATCAACCAAAGGACGGGTTTACTGCGCAGCAGTTCGTTCCGTCCTACTTTATGGCAGTGAAACATGGCCGGTAAGAGTAGAGGATATTCGTAGGTTACTAGTATTTGATCATAGGTGTCTTCGAAATATTGCTCGTATATCATGGGACCATCGAGTAAGTAACGCAGTTGTTAGGAAACGGGTACTAGGTAAGGATGGCAAATCAATTGATGACGTAGTGAAACTTCATCAGTTGAGATGGCTGGGACACGTGTTACGTATGCCCAACGACCGACTGCCTCGACGTGCGATGTTCAGTGGTATAGGAGTAGGTTGGAAGAAAGCTAGGGGCGGCCAGACCAAAACATGGCACAAGTCCATGAAGTCACTGACAAGTGGACTGAGTCATGTTGGTAGGTGTAGACTACCTGGTTGGGGACCGCGAGATGATAGCAACCGATGGTTAGAGACCCTGAATGACATGGCTCAAAATCGTTTGCAATGGCGCAGGTGCATCCACTCTCTGTGTTCTCCCAAATTCTAATCTTCTGATTTCTTCATGTCCCTTTCTTTTTTCTCTTTCCAAATTTATTTCACTGGATTATAGTCCTTGAATAACATCTTCAAACCCTAACTTTTCTGATTACAGCTTATAATCTTACTACATCTAGCACTACGGGATTTGAATCGACCACTGCATCTCTGTGCTAATGTGGTGTGGCAACTCGAACTGATGTACGTACGTACAAAGTTCTATGTTGTTACTGACTGACTGACATGTCACCCAGAGTCTCCAATCATAACTACTTATTGTGTATCGAATAATAGTCGTTAACAGATTTCTTTATACTTGTTGTTATTGATGATTTATCACATGGAAATTATCTACAGATATTATAAAAAAATTAATGTTGGATTCTTTTGATGTGAAATAGTTAAATAATTATTTCAAAAGATATACATCACTATACTCTTCATACACTCTACTTACTTTAAAAAGACTTGTTTCAACGTTACCATCTGAATCTGCCTCTTGATGATGTAAAAGATAGTTATCCGCATTCAAAGTATCTTTTAGTTCAACACGTGTAACAGATTTCCGATGTTTCAAATTTGGTGTAAATATTGTGCCTAAAGGTGTATTATTAGCTTCTTGATGCTCTAACCAACGTGCATTATCCCCACCGACTGATCGAGACCGACGGTGACGAGGATTAAACGCTGGAGCAGCACGTCTTTCATTTGGTTTACCAGGAGTCAATGCGACCCTGTCGTCAATTCTTTGGTATTATTATTGTTAGGACGTGATAGTATTTTCGCTTCAGCTTGTTGTTGAGCTAGTCTTGATTCCCACTGTTTGGATAATGTACTGACTAAATTCTATGAGATTTAAACAGAAATATTTTTTACTCAAGTCTAATGGATAATGTAAGGCGAATGAAAGAAATTCTGATACTCTACAAACATGTTTTGAAACAAAGTCAATAATTTCAAAATACCACAATATCACATTTCGATAGTAGAACACTAAAATATAATGAAGAATAGCCAAGAATAGTGACTAGGGAGATAACCAATAACAAAAAGCTGATGAACCCTCAATTCGGTTAATAATATAACTTCAGAAAGTGTGTGCCCCCGAATGCCCTGGTACGGCTGAGAGTGGGGAGAGTCCGATCTCCCTCTCGAATTGTTCTCACGTGGCCACGCGTATATAGCCTCTGCTGAAGTCCTACTCATTGCCTTCTCGTGGCGGGGGTGTTGTTTACGAAATTGAGAGGAAGAAAAGCGAATTTCCGACGCTTTAACCGAGTCCACCTAGGAGAGTTGGAAAAACCCTGACTCCAAGCCAATGGTGCACATGGGCTGGCTCCAGGATCCTGAAGGAAAAAATGGCGCAAGAACCAATCGTTGGTCGCCGGCTACCATGGGACTCCATCCCCTTACGATGCTCCACTGCCTTAAGGTCGAAGGCTCCGGGTGTGGCCCCCTAAGGAAACCACCTGCTTCAGTTTGGGCACCCAAGCAGTATCACAGCTTTCACACATATCAAATGAGATTTGTGTGGCGCATATGTATTTGGTGCCTCCTTGTACCAATATCTATGTGTTAAAATAATAATAATCAGAAAGTGTTATTCATCTACTTGAAATATGAACAAACATGACAATTGAAACTAGACTTTATAAATTAAACTGAGATGTAGGTTTTGATTTTCATACTGTAATTTATAAATTAATAACAAAGATAATAATGTATTTAACTATCCACAAAATTAAAGCACAACTTGTGTCAAGCCATTAGATGACGGTTCCTAAATACAGATATGAAAACAAAGTTATCGTGAATTTACCAGGAGATAAACAATCAATAGTCTTCGTAGGGAGGCGTGTAATCTAAGTTGCAGTCAATACTAGACGGAAAATAAGATATCAATCCTTAAAGTCCTTGATATAATTTATGGGGAACCACGTATTTACTAACTCGTCTGAAATAAACGAATATGAATTTGATAACTCTCAGTAATGAAAAGTGGAGATACATTAGCTGTGGATATGCTCTCGTGTCGTAGATGTAGAAAATAACAAAATTTTCCAAGAACAAGAGTTAGATGCTATTTGGTTTTGCTCCAGTCTGTACACCGAGATTCCGAATCATACAGAAGCTTCGAATTTAGCATGATGAAAATAAAAAATGACAGCTCATCTTCAAAATCCGCTCTTATGATTTCAAGCACCAGAATTATTCTAATTAAAAGCGTTATCGGTCCAAAACTTAGTAGATCCACTTGATAATGATTACGGAGGTGTCATTATACGAACACATGGGAAAACCTCAACTTGAATTATTGACATATTGCATATGACAATTCACCAGCCTCTGATGTGCACACGGACTAGAGACACGAAGACATTCTTTTACCAGCTTTAAAATCATAAAGTATTAATTTTTATATATTTTCCCTTGTTTGTTTTAGTATCTTGGTAATTTGGTTGAGCTTCGGTTTTTTGTACATTATTGTAGTGTAACGACTTAAACTTATACATTTTTTGTGCGAATTTTCGCTTCGATATGCTTGCTTATCTGAAATCATGAATAGATTGTTATATCCCGATAACTAAGTCATGGTTCCGATGCTTGTGCGTATCAATTAGTTTGTACTGGGTTGAAGCAATGAATCACCAAGTGGTTAGAATCTGGACACTCAACATCTCTACTTCATTTCCCCTCACTAACCATTGGAATTCCAGAAACTAAAATTGATCCAGAGAGCGTTAGGTTCATCGAAAGTCACGCCTACGACTTGTTATAGAATATAGACATCAAATACACCTATCCAATTTGTATACCTTAATGTAGTAGCGGCTGTACACTGTTAAGTGATCACAAATGTCGAAACAGCTGTTCATATCTTCCTGGTTTTTAATGGTTTTCAAAGTGATGTCAACCCACAATTAAAAGTATCATCAGGTTGAATTTTTCTCCACAAACTGTCCAATCAAACAGATGATATCTCAACCTTACTAAAGGCTGGAGAGGTAAGAATTTCTCTTAAAATTATCTATTTGATATCGCATAATGCAAATCCCTGTAAGTCAACGGACATGTTGGCTAGTTATTTTGACTTATCATTTTGCCACATGTGTGAAATTCAGAATGAATATAGAAAGAATGAGGGCCAACATATCGAGACATGAAATTAGACTATGAATTTACCAGTTATTAAGTGAAATGTGTGAAGGATTCTAGGTGAGGAGCGGTTAATGCGTTTGACTTCCGGTCACTGAGTCCCAGGTTTAAAACCCACTCCACCTACTTCGGTTTAGACAACTGGGTAATAATCATTACCCTTTACACTTAGAGCGTAGCCCATACCCAAGTATCTGGTCAATCATAATAAATTATTTATACGCATAATGACTTCAGTCAGTGATACTAAAAATGGAAGGTTAAAAAATAGCATGACAGCTTGAAAACAAGCACATATACACGTTATCTTGTTTGACCTAGTACCTGATATATTTTTAATATCCTCCTCTCAGTCTGTCTCAATACTTTGGAACGTTTTTCCTGTTGACTACTGAAATGTACACTTACATTATAACCGCAAGTTGTTAAAGAGTCACCAACTCTTAAGTGTGACAACCGAAGAAAAATACCTAAACATTAAAGTTCATGACATATTGTACATTCTATTGGTCACCACACAATATTGCAGCGCCACATTTACAGTGACCGAACAGACGAACAGTCAAAAAGCAAATCAGTAATTAGCAACTTACCCTTCCGGGTTTCGGTTGATTTGTTGTGACAACTTCTGGACTGATATGCTTTTCATTATTCAATAATTCAATGAATAGAGCCTGGAGACTAGGAAATAATGTTTGCAAAGAATCATAAGCCTGCTTCTTGCGTTCTAATCGACGATTGATTAAAGCTCGTAAAGGATTTGTGTCAATTATTTTTAAATCGAGGAATGGCCTTGGTAACCTGTCTTGTTCAGGTGCTGAGTCTTGTTCACTTTCATAGGGAGACAGATCTGAATTTTGGTCCAGTAAACAAGACCGGCGCGTATGTCAGAGTCATTAAAGTCTGTTATATCGAAATCCAGATTTAAACCGATGAAACTATCGCCGTTAGACATTTTGTTTAAACAAGAAGTGACTTCACGATCCAAGAAATCCAAATCAGCAAAAATTTGAGTAGCTTGATCATCAATATTCTAAAATTGCAAAAACGAAATAAGTTTGGTTTATATATATATATATATATATATATATATATATATATATATATATATATAATTCTGAAACTCACAACAGTTATGACAGAATTTTCTGTTGTACTTGAAGAATCGTCAGAAACACGCAAGGGAGTTTGTAGTCGTGGACGGATCTGGCTGTAGGGTGCACGGAAAGGGGTTGGTTGGACGATATTGCGGTAGGTTGTTAATTCCTGACTTGTCTCAGCAAATTTAAGGACGTGCTAAAATTAATTGAATAATAAAAATTATTTACATTAAAGAACAGTCGCTTATTCACGAAGGTTATTTTCTGTGATGAACTCAGGAGCACTCAAATGCAGGTACTTAAACTTAAAACTAACTTCCATTCATGAATGAAATGTTCCGAAAGAAATCACTCAAATAATTTATAAAGACCGATTAAACCAATGCAAACCCAGACACAAAAAGTACAGTATTTCGAGTTTCCACACTTCTAAAGTTGTTTTTACGAGGTCGTCCTAGAACCAGAAAGTAGTAAGAACAATAACACAACGGAAGCACTAAATACCGTCCATAGCTTGTATGAATACGAATTTTCATGAAAAACTATTTAGATATCACAAAATACGTGTTATAACGTGAAAATTCTGCTGCTGATTAGAGGACAGCGAATTGTTGATCGGACCAAAGACGCGCAAACACAGAACGGCCTAGGGTTCTGATTGGTCTTGCTTCCCTGTCTAACCAGCCAGTTGAGTCCAGAACACAAGTTTCAGCCTCGGATATATGAATCATTATATTTCAAACATACTTTGTTTATATACCAATCAAGCAGACCACAACGTACCATAAAATAGAAAATAACATTATACAATATTGGCCAACAGGAAAATGACACGTTAAATAAATATTGACCAATAAGATGATACCATTTCATGTCCAAGGATAGCATTAGGCTTAACAGGATAACTTTTGGGATATTTACCTGAATATCACAACAATACGTCAGTTAACATAAATCAACGTTTTATTCTAGCTTCTAATCCTAAAGTAAACGCTACGTATAAGTTTATTAAACTTAACTTTTACTTACTGATTTGAACATATAAATAGTGATACTAATGGGTAGAAAAATATATATGCGCAAAATAATAAACTAAAGGATCATACATCTCGATGAGATGTGGTACTTATCGGAGCATCATTAACCCCTCAAACTAGTGGATACAATAGATCGCCTAACCGATAGATTTTAGATTGTATAGGAGGAAGAAGTATCACCTATGCAATCGTCACATGACAAACGCTTGAGATTAGCTTGATTGAAGCTCGAAGTTAGTAACGGTACCTAACGAATGCCGTTGATAATCCCATCCTAAATCTCAGAAATATCTAGTCTTATCTTCAGTCACTAGTCACTCACCAAACACAAAAATGTTTCGTGATAAACGGTTACGAAGTACAAGATTAGATAAATTAACTAAATGATTTAAATACACTATTGTAAAATCTTGCTTGAATTAAGTGGATTTTGGTTGTTACTTATGTCCAGACTTTAAAATTATCTCACGTTAATGGTAAAAGTCGCTGATCAACTTGATGAGACCAGAAAGTGGTTACACTTAGTTCAGAACCACCAAGCACCCAAAAAAACATTAACGTGAAATTACCAGTTTTATGTGCTAATGAATCTTAGTATTTAAACAACGCATGCGTAAACAGGTTGGAAATATTACATTTTTTGTAAATGAGGTACAAGAAAAGTAACATAACAACTAAACACGTACCATGGTTTCCTCGTATTCTTCTGGTGCTTGCTGAATGCAAACAAGCATTGCAACGCGACCATCGCCCTCAAAGAAGTTCTTAAAAAGATATGTTAACCGAGCATCACGGTAGGGAACAACACGTGTGTGTCCAACAGGAGTAGTTGTGGTTCCCCGACTTTTACTTCCATAAGTTTGAATATCACGCAAGGCTTTGATGCACTTCCGAAGATTCATTAGGGAATTGTTAATGTTGGCTGAAACATTAAAATATAACATAAAGAATTTTGATGGAAATTGGGATGAGGTTATCTAAACTCAGGGTGTTCAACGAAGGATTGATAGAAACATATGCGTTTTAGCCGTGATATCTGGATTTCTTTACACGAATTACATCAACAGTTAGTGAACTTCTGAACTGGCGTAATATCTTCGTCGCCCATTACTTCAACTTGATATAACTTCGGTTAATGTCTAGTTTGTTTGTTAACCTTTTTGTTTATCACTTTACCTCAAAATGGTTGACTTGGTGATTCCATCATTAGAGCGGACTAACTTTCTACATATGTCAACAGATAAATCTCACTCGAATATTAAAAAAGCAGTCAGGAAATGGTGCAATAATTACTGAAATTCAGTAATGCTGAATAAACTCATGGACCAAGCTATGAGGCGCATTTACTAAGTCATTATTACTACTGAGTTTTGCAAGCATCAATAGATGGATTAGCGTTCCAAATACTGACCTCGTTGAAAGTCAAGTTTTTGAAGTAATAAATAATAAACCTACTTTACAATGGATAGTTGGTGTTTTTCTGTTATGTCATTTGGAAGAAACAAAACAAACACTTTATATCCCTACCGAAAATTCGTTAACACTAGGCCAGGGAGCCTCACTTTATCCAACGAACTAACAAAAAAAACAAATGCCTACATGCTTCCTTCAAGCGATTCCCCTGCGTTCCACTACGGCTTGTACGTTCGGAACCAGCGAGGTCCACAAGGCATAAATGACTGATGACGACGGACTCCTTATCCTGTCAATTAAAATAATGCATGTATTAGTATTGAAAACAGCAATAAAACTATAATGCACTTTCCACCGGTCATATTTGATCTTATATTATAGTATCTAAATCTACTAAATCACGGTGTCTAGGAATCCAATAAAGGATTAGCGAGTCACTCTGATGGATTCTAGCTGAACTCAACAATATATCATAAACTGATCCCTGTCGAAAGTATAGTATGTTAATCACATGACACTACGGTTTTCCGAATAAGATTCCTTGCTATAAACACAAAAACTTAACATTATCCTATTTGAAAATGAAACCGTTCAGTCTGCATACTCAAAATGTAAATTTCGTAAAGACAATTTGTTATAATCTCTTTCTTCTTACGGTTATGACCCAGCTATTCCTATTGCTTAGTATTCTCGGACACCGATTCACTCGACAAGTCCCCAAATCAGAACACGGTTGAACAGGAAAGAGATTATATTCCAAATAGCAAGTCAGAAGCAAGTCAGAAGCACAATAGGGAAAACGTCAGTATATTTATAGTTTTTACATAAGAAGATTCCAGAGTATTCTCCAACTATTGACTAGTGCTGATTGGATAAGAATTAGCCAATCAGCGTGCACCAAAGCAATCATGCATTGAGCATGCCTTAATCTAGTCTATGTCCCGCTAACACAATTACTGCCTTAAGATCAGGTTACGGAGTAAGGCAGACAAATAACACAATTTGGTACACTCGCAAGACTAACGTGAATTTATTTATTTATTTGAACAAAAACATTGGTACAAAAGTGCACCTAATACATATACGCCAAACAATAATAATGATGTTGTGAAGAGATAGAGAATATAAGCACGTATAATAAAAGAACAACAACAAACAGAAATTAGTGTATGACAATCATATCAGTCAGTCGACTACAAAATAGGACCAGGCACACAAATTCATCGGTCCAAGTTGCCACAACTCATTAGTACAAAATAAACAAATTCATAGTTAATTCAGTGGTGATAATATATAAAAGAAAGATTGCATGTAAGGACATAGTACAGAAAGAGAGAGCTAGTTCGTGGAAAAGAAAATATAAAGCAATTTTAAACCCATAGTTTGAGGGAAGACAAATAGTGTGTACACCTACGCCATCGTGATCGATTCTGAGCCATGTCACCCAGAGTCTCCAACCATTGGTTACGGTAGTCGCGCGGACCCAACCAAATAGTCTGCATCTACCAAAATGGCTCAGACTGGAAGTTAGTGACATCAAGCACTGATGCCACGTTTTGGTTTGGCCGACCTTAACTTTCTTACAACGATCCACAACACTAGTCAGCATTGCGCGTCGTGTCAGTCGGTATTCGAACATACGTAACGTCTGGCCCAACCATCTCATCCGGTGAACATTTATAACCTCACCAACTGACGTAGCATTATTCCCCAATAGCCTACGTCTAACCTCACTTAAAAACGGCACAAAGGAAAATACACACAAATCCCAAGTGATTCAAGATGAACGTTAACCCAGGACATAGCACAAAATGTATTGATAAACGTGGCCTATTTTAGACAATCACTGAGTAGGATTTGGACTTGATATTACTCAAGTGTATAAAACAGCGAAAATCCTTACTCACTTGGACAGCTTCGTCATACTTGGTATCATAACCCGTCCTCACCAGTCGAATAGTAAAAACACAATGGCTGCGACTGGACTCAACATTCAATGCCGTCTGTCCTATTCGGCGGCGTTTCTGACCTGAAAAGAATTTAAAAATTCAATAATTCATGTTTTTAAGAACTGTACAGAATGATCTTATTAGGAAGCAACGCGAAACGGTTGCGTGACCTCTGTTTTCCCAGTTACTTAGTAGTTGACACTAACATTTTAAGCTTTGAGAAACTAGGGCAACAAAAACAACAAGCATTTAATTACCTGCACAAAACACATCAAGAGCCTCGTCGGCCGACTTAACTTCTACTTCAACCCCTCCATAAACATACACATTTCTTTGGGAATCTTCCCGCAATATCCGAGTTGTTAAATTCCTGAATATAAAAACACTTGTTATAAATTATACTACCTTCCTGGTAAGTCTGAAACATCTTGAAGTAGATCGTATATACTGTTGTTATACACTTCAATGAGTGATACGAAGACAGCAAACAAAGACTTCCATGGAATGTTCACCGATATCGATTCGCAAGTTCTTTCAACCATACTCGCAGGTTTAACATCAGATCTACTAAATCAAGTGAAGCTCAAGAGTTACTTTGGCAAGCGCGAACGCTGCTGGAAATCAGATCGATGACGGTCCATGAGTGCATCTGCTTCTGACTGAACAATAAACCCGTTGAAACCATCGGGTTTTACCACCTAGAATTTCGTGATTAAGGAGAACTACGTACATATTTTTTTGTCTGGAACTGTCCGATAGAATTAAAAATAACATCAAGTGAACGTGGTAAAATGCCAGGGTCTTTGAAGACCCCTCCATAGAGTAGGTTTTGCCACTGCCAGTAACCCCATAAGTGAACAGTAAGCCTGTAGGAAAACTTAGCTGAGTAACAAACTTATACCATTTTTCCCATGCAAAAAGTCAGTGACCACAGGGAAAGCAACTTTTTGAAATACAACATCTTGTCCTACATCGGGTGGAAGAACGCAAGTGAATGAGTGCGAAGTCTGTGTTAACATATTAAAATAGATTATTGCGAGCATACTTCTTTCCTATTCCCAGAGCGGTGACCGACAGACTTTATGGTTTTTCCATCACAAACCTCAATACAGGAAATCCCCTGGGAGTAAAACGGCTTGATACGACAGAAAACCTCCACATTTTGAGTGTGTAACGAGTCGACCTCTTTGGAAATTAAAGAACTACGCATTAGAGAATAAGTCCAGTAAGGACAGCCGAAACTTCCCAACCAACAAAAAACAAATCGATTGGACGCCTACTACCGTCCAGACCTACCAATACTGCATATAAACAAGCAAAGTCAAGGAAAAGTAAATGGATTCTCAAGATCTATTAACTGTCCTAATACATCAGAGAATTTAAGTGCATTGTTGTAATTTGAAAGGGTCAGAAAGGTTTAGTTAAGAGAGTTTTTTCAAATGTGGGGTACTATGTGCCATCTGGGTCACATGTTTTTCAGTTAATTTCACTTCGCTGTATTTCCAGAAGAGCTCATTTGTATTGTTTTCGCCTGACGTCTTCTGAACAGCTTCCTGTCGGCAGTCTATTCATTTTCGCTGAATGATATACTACCACTTTCTACTCATCACTATAAATGTGTTCAGTCTGTCTGATGCGAAAAAGATATCTATCTTGATTATCACTGTCGCGTGCCTATCTACTGCTAAATTTTCGTTTACGGTACAAAGCTTTACAACTCATAACGGTGACTAGATCAAGTCAGATATTTAGCAATCCACTTGGAATTTTTATGAAGCGTGATGTAACACAACTCTGCCTGTAGCACTCCTGAGGCTACTACCGGTCCTAAGCACGAGTAAGGGAAAAGGGCTTGGAACGGCGTCAGCAACCCTATCTCAGAGGATAAAACCCTACTAAAAAAACACCAACCAGAATAGTCAACTTAAACCATTTAGACTCTTCCCTCCGAATTCAAGGAAATATTATGACGCCTCACGATAAAAGCCGATACTCCTTTGAAGCCATGAAAACGATGAACCTCCTAACAAACAGAGCACTAATTAATATAGATAAATGGAATTCTCGGACAGTGTGGGAGACTGGGAAGACCAACCAAGTGTCTGGATTAGAGGACACAATTTGGTGGTTCTCGCAATAAGTGAAACCCATTAAACCCAACCTGGACAGAAAAGTATAGAATCAGGATAGATTCTAATGTACTCTGATCATGGAAATGAAAATGCTCCATATGTTCTGTAAGTTGCTCTCACTCTGCTCAGCGAAGCATGAACAGCACTTATGGGATGGTAATCTCAGGGATCCAGGATCATCAAAGCAGAATTCAAGACGGGTAAGGAGGGAATCACAATGAATGTTATCCAGTGCTATGGACCCATCAGTGGTAACAACAGAGACAATAAAGATCGTTTTTGCGAGGGGCTACAATCAGTAATAGAAAAGTGCTCAGATAAAGAAGTGACCATCCTGATGGGAGACCTGAACAACAAAGTCAGAATGGACAACATCAGATATGAGAAATCATAGGACAACATGGACTAGGAGAAAGGAAAAAGAATGATGAGAGATTTGAAAATTTGTGTGCACTCAACAAAATGGTTATAGGTAGCATTATAAACGCCCACAAACACATTCGAGAATCTATATCAGTCTCACCGGATCATGTTGTAAAGAAACTGATATAAACACACTAGTCAGTCTTACAAGAACGAACTGCTATCGAATTTAGTACCGACTCCTCTACAATTATCAAAATCTCTATAAATAAACTTAGGTGTTCTGAACCACAAATAGGCAACATATTTATTAAGGACAGTCAAGTATAAGAAGATTAAAAACTTAAAACATAACTTTTTAGTGCACTACTTTGTGCCTCGTCAAAGAGTAAAAACCCACTGAATGAGTCAGAGCTTGCCCCAACACCTTGTGAAATCACTATTGTGGACTTCTATGCACAAAATAATGCAGTTGGAAAAGTGAAACACTCTGACACTAAGGGATCAGATGTTTTACGGCTACCATGTTAAAATGTGGAAGTGATGCGTTTTGTGTTATACTTCTCAAACTATGTACGATTTCACTCCATAAAGTGTGTTACTCCACCACCTGCCAAACTACACATATCATTTCAAAATTAGTCTACCTGAAGCAAATGCTGAAAACTACTAGCTTATAACAATTACTATCTAGAGTGATAGAGAAAATGGCTAAGTCGGCACAGTTCGACGTCTACTTACTAATAGTCTAATCACGACATGCCTGCAAGTTCACTTGAATGACATGTTGAATTATGGCCTAATTCAGAATTAGTACATTCATCTTTGTTACTATAATAAAAGACCTTATCTTAAAATTATAGATTTTTCATTATGTGACTGCTTAATCTATAAGATCCCACATGAAAGTCGCATCATTCTCTATACTGACTCGTTCAGTCATGACATCAGCAATATGATGTCCAGCGCTTCTGAAGAACACATTTGGGCTGGAGAGAGAATAACATATTCGATGCGAAAAGGGATACGTCACACAAGATGACCACGTCTGCAAGGCCGAGCCATGTCATATAGAACAATTTTTCGCGAGTTCGCTTTTCTCAACTTTCTTTTAGCGTTACATGTTGAGTGTAAATTTTCTTGATAATCACACGCTCCGCTTCAAAGATCTTGTGGTTAGAAACCAAAAGCACTACAGGCGTAACTCAAAAACGAGACAATGGGCTCTTTGTATCAGTTCTACTCCTCAACTTTGAAAAAGCTTTTGATAGGGTCCCTCATAAAAGGCTTCTCGTCGAACTGTAGTCCTTCTCAATTAATAGTCCACCATATTCATGGGTTTCCTTATTCCTAACCGAACCCGGACAAACGGTAAAGTATAATGACTCTCTCTCATCACTAAAATAAACAACTAGTGAGGATGTCCGGAGAAACATATTAAATCCACTCTTGTTTCTCATTTATAAAATCTGTGTACGTAAACACACAGGATTTCAGAGACCACACTTGTGTACTGACACTGTCAAAATAGTACACAGCTTTAAATGGAAGTATATCCCAGATTAAAAGTGACCTCGATAGTCAATCAGTCTGAGACGAAAAACGGCAGTCACCATTTAACCACAACAAGTGTGGTATCATAAATTTTGAGAAACATCCCTGTGGAATGTCACACTACTCAAGTAATTGTAGAGCTCAGACTCTTAACTCAGCTCACGTTCTATGTATCCACTACAAAAAAAGGTTAAAATTCGTAATACATGCCTCCTCTATTATCTCCAAATCTACACATTGATTAGTTTCATAATTGGGAATTTCTTCGCAAAAGAGGCTGTGCTTACCCTTTTCAGAATATGCATATGACTTTCTCTTGAATACTATCAAACAACCTACTCAAACATGGAAACCAAAGATGCCTCACACGTCAACAACTGGAATATGTTTCCGCCCTCGAGTTCACAGGCAGATGCAAACACCCCTCCTTAGAACCTTTATGGCACCGTCAACTAAGAAACAATTTACTATTTTTTAATAAATAATTCATAATCTTTCATTTCTTACCTCTAGCACAACTTTTACCCATGCCCCTGCCTACAGATTTAGAAACGACGCACATACACTAATAACGGTAGAACACCAAAAACCAATATGTTCTAAGTTTTGTACATTGCGTATGGCTTATCGCACAACAAGCTACCACTATCTATCCGAAACTATGACCCTGCCATCCAGTTTAAAATACTAACGACCCCGTTCTTAGACCTTAACGAGCTTCATTTACTATCCCTGAAACTCCCAACAACACAGAAGCTCGAGCCGTCCAACTTGCTAGCAACATGGGACAAGAAGATGCAGTGTATTTCAACAGACTGTTGAACACAGCTTATTTCAAAGCAAACTTAAAACATAACACTAACGTTATGTAGTCTAACATCACAAGTGGAGGGTGGGTAGCGTTTTTGGCCGGCAAAACTGCTGGTGGAGAGCATGGCAATTAACAGTATCGAAATTAATGTGCTGACAAACGCAAATAGAAATAAATGAGTGCAACTGAACATATTATATTTGGAGTTCACAATAAACACGCAGTCAAGTGCAAAAGAATAACCACTTGGTACAAATACTACAAGGAGGCGACGATGACCCACTCATTGCTGTAGGGCGGAACATTTTGTCTGTTTGGGGCTCCTTATTGTCTGGTGAGATGTAGCTAGTCAAGGGTATTGACGTTACTCTCCTATTTCAAATACCTCTTTGACTCATGCTTGTAACTAACCTCACTTCCTACAGAACAATCGTAATACAAACTAGATTGAACAGCTACCCTAAACAGAAGTTCAGCAATGACTTTACGAAGATAGTAATAGTGAAAAACAGGTAAAAAGAAGCGCTGTTTCCTTCACTATTTCTTTTGTGGATCTGCACAACTTTAAACCTTTCAGTGTCTTTGGATCTCTTCCATTCATATAGCCTTTTATCTATTTATTATCAAACCTTTAGCTCGCTTTTCCTAATCAGTCTAAGTACACTTGCGTAGCAATTAATCC